TTCTTGATTTCTTTTGATTATTGATGCTATTGTATAATTTGCTCAATAACTTATAACGTGAAAGAACGTACCGTTGAGTATATATAATCAATGCAAGGATGTTCAGTATATCATCCAGTAAATTAGAGTTCAAATATATCAATAAAAATATTTTTACTACATATATTATAAGTGTAAAATATTCAGAAAATAAATTTAATAAAAATCTACATACCAGCTGTGTGCATGTGTGCAATTGATTTATTGAAATTTATTTACGGAAGTATTTGCATTTATATATTTATAGTGTGTGTAGTTGTAAAATGATTAAAATATTTTCAATATCAAATTTTTAAGTTTATCGCCTATATAAAAATATATTTCTATGATTTTCTATATTCTAATATATTATAAAAAAATTGATATTGATATATTTGAACTCAAGTTTTTTACGTGATTAAATATTCTTGCATTGAGCCATCATACGTTACTCGTAAGTTCTTTCATATCTGTATATATATATATATATATATATATATATATATATATATACACTTATATATATAATATATTATATATATAATATTTCATTTATTTATAAAATACATTTTTAATCATATTCAACCTGAATGATATTTTCTATATGTTTATGCTATCCTCCGATCTATCCCTAACAAATTAGGAGGTGTAATTGCATTATTATCATCAATTATTATCTTATATTTTTTACCTCTAATTTCTATAAAATTTAATTCATTATCATTTTATCCTTTAAATCAATATTTATTTTGAATTTTCATTAATATTTTTTTCTATTAACATGAGCAGGAGCTCAACCTTTTATCTTATTAGACAAATTTATCATTATGTTACTTTCTTTATTTTATCTTATTACCTTTCCTAATAAAAATTTGAGATTTAATTATTTTTAATAAATATTTAAAATTTATTATTATAAATAAATTTAAAATATTAAAAATATTATATTTAATATTTAAATTTTTTTTATAAATTACTATTAAATAAGTAATTCTTGAATTTAAGTTTATGTTTTGAAAACATATTAAAGAAATTTTAATTTTCTATTAACTTTTAAACATTTAATTTTTTTTACTAAATTATTATTAATAATATAAATTTAAATCCAAAAATTATAAAATATAAACCAAAATTATTGGTAAAATAATTTTCCAACATAAATATATTAATTTATCATATTGTATTCGAGGAAGTATTCCATGTATAAAAATTACTATTCTACATAAATATAATTAAATAAAAGTTAAAATTATTGAATATTTAATAAATCCTAAATATTAATTCTAATTAATCTAAAAAAAAATAATTATTCATATTCAGATAAAAAAATTAATGTAAACCCACCCCTAAAATATTCAATATTAAATCATCTGACTCACTTTCGATAAAATCTATAGGACTTCGATTTAATTCAGCTAAAATCCTAATAAAACACTATAATAAACAAAGGATATAAAAAACTACTATAATTATAAATAAAATTGATAATTAATAAAATCAAAAAAAGAATATCTCTCTCTTACTAATATAATAACATAATTTATATTACTAAAATAAATAAACATCTTACTAAAATAATTAAAATAAATCTTACTTCATATGATAATATTTGTGAAACTGATCGTATTGCCCCTATTATTGAATAAATCGAATTAGCTGATCATCCCATAAAAATTATAACATACCTCTATAGTTATAAAAACAATTATTAATAAAATAGAATAATTTAAAAATAAATATTAGTAATGTAAGGAAATACAATCATATTATTATTAAAACAAATCTAATTATAGGACATAAATAAAAAAATTATAATTAGATTTATATACATAAAATAATTCTTTATAAGTAATTTAATAGCATCACTTAAAGGTTGAAATAATCCTATAAATCCCACCTTTAGGTTCTTTACGAATTTGTACATATCTTAAAATTTTCGTTCCAATAAAGTTAAAAAAGCTACCCCAACTAATATAATTAATAACAAAATTAACAATCTTAATATATTTAACGCACTATAAAAAATAATCTTAAATTTTGACAAATTATTACTTGTATAACTTTTTTCTATTATACATCATTAAAATTCTAAATTAATACACTTAAATTTTGCCAAAGTAATTTTATTTATTTACATATATTGATCAATTAAATTTATTCATTAAAAAAAATATAATTAAAAAAAAAGTCCTTTTGTACAAAATTTTCTTAATTTTATTATAGATAGAAACCGATCTGGCTTACACCGATCTGAACTCAAATCATGTAAAATTTTATTAGTCGAACAGACTAAAATATTAAACTTCTTTATTTAATTTTTATTTTAATTCAACATCGAGGTCGCAATCATTTTTATTAATATGATCTTTCTAAAAATATTACGCTGTTATCCCTAAGGTAATTAATTTTTATAATTATTATAAAAAAAAAAAATTTTCTTAATTTAATAATCAATCCTTTATAAAAATTTCATTAATTAATGTTAAAATTATCTTTAAATTAAAGTTCATTTTATTTAATTATCCTCCCAATAAAATATAATCATTAAAATAAAATTTATTTCCTTAAATAAAAAATTATATTAAATTTAATAGGGTCTTCTCGTCCCATAATTCTTTTAAGAATTTTAACTTAAAATTTAAATTTTAAATCTACAAATTAAAACAGCTTTAATCAATTCCTTCATTCCAGTTTTCATTTAAAAAACAATTGATTATGCTACCTTTGCACCGTCAATATACTGCGGCTATTTAAAAATCACTGAGCAGAAATAATTTTAAATTATTATCAAAAAACCATGTTTTTGTTAAACAAGTAAATTAATGAAAATTAATGTGTATATGCATTACAATATATTCAATACAATATTCTCTTAATTTGAACGAAAATTATAAATAACTTATGCGTAACATATATTTTTGGACTCTAAATAAAAATATATATATTATTTGCAAAAAATAAGATGAAATATTTTTATTCGAATAGTCTCAACTGCTCTTTTAGCTGAATGTTTAGAAGCAATGAAAAAAATCGAGGATCTACGAAAAATTTAAGTACATTTCTAAGTTTTTTATATGATATAAAAAAATATATGGTATATAAATGATTTTTTAATTTTTTATTAATTTTTAATTACACACACACACACACAAATAGATTCTTATTATTTAAAATAGTTTTTATTTTTGTTCTTTATTTACATATGCATACATATACAAAAAAATAAAAATAATATGATAGCTTTTTGCTGACATTATCTCTCAATATTTGCATCCGTGTGCTCACGTATTAGTGTTTGTACCTACATGGACGCTACTACATATGCGATGTAAGAGAGACAAAGATGGAATGATGCTCTCTCCTTGTCAAGCAGTCAGCATGTTACCACAGAAATTTCCCCTGCTCCTTATGAATCTAGTGAGAATCTTATCGTCCAGATATTCATAAAATAAGTGACATAACTTTGGTTTTTTTTTTTAATATATTCTTGATATAATAAAGTAGTCCGCCAAAGAGTCGGATTTTGCATTTTTGCTCTGAAAAATTATAATAATAAAATACGGACTCTGGCTAACCCAACCTTACCCGTTACTAGCTGCGCATTCCCCCAAGTTATATTATAAATTTTATTTTCATCTTTTTTCAATAAATAACTCTTTGGCGGACTGCATTGAGCTTATGATTAAGAATATCATAAATTAATAAGATTCATTCAGTATTTCGCTAATATCTGGAAAATAAGAATCTCTAATTCCCGGCCGACCGATAGGCGTCTCTACCATGTCGCCTGTCGACCTTAAGGCGGGTCTACCATAGGTGTAGTAAGTCTAAGCTTAAGAAATTCACCAATCACAGCAAGAAGAAGGGAATACGACTTACTCGATTTCTAAGGCAGGGTCTACAATAAGTGCTAAATAAGCTCTAACTCTTAGAAATTAATCACAGTCGATTATTCCCCTCATTCTAACTCCCTAAAAGCGGATTCACACCTTGCAGAAAAGCAGAAAACGGAAAAGCAGAAACCATCAGAACTCGCGTTGGCGTAAACTTACTAAATAATAAACTAGGGGTAGTAAACTTACTACCAACGCGAGTTTTGATTGGCTTCTGCTTTTCTTTATTTCTGCCAAAATGTGAATCCTCCCTAAGTCGTAAGCATAAACCAATCATATTCGATTACTGTAGATGCGGCCTCAATCTGATCTAATTTTTTGTTTTTAAGACTAATAATAAACCAATAAACGCTAAAAATTAGACCAACAGTCATCAACAAACGATTACACATTGATAGACCATTTTTAATTAAAAATGAAATTTTTCCGGCTAACTTAATGCTAAATTTTCTTTTTAATTCAAAAAGAAATATAAACCAACAAACGTTGCAATTAGGCCAACAATCACCAACAAACAATTTAAAAAAAAAATTAAAAAGTCAAAGTTGACCGGCTAACAATAAGTATAGAGCTGATTTCATTTTAAAATCAATACGTGATAGCGAAAATTTTCACTTTTCACGTTTTCACTTTAAGGTGCTTTTTCACGAGCCGCTGAAACCGATTGTTTGAGCGATAAAATGATCACGTAACAACTTTTGTCGCTGAATTTAAACAGCGATAATTTTTGTACATGAAGAGGATAGCAGCGCGACAGAAATAAAATTGAGCGTTTGAGCAAATGCTTTGTAATTAAACTGATTTAAACTACAAAATTATTGATGCTGGATTACGAGCGGTAAATCTGTCGCTTTAATCGCCTGTTTTAGCGGCACGTGAAATTGCCCCTTAAATCTTTAATCGTCTATTCTTACTTCAGCATGCGTTCAAAGATCCTCCACTCCCATGAAGTTCGACCAATCAAAACACAGAAAGCCTTATCGTTTTTTTTCCTTCTCGATTGGTCAACAAGACCTTACACCTCATAGGTAGAATTTCCAAACGTGTCCGCGTCATTTATTCAATTTTAGTTACACATATCGCATCTTCAGGATACACTCGCTCCATGCGAGGCATGAACGACCCTAGTGAGTTTCGCAAGCGACCCAATGGTTCGTGTCGGTTTTCGCGCTATCTAATATGAAAGATTGACTAGTAATACAAAAACACGTGTCCGTTGGGTTGGTGGAATCCGGAGCATCGGTATTCGCCGATTAAAATATAGGTTAATCCGGAATTGCGTCGGGGCAAAATCGCGTTTCTCGCAGGCGGTAGACGAAAGACTCTGAAGTTAGCGTCGAAGGGATATCTTCCGACGCGCTTATAACGGGCGGCCGCGCTCGAAAGGAAACTCGAGCTCGCGAGCGGCGCGGCACGGCGCGGGGCGGCCATTTTATGTGAGTATGACGTAGAGGCTGGGTGTAACTTGCGCTTCTTATCGTTGTGCGCGAGAGAGGAAGAGAACATCGGTCCCCGCTGAAGCGACCGATGAGGGCTGAAGTTGGCGCGAGACGGTGACGTAAATCAGCTGGGCGACTCGTATCGAAATTGGCATCTCTGCCCGTGTCCCGCTTTGAACAAATATCTCCCCGACCCCGCGGAAGTTAGCGGCGCTCGTGGCGACCCCGCGGAGGGGAGAGGAGGGTGTGCGAACGAGATAAACGAACGAACGAACGAAAATTCTCGACTTACGGACACTATAAATTCCCGACTACTTTTACCCTCACTTTTCGTCCCCCCCAACTAATATAAACGAGCTGGCCGAAAGTGTTCGCCACGGCAGCGTCAGTATGAGCGAGGAAAGTAATCCACGTACGTTGTACGTGGGCAACCTGGACGCCTCGGTGTCCGAGGACCTTCTATGCGCCCTCTTCAACCAGATCGGCGCGGTGAAGGGCTGCAAGATCATCCGAGAACCCGGGAACGACCCATACGCCTTCGTCGAATTCACGACTCATCAGAGCGCGGCCACGGCGCTCGCGGCGATGAACAAACGCTCATTCCTGGAGAAGGAGATGAAGGTTAACTGGGCGACCAGTCCGGGGAACCAGCCGAAACTCGACACCAGCAATCACCATCACATATTCGTGGGTGATCTGTCGCCGGAGATCGAGACGCAGACGCTGAAGGAGGCGTTCGCGCCCTTCGGCGAGATCAGCAACTGCAGGATCGTGCGCGACCCCCAGACCCTGAAGAGCAAGGGCTACGCATTTGTCTCGTTCGTGAAGAAGTCCGAAGCCGAGGCGGCGATCAACGCGATGAACGGCCAGTGGCTCGGCTCGCGCAGCATCAGGACGAACTGGTCCACCAGGAAACCGCCACCGCCGAGGTCGGAGCGGCCAAGACACTCGAACAATAGTAAACCCAACTATGAGGAGGTATATCGCAAGGGTGCTTTTCCAATGCGGTCGTGCGCTGTGTGACGCAGTGTTGCTTGTAGCTGAAAGCTGGATCGTTGCTTGGTTTTTAGTTGCGCAGTGCAGGGCAATTACTTTACACTGGAATACTCCATTAAAAAAATGATACTGATGTAATTATATTGGTTTTCATGGAAAAACACAAATGATGATACAGTCAAACACAGCATTTCAGCTATTATAATGGAATAATACTGGATCGTACACTGCATTACACTGTTGACAGGATGTACATTGCTGAAAAGCATCCTAAATGCTTTTTAGCAACACAACAGTTGTAAACTGTGTGACACAGTGTTGCTTGTAGCTGGAACGTTGTTTAGTTTTTAGTTGCACAGTGCAGGGCAATCACTTTATACAGATTTTTTCAAGTTTATTCTGGAATACTTCATTTAAAAAATGATACCTTATGTAAACATTGGTAACACAAATAATAACCAAACACAGCATTTCAGCCATTATAATTGAATAATACTGGATCTTACACTGCATTGCACTGTTGACAAGGTATACATTGCTGGAAACCATCCTGAATGCTTTTTAGCAACACAACACAGAGTTGTACATTGTGTGATACAGTGTTACTTGTAATTGGAAGCTGGAATGTTGCTTAGTTTTTAGTTGCACAGTACAGGACAGTTACTTTACATAACTTTTTCAAAGTTACTTCTAGTGGAATAGTACTCTATTTAAAAATGATACTAATGTAAACGTATTGGTATTCATTGCTGAAAAGCATTTAAGATGCTTTCCAATAATGCAATATAATTGTATACTGTGTGACACAGTATTGACTTGCAGTTAAAAAGTTGCAGTTATTTTATATAATTTTACATACTTTTTCAAAGTTCTTTCTTTAAGATTATTTAAAAGTTTACCTCCTATCAAAATGCCATTTTTTTCTAAAAGGATTTTAAAAAAAATTATACTAATACAAAAATGTTGATAAAGCATTAGATTGTACATTGTCACACAGTAATTTGCAGCTAAAATATTGCTTAGTTTTTATTTCGTCACCAGAGTGCAAGTCAGTTATTTAGCTCTTTTTCAAAATTTTTAGTTTTTTAAAAGTTTACCTCGAATCCCATAAAAAAGAGGCACTAATGTAAAACTATTAATATCCATGAGATAACAAACTGACTGTGTTTGACTTGTGTCGTAATTGGAAAGTGCTAAATCGTACACTGCATTACACAATATTGTATATGTTGTTGGAAAGCACCCACAACCAACCAGACAATTATTCTTAATTATAATTGTAGTTACAGTAGCTTTAATTAATTATTTATAGTAAAATTTGCGAATATATATAGAATCTACAATTACTTGTAGTGATTTATTTACAATATCTTTGCTTACAAAAATAGCTCACATGTAGACATTTAAAAATCTACATGTTTTAGTTTGATAATTTTTATAATAAAAAAATTCAATTATAGTGACATTTGTGAATACATGATACATAGAATGTTTACAATTACTTACATTGATTTATTTACAATTTCTTTGTTAAAGACACTTAAAAATCCATTATATTTTAATAATTTTTATATTTGTAATTAAAAAACTGAATTTTTATTGTAGATTTGAAATAGCTTCAGTTTGAAAAAATCTCGATTTTGACGTTAAGCTCTCTGCGCTGTCTAAATATGAATTGTTGTTTTCTACAGGTATATAATCAAAGTAGTCCTACCAATTGCACTGTATATTGCGGGGGTTTCACGAACGGCATCACGGACGAGTTGATAAAGAAAACTTTTTCACCCTTCGGCACCATCCAAGACATAAGAGTATTCAAAGACAAGGGATACGCTTTTATAAAATTTACCACTAAGGAAGCTGCGACGCACGCCATTGAATCGACACATAATACAGAGATCAATGGTAGTATTGTGAAATGCTTTTGGGGAAAGGAAAACGGGGATCCAAACAGCGTCGGTCCAAACGCCAATCACCAAACTCAACAGGTTATTGTTTACATATCTATGATTTAGAAGTGGTTTCATGGTCCGGTCATTATATACACCATGTACATTTATATGTATTTATTTCAGATTTATTAGCAAGCATATTGAGAGCATTCGCACCCCTCTTAGGCCTATGTAAATTACTTTATTTATCTTTTGTATCCCGTATTAGCTAAAACTTTACATATATATAAATATATATAAATATATACATATATGTTTTACATTTTTTAAATACACAATCAAGTCGCACGTGCAAGCAAAAATAATCATGGGCAATTTTCTCTTTTCAACAACAGGTGACAGCCGGAGTAGGGCAGTACGCATACGGATATGGCCAACAGATGGGTTATTGGTATCCTCAGGGCTATCCGCAGATGCAAGGACAGTTCCTGCAGCCCGCCCAATATTACGGTCAATATTACGGGCAACAGGCACAATATATGAACAGCATGAGGATGCCTGCACCGAGCGCGGGTGCCTGGCAGCCTACGCAAGCCACCGCCGCACCCCCGACAGCGAGTGCGCCCTTGCCACCGGGACAACAGCCAACCATGGTAACATATACCATGCCACACCAGTACCCCACACAATGAAATTCATCATTGACCAGCTAATTGTTACGTATGATATATATAGTTGCCTCGGGGTTGCTGTGAAAATCGTTCTGTCATATACCTAGAGCAACATTTACATTTCAGTTTTTATTTCTGCGATCATAAAATAAACACACGATTCCAAGTAGCAGGCTGACGTCATTAAACGTCAAAATAACGTCATTTTGACGTCTGTCGATGTCTAATAATGTCGTTTTCATGTCTAATGACGTACGCATACTACCTGAAATTTCATTCGCAAAAATTCCATTTACAAAAAAAAAACGAAAAACATGATGTAAAAGAAAAATCTTGTTCTCCAAAACACACGCTTATTTTTTTTTATACGTTCCTTCCATGTCATAGAAAAAAAAGGTGTAATGTTAATTACATCACGAGATGTGTAACATTGTCGACGGCACACTTCTCGTAATAGGAATTTAATAAGTTTCACGATTTTTTGTCGACCCCCCGAGATGTTGACCAGGTATATCTCCGAACTCTCTTCCTTTTTACGGACCCCTGAAAAAAAGAACTCAAATCGCAGCCCCGCACGCGTTTATGCTGCGCAGAACGCTGACGTGCGGCAGTTTTGCGATATTTATTTATTTTATTTTTTTTTTTTTCCATATCCTTTTCCAACCGCGAGACAAGACAAGAAGAGACTCTCTGATGAAATCTTTCTTATTTTCCAATTTTTCGTATCATCGGATATAAACGACGACACAAATGTTCATTTGACAGTGAAAATAATGCAAATATGCGGTATCACGATGTACCGAACATAGTTGATAAGATAGAGAAAAGCGTGGATTTAGCTAGACACGATGCCTGTGATGATGATGTTTAATAGCTAGACTTTTGCGCGATGAACGCCAGGAACGTGTGCGGGGCTTCTTATAACAAATAAATGAAATGAACTCTGTGCTAGCGGGAGTCTACTAACGAGTAACAAGTTTTTCTCGTTATGTGATATTTATCGTCGGTGGTTGATGTATAAAAAACTTTGCTATAAGCGAACGAACGAGCGAGAGAAAGAGAGAGCGAGCGCGCGAGAGAGAGGGATGATTTTGCTATAAACATTAGTGAATTGAGATTTCCTTGTGCGAATGCGAATTTAAGCACATTAATCGCTACAACGATGTGCATTAAATGGCGAGTGTCGACCAAAACGTATCTCTTTGTATGCTGCGTTGCTTGCCTGTTCTTTTCCTGGACCTTATGTTCTATATCTATTCATGTAGGGAATGTTCGTAATTTATAATATGTTGTGCTTATATTTTTTATGAAAAAATACCTTGCCATGGATTTTAAAAAGGAAAGAAAACAAATGTAGATTGTTGATTCGAAACCCTAACAGCACACATATCTCGAAGACATTCAGAGAACATCCTAAGGATGTTCGAATGTTCTCTGAATATCCTCTGAATATCTTTCGGATATGTTGTATGCTATTAGGGAAGTGTACAACAGGAAGTACGAAGAGATTGGTCGGATATCGCCATCAAAACATATTCTATCATAGAATAAGTAATTTAGCGACTCCTCACCACGTTTATATAAACGACCTAGCCGATCGAAAAAAAATAAAAGTAAATGTAATTTAAGTAAGTTTAATGATAATAATAATGATAAACACATGCATACTTCCATCGGAGCTATAATTCTCAGTCAAGGACAAGTCACACATTGATATATCTTGATCTTGGAATTAAGATATATGAAGAGCATTGAAAATAAAAAAAAGAGAGAAACGTGTGTATGTATATGTGTACACTACCATGAACACATATGTGAATGTGTATATTTCATGATAGTTTAAGTATACAGATGTCGATAATTAATTTTTACACGGTGAAACGACTCTATATTCTTTTTTTCGATTTGACAATCAGCCGTGAAATATGAAAACGTCTACAAAGTTTTCTTCAGAATTATCATAGTCTGTATATGGCACGATTCGTGTCTTCCAAATTCACACATCGTAACAAAAAGTCACAGCAGCGCACTTTCGGTTTATCTTCATTAAGAGTTTCTGTAATCCTTACTGCAACTATATTGAATTATGGACGCCAGAAGAAGCGAGAAATCATGTAAATTTTTCTATCGCAAAAAAAGTAAATTTTTTTTGTACACCACCGCTCTCTTGTATTCGATACTATGGATTAGTAAAATCCATTAACCAAACACTGTCTTTTTGATCAAAATCCTGTATATTAATAACTTATCTGCATGTATATCTTACATCTTCAGCGAAAGTAGAATCTTACGACAGAGATTTACAAACTTATACAGTTATTTATTGATCAAATTGAAAAGTTTTTTGTATATTTTATCACTTTAATAAGTAATAAAAATATAAGCATATAAAAAAATATTTTTATTTTACAATTAATAAAAAATTATGTAAAGGAATTTCTCTAACATAATTCAATATAACATCAGTGAAGGATCAAGAACTTTAAATTGGCTCAATTGGTTTGAAAAAAATTTTGCAATATGATATGCATCGAAAGATTTATTGTGAAAAACAATAATACTATCTTGCGACTGGACACGCACCCGTTTATATTATAGCTCATTCAGTTTCGTGTTTGCTCGGAATCGTTTTTAAAGCATGAAAGGACCCCGGACAATTCTTATGGAAATTGGATTTCGATGGAATTGGCTGATTCTTTTGTTGTAGCTTGTGACCTGCTGAACAAAAAATATAATAGCTTCAAAGCTAAATAGTGAACAGTTTCTGAGCTATAATTAGTCAAACAACCCAGTTAGCAAGCATACATTATTTTGACGTCGAATGACGTCATTAGATATCAATGTGACGTCGAATAAAGGACATGATTAGATATCAAAATGATGTCATTGTAACGATGATGTCATAAATTATGTCGATTTAATCATTAGATACAAAAATGTCATAGATATCAAATCAACCGGCCAATTTCATTGCGATCCAATTTCCATAAGGATTGTGCGGGATCCTTTTCAAGTGTCCTGTGAGTAATTATAATCTAAAATTATATAAGATTATAATTATATGATTGATTGATGCTTATTATTGTACAATAATCTGTAGACACATGCGAGTCCTGTTGATTGCACATTTGTTTTTTTTCATGAAGCAATATTATCAGACTTCGATTTGTGTGTGTGTTTGCATTATTCTGAATACAGTTCAGGTATTTATTTAGGGATTCGAGTGGATTCTTTAAGGGAAAATGAATGAAATAATATAGATATATCCCATTTTTGAAGAATGACAAAGCGCCATTTTTCATGTTTTATCATGAAAGGAGGATGCATAAAATAAAAATGCATTATATTTTCTTCTAACAAAACTGATCTTGATGAAACTTTACATAATTGTAATATTAAGGATTAAGAACAGCATCAAAAGTCCATATTATTGATATGCACTTTTTATTATTCAATATATATATACCTATTATCCTTATATTACTTCTCTGCTTTCATCAATATCGGTTTTTTAAAATAATGTTCCCTTTGCATACTCCTTTCTGAAAAAAAGAAGCGAATTTAATTCCAACGATGTTTGACATGAGAATAAATATTAGCATCTCAGTTCACCACCGACGGTAAAATGCCATGAAACTTTCAAAAACAATTTGTATAAAGTCAGTATATAAGCAAGCCGAGAAAATAAAAATAAAAAATAGGGGGGAAATCGAGTAAAAGCTGAGCATATACATATAGTAACGATTCGATTGCGATATCGGAAAGCTAATTTGAGGAGAAAAAAGCGGACTCGTCTGTGGCGTAAAAAAAAATCAGCGGAGAAAGAAAGAAAAAACAAAAGATGTTATATAAAAAAATTAATTTAGGTATGGCAGGACATGGAGCTCTCAAAGATGCTTAGGATAACGTTATAATAAAAAACAAATTATCCTTTGAATGAAAAAAAGGAATAAATATTTAAAATACAGAGTATCTTGTATTATTTTCGTGAATCCTCCCCAGTATAACTTCTCATTTATTTATCTACTTTTTTTATAGCACCTACAGCAAATAAAGTTTATATTTTGTTTATCTCTCTCTTTTCTCTTATCAATTATAAATGTTAATAAAGAGTGATGGCAAATTTCGTCTATTTTTGGGACCTCGAATTTCAAACTTTTTTCCATGGTAAATAGTACTATTAGATGAAACTAATCCCAGTAAAGTTTCAAGATGAGCATAGACACGGTTCCGGAGATACAAAGGGGAAAGTGATGATTTTTAGAATTGTATGAGAAATTATCACTTTTACTTCTTCATATCTAAAGAACCGTGCCTATGCTCATCTTGAATTTCTTTAGGATTAATGTCTCATCATGTAGTACTATTTGGCATAAAAAAAGTTTAAAATTTGAGGTCCCAAAATTCGATCCTATAAAATGGGTGAAAAAACAGGTCTTTTTACCATCACTCTTTAAAGACAAATATATGAAAGGATTATTAACATAAAAATTTGTGTTCTATACTAATTCTATGCTATTTAATTATATAATGCAAAAATATATACACCAACAATTTCACAGAAATACAGAGGATATTGTATATAAAGTACCAAGAAACATTTTTGTGCTAAGAATTTATGTTAAAAATTTAACATGTAATGTTTACAAAACAGAGCTTACTGAAAATATTTTAAAATATGTATGTACACATGCGCACGTATACATAAATCTATATTCATAAAATTATACACTATTTATAATTTATTTAAAATCACAAATGAATGTATACGTTAATCAGATAAAAGATTGATTATTTTTGTTATGAACAAAAATGAATAATTTGTAAAGTACTGTAAAAGAGGATAATAATATTAATTATATTAATTATAATAATAATGTATAATAGTATTAAATAATGTCATGGATTTTTTTAAATCATCAACAATCACAAATGATAACATTTCAAGAGCGAAATTTCTTACAAATACTTTAACTTGTAACTCATGTGTTTATCATAAATAGCATCAAGTATTCATCATTCAACATAAGGAAACCATTAACCACTTAATTATCATAAAATGAATTTATCATTAACGTTAATTATAAAAATAGCAAAATAACTTAATTAAAACTCACAATCAGAATACTTTACAACGAAAGGCCAAAGAATTCTTAAATCCTGATCCATATTGCAAAAAATATTTGTTGCGCAAAATTACCAATAAAATCCCATCTAACGTAATTAATTAATTAATACATAATTCATACTTTGCAATATTATAAAAAACAGCGTATATAAACTCATATATATATATATATATATATATATATATGTAGGCAGTGCAGAGATTTATATTATATAAGGAAACTAATATCACAAAGGTAAAACTCGAAAATAAAATTCGAGAGTCAACACCTTGAAGATGATGACCGAAACTCAGTTGTGCAAAGAAATTTAACTTTTCTCATCTGTTATATCTTGAAGAGCCAAGTCACAAAAATCGGAGATTTTGAGAGATCCCAAACAATATTTGTATATAATATATTGCATTCTTAAATATCGCCCGTAAAGAATAAAAATTGTACATATAAGATATCAAGTTGTCGTAATAAGATTACTTATTTAGCTTTCGAGAGTGCATCAAATATCATTTTTTGTGTCTCTCTGTATAATTACAAACATAATAGATTTAAAAAAAGTCAAAATATCACGAAGCAAGCATGTTGGAATTATATTACACATGTTGTTTACTTATATCTCTTATGCTCTAATCAAATATCATGAATTATCGTTTACTTAATAAATATAATGTATTTTTTTTCTACTCATGCATGTAAAGCACACAATCAATGTGTGTGTGCCTTATTTAATAATTAGAACATTAGTTTTATTTTGTATAATAAGTAATATTTTTTTTCCATTCTATTGCACAAAGGAAGCATTATTACGCGAATTAAACTTTATTGGAAACGAAATATCGCTATCTTCAACATCTTACTCTATTAATCTATAGCGGCATATCCTGTTATAATACTTCGAACAATCGGAAGTAAATTATTTGCATAATATTGTAATTGTAGCACATATATATGTATATCTCATGCATGCAAAAGTTTCATGTTAAATACATATATTAATTCCGTAAGTATGTCATAATAATTATCCTATTTTTGAGCACCGGAAATAATAGAGAAATAAAAAAAATGTATTTCATTTTTTTTTCCATACAATACACAGGGTGAGAATTATTTTAACCTTCCCAGGCAAATATCTGGAAATCACGAGATTAAAAAAATATAATAAGCAAAAAATTGTGGAATTTCGAGAATATAACATGATCTAGAATTAGAATTATTTTAATTTGTTTGATTATATGCAAGTCGCAATATTTAATAAATAAAAAATTAAAAATCAAGTTTACATAGTATATTATACTTTAACTTTAAATTTTTTAAGAAACTATGAAATTTATAGTAAAAATATACATTTTTAAAACCCCATCATTTCTAGATATTTGTCCATTAAGATAAAAATGAATCACCCTGTATAAACACACACATGCACACATTTTTTTCCCATTGTATACGATAATATCCGCATCGTTTATACATAAATCTCCCAACAAATACTTAAGATGTTCATATACAGATTAAATTCTTCAGTTCGTTGTCTTATAGAATTTTGTATCAAAAGATCTCAGATTTCGTTTTTATCCTTCTTTTCACGCAAAGACATATTGCCATGCGATTTCTAACATATCAATATATGAAAAATATCAAACGAATCTTATGAATCAATATTAAATATAATAAGATTAATGCAATATTTGGAGATACATTTGTTACTGCGATATTCGAAAACGAGACAATATTTATACTCTTTTCGCGTTCATTTTTCGCATATTGTAGCAAGATTATATGTATTTATATACCTGGTCTGCCACAAAAGTAATGAGACTAACAAATATAGTACATAATCTAGCAGCATTAAAAAATTTTAGAGTACACATATAAACAAAACTTGGTGTGTTTTTAGAGGAAGGATTTGTAGTTTCCATTCTGCATAATTCGAATTTTTCAATGCTGCCACATTCTGCGCTGCATATTTAATTACTCATTACTTTTACGACAGCTCATGTACAGAGTGTCCCATAAGAAATTGCTGAAACTAATCAGCTGTCATTTTTTAATGCATTCAATTATTGAGAAAACAATTGTGCTAAAAAGAGGAAAACCTGCAGCTTTTAATGGATATAAATAAAATGTTTGTATACCAGTTTATTTTATTAAAAAAAAAAAAGTAATGAAAAAAGTGCTGATAATAACATATGTAAACTAATGATAAATATTTTCAAAGTGCACCCCATTTAAATTTGTACAAAATTTTGTTCTTTTACGAAAACTCGTAAAACCTTTTTAACATGTCATTTTTTAATGTTATTGACGATCCTTTTAATAGCTACTATTAAATCTGGCGCTGTTAAAAATATTTATCATTAATTTATGTTATTTTATGTTATTTTATGTGATTATCTTTTTATCAATAAAATAAACTGATATACAAACATTTTATTTATATCCATTAAAAACTGCAAACTTTCCTCTTTTCAACATAATTGTTTTCTCAATAATTGCATGCATTAAAAAATAAAAATTGATTAGTTTCAGCAATTTCATATGGGACACCCTGTATATGTATATACATTTATATTAGATCCCACACACGACGAATAATCATCGCACGACTATGTTTTTCTTTTTTGTACGTCATCAATACCTTCCTTTATTATCTAATTGGACGTGCATCGTTTCATTTGCAAATGCAGTCTTTCCATATACTGTCATGATAATGAAATCGAGTCATGTCATGATATTAAATTCCTTTCCTCACGTCAACTTTACAAATAATAATCGAGTATTTCTAATTTCGTTAATTCTCATTACATTGTGTTCTCGATCACATTTTTTCCTTTTAAGTATCTAAAGTCTGTTATTTATAATAATACTTAACATTCTGATATTAAATGCAGTTTATCACAAGCAAACAAATATCATATATATATTTCAAATACTTGTTAAGAAAATGAAAGAATTATGAAAATAATAAATGTATAAATAAATAAATAAATATAAATAAAGAAAGATGTGTTTCTATAATATTGAAATGATAAATGTTAAAGCTAAATCCTAAATTGTAAATACAAAATATCTGAGCAAAAATGGAACGTAAAGTATCTTCTAAATCACTGCCAAAATGTAAGTTTGTCATTTGTCACAAGAGATTACTCCAACGTAAAAAACAAAACAATTACATTTACAACGTTAGATACAATAACAATATACATGCACACACGCGAGTCAATCGTGTAATTTCTCTGTCTTTAAGACGAACGTATCTTAGAAATTGAAGGAAAATTGTCTTCCTTATCTTCCCGCAGCCCCCCCTGTCCTCGTTATAAATAGCGATATCTTGTTCATTAATACTGAGTAAAAGTGCAAAAATTGTTTTTGTGTCGAGATTATACTCGATTTTCGTTTTACTTTTCGAAGCACACGTTTTTTGTAAATCCGTTTTTCTCTTTTTGGATTATAAATATCTAATTCAAACGTGATCATCATTCCTAGAGTCCGTACAACTTATCTTAAATAATCAAAGACTCACGTCTCCGTATTCCAAGTTCCATTTCTCATAAGTAGTCAAACTTGCTGGTGAAACGGATCTGCGAATTCTCCTTAGGGAATCACGAAAATCTTGCATTGTGATATTACGAACAGAATTGAGATCCAAATTTTTCACCTGATCTGGATTCAGTTCTGAAAACAATACAAGAATACATTTAATAATGTTGATGTCTAAATATATTAAAGATCCCATAAAGATCTTAAAAAAAAAAAAACAAATTGTAAAATGTAACATATATAGATATAGTAATATAATATGTATAATATATAGTAATATAGTACATAGTATTGCTATAATATATAATATAACATAGTACTATTATTACTAAAACTACTATACTATACTAATTAACTATGCTATGCTATGCTATATTATACTGCATATGGAAGAAGACTCAAAAAAGAGCCGAAACGTCCGCCGGATTTATAATTGATTAATGTAATTATTAGTGTTCTCAATAAATTAATTTTGAAAAAATATTACGTGCCTTGTGAACTGCGCCTGAGCTCTCATATATAGTTACTATTTATTGATATTGATAATATTTATTGAAATTAAAAGAAATAAATATTGTAGACCAACTAAACGAGCAAAATTACATAAGATATAAAGATTTATTAATAATTAAATTCTCATTCCATTAGAGAAACAATATACAACGTAAACGTTTCGACTGCACTACAGTCTTCTTCAATACATAAAACTCAAATATTAAAATACAAAGTTAACGATTCTTCGCTATAAACAATGGATAAGTAAGACGATTGGTCTGAGATTCCAAGTTTTGCGAAATTTAATTATGCTGTAGAGATTTTACGCGAATTAATTAATATCAGAGAAAATTGAAAAATCTTTCAACTTACATTATCGTTTTAACAAGTTCTTCTTCTCTAAATTTCAAGTGTGTGTTGCGAAGTCTAAATAACAAACGTCAAGGTAGAGAGCGTGATGTATATATTTATTACCAATGTTTTTCTAAACTATGATTCAGCTAATTTTTTAAGTATGTCAAAATAACTACTGTCTAACAATTCAGTCTTTGTTTAAATTAATTCCCGTTTAAATTATTCAAGATATTGTCTGTTTCCCAACCATTTGCGTAATTTTTGTAACAATAAATTTGTTTTCTACCACTATAAATAAAGAAATAGGATGCGTGGTTTGCTGCATAATATCAGAACTGAAATTCTCAACATAGAGATATTTGATTTATATAGAAAATTAAATTCACTCAATAAAAAACGGTCAAGGCAACTCCAAATTCTCCAAAATTATTTACCCTCTTATATCTGGCAGGAGATTTTTAATTATCATTGCAATTATTTTTCTTCGTTCAACCAAAAGTTATATCGCATACATAATAAAAAATTCCTATGGCTACGTAAATCACATGAAACAGAATACATTAATAATATTGATCCTATTGAATTAAAAACAACAGGATTATAGACTAATATTGTTGATAATACTGTTTTTGCTAACAGTTTTCGTGATGCTACACATAATCCTTCACAACAAACTAACCAGAAATGGTTTATTAATTTAACTCTGATAAAGATATTCCTCCTAATATAACTAATCTACTACAATTGGGAGGTGATTTCAGTCTTCCAGTTAACATAAATAAAAAAGTAGCCATACACGAGTTCATTAAAGATATAGAGAGTAATTCTAATGAGATCAGAAATCTTACTTCGATTCGTAATGCTGTTATTCCACAATTTTCTTTATTTTTAAAAAATAATGACAAAAAAACGTACACACAAGAAAAATTACTTCTCATGCACAAAGACACAATTAAATTCTGTAATCAAAACCCCAACATTTTATTTACTAGAGCAGATAAAGGCAGTATTACAGTCGCATTAGATAAAGAATTCTATATAAAAAAAGTTGAGTCTTTTAAAAGATGATTCTACTTATATCATAGTTAAAAATAACCCGTCATCTAAAATAGAAAAAGAACTTAATAATTTTTTTAAAAAATGGTTGAAAAAAGATATCATCAATAAGAAGGAATATTATTATTTATTTTCTAGCAATTCCCTTCTCCCCAAAGCCTATGGGCTTCCCAAAGTCCATAAAGAAAATATTCCTTTCAGATTAATAGTCTCTTCAATAAATACTTCTTTATATAACATTGCTTCTTTTTTCATAAAATTTTAAAAAATAGCCTTCCTAGAGCTGACAGTTTTGTGAATAACAGTTTTGATTTATGCAACATTCTATCAGGAACAACGCTAAAATATTCCGACACAATAATTTCATTGGATGTCGTTTCATTATTTACTAATGTCTCCGTAGATCTTGCATTGAACGGTATCAATAGTAAATGGTATTTTATAGTCACAAAGATTCCCAAAAATGACTTCATAAGTATGATAAAATTTATATTAACTTCTACATTTTTTACTTTCAATAACATAACTTATAAACAAATTTATGGGCTCCCCACTTTTTCCAATCATTGCCGATATAGTTATGCAGGACTTGGAAACATTGGTAATTTAAATTGCGAACTGACTTTCTATTTCCGTTATGTAGATAATATTATTTTATGCACTTCCGTTGACAATATTACCTACGTTTCGAATGAATTCAACAATTATAACGATAGACTAAAATTTACATTAGAAAAAGAAAATAATCGATGTATAAGCTTTTTAGACATAATGATCAAAGTAATAGATAATAAAATTTATTTAGATTGGTATCACAAAAAGACATTCTCAGGTAGATTACTCTCATTTTTTTCAAATTATCCGACTTGTCATAAATTAGAAACAATTTATAGCTTGGTAGATAGAGCTATATTGCTATCACATCCTCAATTTCACAAAAAAAATATGGAGAAATCTATTAATATTTTGCTATCCAATGGTTATCCTCTTAACTTAATTTTCATAGAAATAAAACGCAGATTGAAACATCTTTCGACAAAGAAATTTAGCAAGTCTAATACCAATAATATAATAGATACTAATACCACAAATACAAACATTAAATATTTTAAAAAACTCCATCTTCATCTCGACTAAGAGCCAAACGCGATGTTAATGCGACAAATTAATATTTAGAAATTTTTTTGGGGAAACAGAGGAATTTGAATCCTATGGTTGGGATCTCAGAAATTCCCCTTGTTCCTTCTCTTAACATCCCCTGTAAGAAAAAGACGAGAAAAATATTGGTCCGAAAGTTGGCTGAATCGGGAATCGAACCCGAGACCTTCCGCTTGCCGGGCGACTGCTTTTCCAGCTGAGCTATTCAGACACTTACAAATCAATATTTCTCTCAATGTTTATGTTATTAAATATTTTGTCATACCATATATAGAATCAATTTCTGATAAAGTCGCTTCAGCAATAAAAAGACCTGACATATTGGTGAGATATCGTTGCATTAAAAAATTGAATGACTTCATAAGGTTTCAAAAGAACAGAAACGATTGTCCCAAGAATTCTAATGTTATTTATAGATTGAATTGCAATGATTGTGACGCCACATATGTCGGACAGACAAAAAGACAGTTAGGAACGAGACTTAAAGAACATAAAAATAATATTAAATTAGACTCTGCTAAGCATTCGATTGTCACGGAACACATTCTAAATGAACAGCATACATTTGACTGGGATAACACTAAGATTATGGATCATGAAAAGAATTACTATAAAAGGCTAATATCTGAAATGATCCATATTAAAGAACAAAAAAATTGAATTAATTTAAACAAAGACACTGAATTGCTAGACAGTAGTTATTTTGACATACTTGAAAAATTAGCTGAATCATAGTTTAGAAAAACATTGGTAATAAATATATACATCACGCTCTCTACCTTGACATTTGTTATTTAGACTTCGCAACACACACTTGAAATTTAGAGAAGAAAAACTTGTTAAAACGATAATGTAAGTTGAAAGATTTTTCAATTTTCTCTGATATTAATTAATTCGCGTAAAATCTCTACAACATAATTAAATTTCGCAAAACTTGGAATCTCAGACCAATCGTCTTACTTATCCATTGTTCATCAGCGAAGAATCGTTAACTTTGTATTTTAATATTTGAGTTTTATGTATTTAAGAAGACTGTAGTGCAGTCGAAACGTTTACGTTGTATATTGTTTCTCTAATGGAATGAGAATTTAATTATTAATAAATCTTTATATCTTATGTAATTCTGCTCGTTTAGTTGGCCTACAATATTTATTTCTTTTAATTTCGTTAATTTATACGAGCCTTTCATCAATTAATTTTAATATTTATTGATATTGATAATATATAGGTACTTATACTACTATACTATACTGTACTGTGCTATACTATATACTCTATTATATACTATAGTACTATATTATATTTTGTACAACTATATTATATATATATATAGTTATAAAAATATAATATAGTACTACAATATATAATATACAATACAATACTACTATTATTATAATTACTATTACTATATTATACAATAATATATTTATTATATTATATATATATATATATATATATACTATATTATATAACAATAATAATATAATATGTAATATAATATAAAAATTTAATAAATTTTTTATACATGTTTGTTTTTAAAATCTAAAACTTTGAATATAATAAAATTTACAAATAAGATTCTCTGTATTAAATATGAAGTTATTATTGGAGAAATTGTAATATTTTGAACTGATTATTTCTAAAATGTCTGCACTAAACAAAAAACTATGCTTTAAAATGAACAACTAAATACATATTTTCCTTCATAATATAAACTAGAAATACAGAGTAACCCAAGAAAAATGATTAATTTAATATTACCTCTGATAGGCCCAAGTGCTGCATCCTTAGCTAAACCAGTCAAATCACTTCCCGAGTATCCCTCTGTCAAAACTGCCATCTCGTTCAACTCTTCGGGTTTCAATGGATCATTATGTTTCGCTAAAAGCCTCTGAAGTAATATAATTCTCGTCTGTATACTCGGCAACGTGACATACACCCGTTTCGTGAATCGCCTCAAAGCAGCTTCATCCAATTCTTGCGGTCTATTTGTAGCAGCCATAACAAGGACTCTCTCCTCGGGGTTGCAAGGCAAACCGTCGAATTCAACTAAGAATTCTGTTTTCAATCTCCTGAAAATTAAGTCGATCGATAAATTTCCTCGATATATTTATTTACAGAAAATGCATATAGAAAAAAGTATACATATATAAATAAAATATATATAAAAATAAAGTATATATATTTAAAAAAATATATATACACACGCTATTTTAAGGGTAAATAGAACACATCTCAAAGTGATGAAGAGTTTCTATCAACATATAGGATTGCAAATTGACCTCCTACTAAATTATGGATATTATTATAGGTTCAAAAATTAAACAAACCCATCACATTTTGATGAGGCGAGAAATAAAGGAACCATTTTTATCATTTTTTTATGTATTCACTACCTTAATCTTAAAATAGCAGTCACCTTTCTTGTTACACTCCACTTTTCAACACAATTTTTGTTTTTTCAATAACTGCATGCATTAAAAAATGACAACTGATTAGTTTCAGCAATTTCCTATGGGACACCCTGTATATACCTGGAAGCTTCGTGTTCGTTGTCCTTTCGCTCACTCAGCAGCGAATCCACCTCGTCAATGAAGATAACGGATGGCTGCAATTCCCGCGCGATCGAGAACAAGGCCCTTACTAATTTCTCACCCTCGCCGACATACTTAGACATCAGACTAGCAGCAGAGATCGAGAAGAACGTCGCGTTGCACTGAGTCGCGACCGCACGCGCCAGCAACGTTTTTCCGTTTCCTGGCGGTCCGAACAGCAACAGTCCCCTCGCGGGTGTTCGCAGACCGGTGAATAATTCAGGTCGCAGCGACGGCAGAATCACCATCTCTTGTAAAGCTTGCTTCGCAGTCTGAAAGTCGATAATTGCAAAATTAATTAAATTAAAATTAATTAAAGGCAATAACACTGGTTAATAAAATAAAATTTTTGTTTAGTTATCAAAGATGTTTGAGGAAATTTAGGGTATTTTGGAGATATTAAATTAAAATATGACAACATGTAATAAATAGAAATAATTAAGGCTTCTCGCCATGTTGGAATTGTGACGTCAAAGGCAAGAAGAAAACACACACTAAAAATTCTTAGATGCCATTTTGAAATAAAAATTAAGATATTTCGATGCAACAGCACTTCAGATAGATTTAAAATGCTTCGAAAACTATCCCTTTCCCTTTAAAATCAATCAAAACAGAAATATCTTTAAAAATGTCGTCTTCGAATTTTCAGCGTGTACTCTTTCGCCTCTGACGTCACAATCTAACATTGCCGCGGCGAGGATCCAGGAGCCTTAAAATAATGAATAAAATTAATTGAAATGTGGAAAATAATTTGAAACAAAAAGAAAGAAAAGACACACATATGAGGAAGAAAAAAAGGAGAGCAATATAAACCTCCTGGCCAGCGATGTCCTCCCACTGAACTGGCGCTCCTCCTTCCAAAATCTCATCGAGAATCACTTGTGTGAGTTTCGGATCCACGCCTTTCAAGACAGGCATCTTCCTAGTCGGCGTGCTCCTGTTACTATTTGAGGTAGTGGGTGTCCCTGGACGTCTTATGGGCGAACCATTGCTGGGTACAGACAGCTGTCTCTTGACAGAGGGTGGCGTGGACGATGGTTTGATAGGCATGGTCCTGTGGCAAGGTTGGATGGGCATCGATCTGCCCATGCTTCTTGGCAATGTTTGACTCTTGCTCAAAGGCGTACCTGTTATTCGTTTGCCAGGCACTGACAACTTCCTGCCGGACGCTGAAATATTTACATTGAAAAATAAAGCTCAAAAATTATAATACATAATTTTGATAACGTAAGAGAATCTTGATATATTTGTATATATGTATGTGGATGTATGTATACATATGCAAAATTACTCTATTTTTTATCATAAATAAGCTGTTTTTGACAAAATTTCTGAAAATGTATTGTTTTGAACATATCATTTTTTTAAGCATGCCAATACAATTATACACAGAATAATTCATCTAATTATATCAAAAGTATTAAAATAAGATTATTAAAACTAAATATTTTACGGGATATTTTATATTTTATATGTAAAACGTCAGAAATAAAATATCTCGTAAATCGTTCAATTTTTAACTATTTTATCCTTATAATTTTTTATGCAGATTATAAGGAATTTATTTATTTAAAACACTCTTAAAATAAATTCCATTTAAAATAATTTGAAATAAAAAACTTTTCTCTAAAAACGATATTTTTGAAGATAAAAATTTGTAAGACTTTGTTTTAAACACCTGGTATATTTATACTTGTGAAATTATTAAAGAGAAATTTAAAAAAAACCTAATTCCGACAATCATAAGAATTTTCTAAATTTTCTAAATAAGAAAAAACTCCTCAGAATTTTAGACTTTTAACATTTTTCCAGAAAATAAATAATCTATATATTTGAAACATTGGATATATCTCTTATTAATATTTGTGATAAATAGTAATATATCAAAAATATGAATTTTTTACATATACACACATAAAATAGCAGAGATTTTTATACTATATGTAATAAGATCATTAACTATAAATGTTTGTTTAAAAAATAAATTATTGTCTGAAAAATTCATACTGTTTGTTTTATAATAAAGTTACAGATGTATTGTTATTACAATCACAAGCAGAATATTATTATCTAATAAACTTCATTTTTATGCAATAAAACATTAATTGCAATATTGATTTTAAAAAAATTAACAAAGAATATATGCAGTGTTTCATAAATTAAAAAATAATCAAATATTTAAAATTATTTAATAAATAATAGAGCATGTGTAGAATTTTTAACTTCAAATCTCAACAAAAAACATCTCATTGTCATTCTAAATATATCAAACAATTTACAGTAAACAATTATATATATTTTTAAATAAAATTGTGTTTCTATGTACTAAAATGTTTAAGAAAACTGTCGATATTCTACAAATAATATGTTAAAAATCTATTTTTAAAGAACACTATAATGGAAAATTTAGAAATTACATATAGAAATCTAGCAACTTCTACAGCAAGACAAAAGAGCAACAATAACACATACATATGTAGCATTTCAATGCATGCATAACAATTATTACATTTGTCTAACTAATCTTCTATACAAAACGTACAATGTGCATTATGACCCAAATAGCAAAACGTTATTTTAATATTAAAATGACGTCATTTTTATGTTTAATGACGTCATTGATATCAAAATGACGTCATTGATATCAAAATGACGTCATTTTGATGTTTAATGATGTCTCATGTTTAATGTCAGTTTGCTATTTGGAGATGACTAGACTAAACCAAATTGTTTTTTGTGCCAACTATGAGTAATAATATGAATGAAAGGAGGGGGAGAAGCATTATATTATTTACATTCGACTCTTTTATGTTTAAGCACAGAATCTCAGACGAACAATACCTTCAGTAGTATGACAGTTTTTTGGCGAGCGTGGCTTTAGCTTGGGAATTTGGGTACATATAGTCTGCCCGCTATTAACTGTCACGTTTATATTGTTCGTGTTCTTAGTAGTATGACTAGCATTAAATGAAGTTTGATTGGTTTGAAAAGTGTGTATATTGTGGCGAGCCCTCAGATGCCTTCCCGGATGTTTGCCGTCCGTTTTATTTCCAGGAGGGCGATACTGATTGTTGATACCCAGCTTTCTCAGCTCACACACACTCACTACAAAAGAAGGAAAAACATTCTCTGCCATGCTGCAGTAGGCTGAAGAGAAAAATCAGGCTCATCTCTTCCACAAAATGTAGCGAAAGAGTACCGATGTATTAAATATTAATTATCAGTATCGGATCGAAAGTTCTGGCGTATGATTATATTTCAATTTGAAAAATATATCCAATTTCAGTTATCGAAATTCTGCTATATATGAGATTGGATTGATAATTTACAGAGATAAATTTGCACCCGTAAAAAAAAATGCAAAATGAAGATTGATTTGTGCACAAGAAAAAAAGTAAAGAATCTAAAAAAAATTATTAAATAACGCGAACATGCATATACACATACGTACACTCTCGTACATGTGGAAGAAAGTAAAATAAATTGCACACGAGCAAATACATGCCAAATACATCGATATTCCTTCTCTCATTGCCAAAATTTACCTGTGGACACTTTTTGTTTTTCGCAAATAAAGCCGGCTTGAATACATAATATTGCATCAGCAATATTTTATATTTATAAGTAACGAAAATTTGTACCATAGGTAAATAAAGCGTGGAGTAGCTTAAAAAAAATAGTCGATGTACAGAAAAAATGACAATCAGCACACTAACCCAAGAAGTCAAGTCTGTCTTTCGCCATTGCCAAGTTTGTACACATCTTGTCATGAAGTCTTTGCGCATGATCCCATACTTCGCCATGTCCACCAGTACACTCCACAGCTATTCCCTTTTCAAGTTCTCCAATGCCCTTCTTGTATAACTCGATTGCCATTTCCTTCTGACCTGTTGCAAGAAATAAAAATCGATCAGCTAAATTATATTATATTAATTCTGTAAAATATAATCACTTTATTAAATCTTTGTAGTAGCTCTTTAATATAATAATAATTTAATAGTAGTTTAATAGTAATGTAATAGTATTTAATATATCAAATTTTTTAAAATTGTGCTAAAATAAAAAATAGTATACCTTCATTATCCTCATCGATCTTGAGTGCTTTACTGATAAACTCAAATGCTCTACGATGATGATGCTTCTGCTTAGCGAGCAACGGATCCCCAGGACCCGGTCCGATCGGACGCCTAGGCACTTGCGACATGATCTCTCCCTCCACCTGACCACTGTTGGTCAAACGACCATCCGTTGGCTTTTGCCCGACAACAATCTCCAACTGGCAGACCTGTTTGGACGCCTGTCTACGCTGGATCAGTTGCGACGTCGAGGAATACAGATACTTGAACACCATAAACAACTGATATAGAAGAGTCCTTAACACATTGAACAGCAGTATCAGTGGGAAGGAGACAACGTAGAGATTACGCTTATGCACGGACGGCTGGGAGCCGTCCAGGAAACGATGATGACTGTGATGATAGTGATGATTGTGATGATGACCACCGCAGTTTACCGTCGTTGTGGTCTTGTCCCCGTTCTCACTCTTGGTCACGCACAGCTTCTTCGGCGACTTCGTGCCGAATTTTCGTATTGGGCGCGCGCCATCGCTGTAAGACATCTCCTAAGGGTACCAGCAGCTTTCCTTTCTACTACTGCTACGTCTATGGAAGGATGTCGCTTGTTCTGACGATCGTCGACGATGATGCCAGTGGCGGATGCTCGCGCCAACATCCCCAATGGAATAATCGGGGAACGGATCTGCTGGGAGAGAGAATAGTCTAGCATCAAAATAATACATTGAAAAAAAGGTTCTGCTATATACGTTTAAAATTATTAAAAGAGCACATATATGAGAGCCACAAGTATGGTTTTTAAAATAATAAATAAATAATAATAACAAAATAATTTGAGAAATTTTGAAAATAATTTTATGTTGCACCTCTAATATCTATTATATTCAAAATTTGTTAAATGACGTCACTAAACGTCAAAATGACATCATTAAACATCATTATAAATGTCAAAATAACGTCATTAAACGTCAAAATGACGTATGCTTACTACTTGAATAAATTATTTTGAAAATAATTAATGACAAAATATATAAAATAAAAATTATGAAAACAATTAAGCGCAAAAAAATTGTTTTTAAAATTTCTAATTATTTTGAAAATAATTAATAACAAAATAATTAAAGAAAATTTTTGAAAACAATTAGGCGCAACAAAATTCAATTCAAATGTTTATTTTGAAAATAATTAATAATAAAATAATAAATAAAATTAAAGAAGAATTTTAGAGGATATCTTATCAGCCCTTTTCATACCTAATTTTTTTTTTTTTTCTTTTAATACCTACATCGTTCCCGTGGATTGGATATCCGCGCGATAGTAGAAATGAAGATGCCACCGAGAATCGCAAAATTACGAGAAATCGAGGAGAGCGATGACAGGACGACGAGGAGCGGCGAGTCGTCTCCTCGTTCTGGCGTTTCTCCCTCGCGTTCCTCCCTTTCAGGAAACGGCAATCAACGAAGGAATGTGAACCTTCACCCTTGAGCATCGCTTGTTTTCGTCCGCTCCCCCGACGATGTACCTCTCGCAGTTCTCAGAAATTCACTTCAGCCATAGAAAATAAAATACATAGACGGGGTCTTTTCTGAAAGGAGGATTCGCGATGAGAAAAAAAGGTTTGTTCTTTTCTAGGGGAATTTTTGCACCAATGGAAAAGTTCCTAGAAATAAACAACAATGTGACGCGATTGGTTATTAAATAGGGAATTTTTAAGAATTTAAGAATCCCCAGAATTTTTCCATTTGACAGCCAATCAATGTGACAGTGCGTTTCTTGCGAGAAAGCTCTCTATATTTATGTTATCTATGGTCTAGTTTTCACCGAAACATAATAAAAATGGTGTATGAGCTTTTATAGCTCTAGCCAAACAAGAAGAAAAAGAAGAAGACCGAATTCGCACCTTGTGCAGCAAGAACCAAAAGTTATTTTATTTATTTATTTATTTATATTTATATATGTTTATTATGACTTTTATATATGTATATAGTTGATTTGTTTTTATAAATAATATTTTAATATTTTTTATTTTATGACGCCAATTCATCATCATATCAATTTCAGATTTTTGATTGTTAAGTGCATTTTTTTTATTTATGTTTTTCATGATAAATCATAAATTGATAGCGATACATTGACATCACACAGAATTATTTATATTTGTTCATATCTTTTATCATTGGTGTACAATTATTTGAATCAACAATTCAATTTTTATTCATACTTTATAATATATAATTATTATGTCACAATATGTATTGTAAAAAATGATTTATTTATTAACGCAGTAGTTTATTTCTTTCAACAGGTCAGCACTTTTTTACACATTTTCTCAGTAGATTTCAAAGATTCTTGCACATATATCTATGTTTAAGTAAACATTTCAATTAATAACTATAGAAAATTCTTGCCTAAATATCTATCATTGAATATAAAATTTTTGTAAAATTATAAATTTATTTTACTACCACTCACACACACAATATATATCCAGTATAAAAAGTTTTATATAACAAATTTTATATATATTTTTAGATATATATATATATATAAAAAATATATATAAATTTATATATATAAATATATAATTTTTAACATTTATATCACATACTTGAATATTAATCATATACTTGAATATTTCATACAAATAACTCCAGGAATTTTCCTCGTTTCCTTCATATCAATGAGTAGATCAGAACGGATGTCTGCAGGCGATGCTTTAAATTCTTCACTACTGATTACGTCAACACTGCGTATGTTTGCCATCCATTTGGATTGCTTCTATGGACTTAACTCAACGAAGGTGTCAGAGAATCATGCTTATTATCACCGATATAAGTTTGTACATTGGTAGTACTAGGCATCAGTATCAGGTAAAATAAATATTTCTTCCTTATAGAATAGTTAGTTTGCATATTTATAATTTTTTTTCATTGCTCCATTAGTTTGATCCGTTTTAGAATCTTTTTTAAGCACAATTTTCACAACATTGTGCTTTATCAAGTTGTTTATCAAATCTGCCTTCATCTTCTGCGCCTTACTTGTGGCAATAAATTTCTGCTTCCTGCGCAAGGCCTGTGGAACAAAAGAATGAGAAGGCTCTTTTCTCACTACCTGGTTCCCACACTGAGAGCTAATTATGTACGAACAATATTATAATCTAGATAAAAGAACAGTTTTGTTTGTGCATAAATACATAGTATGTTTAAAATTTGTAATATACTATTCCTTCTTTGCATAAAATGTACAATATATATATATATATATATATATATATATATATATATATATATATATATATAAAAGAAAATTTGTTAATTAGGAAGAGAGAAGATTTATAAAATAGATATTACATTAAAAATTATATTTTCTATATATCAAACTGTTATGATAAAATTCATTATATATGAATATCAATAGTTAATCCAAGTTACCAAGCTTTACTCTACTTTCTCTTAGTGTAGACTTTTTAAGGGCACATCAACTTTTCACACAGATTAGCAATTTGAGCAATTTCCATATAGAGTACTCTCGTATATTTCATTATTTATATCATTTTGTGCGTGATTCCAAAAATAGAGATTCATATCCCTATAAAGATTATCCTACAAAAAATTGAAATCAAAATTAAAAAAGAGACAAGAGTATATTAGAATGGATCTCTGTCTCTTTTACTATCTGCGCTAAAAACATTTTTCATTAAATATTTAACATTGGAAATAGTTTTGTATTATTTATTTTTCTTTTATTTCATATAAACTACATAATATATATATACAGGGTGTTATAAAAGTACCGGAACAGCAGAATAACTCGAAAAATATGAGTCCTAGAAAAAATGTTAAGTACTGGGTTTTAATGATTTGTTCCTGACTATCTGAACGTCAGATTAAACAGGAAATTGGATATGGTTGTATAAATTATATTTATTTTTTTCAATTCATAAATAGTATACAAATCGAAGTCAATGTTTTTAACTATAATACTAGAATGACATCAACCATACAATTAGCAAATTCCTGGCAAAGAAGGAAGTCTACCAGACTCTTTTTGTATTCTTCTCTAAAAATTTATTCATTCATCCTTGAATTTATATTTTAATACATTGCTATTTTTCGAAAACGAAGGCTTTCATTGAAAAATGTTTCATACAAAAATTGATTTTGAAAAACGTCATAAGTATAATTTTATTCCAAATAAAGACATTTTTGAGATTTCGAGGTCGTTATTTTTTTAAACGAAACCATAATTTTCTTACATAAATCAAGTCATCGTAATATTTGACGTAAAAAAAGTATTAAAATGGAATAGTCGAAAAATGAATAGTTTACGAGATATTTTGTTTTATCATATTTTAAGAAAATATTAAATATTTATATATATATATATTATATATATATATTTTTTTTATATATATTTTATATATATATATATATATCTCCTAATATACTCATTTTTCAATAATCTTGTCTTAATAATTTTCCGCACAAAATGAAATAAATATCGATTGATGTAAAAAAACATAGCACAATTATATATGTATGTATGTATATCGTATAAGCAATCGTATCAATTTTAGTCAGCGACAGATTAATTAAATCCTTTCTATATCACATATCGCATGTTTATACATACGGGATCATTAATCATTAATGTCTTATTAACACATAAATTTAAGTGCATTTTGAAATATATTAACAGGAAATGCACATATATGTTCCAATTTCCAATATGCGCAAATATATGTGTATACATATATTCAAAGTATTAATAATATGGCTCTTTTATACGTAACGATTATAAATTGTAAAATTGCATAATTGAAAATCCTGTTCTGTTTAAGTTTACTATATTACACACACACACACATATATATATATATATATATATATATATATACACATTACCGTTTAAAAGTTTAGAAACAATATTTTTAGGTAAACAAAAATTATATGCTTAAATTAATTGCCTGTAATAAAAGTTTATCGTATTTTATTTATTTTATATTGTTTATACTATAATAAAATTCTGTTTTTAACTAACCACATTTTTAGAAAGTATTATTAATTTTTCGAATTTTGCTTATGCATATGTTCTGTTATATTTTTATTTATTAGATAAAAACAAAGTGATTTTAGGTAATTTTGATATAAACTCAGTATCTTCATATTTGTTATAGGCACATCAATTATATTTAATTATAAAGCATTCAGAGATGATAATTGTATTTTCTGGATTTAGAGTGGTTACAAATTTTCCATTTCTTTTTTTAACATTTTATTTTTTTAAATGGCAAAAACGGATGTTAATTTTGTCATATAATCCTTTTGATTATAATTTTAAAATCTGTAATTTAACTTTTTATGATTTTAATTAATAATTTCTAATTATTTCCAAACTTTTAAACATTAAATATACACGCGCTCGTATTTCTTTTATTTTTTCCAAATATTTGAAAGATACTTTGTTTATTTGTTTAAGATATGCTATTTAATAAACATACTTAAGTATTTTTATATGTTATAACTCTAAATCAAATTATCTGAACATTATTCTAGATAATTTAATAAAGATAACACATTTTCATCTTCGATGCAGATATAAATAATACATATTTTTATTATCTATATAAAGATAAGATGATGCTATTTCATCTAGATCATCTTTATAATTTTATTTTAGATATAACAACAAACACTGTATGGAACATATATACTATCAGATTTTATGGCCAAAGAAACAATTTTTCTCAGCGAAAATGTCGAAGGAAGTCATCATTTTTTGCATATTTTAATAATTTTTGCCATCTTGAATTTTTTTATAACTATATAAGCCTTAAATTAAAATTCTATTAAATTAAACTCTACCTGAAATTAAAGAATATCAATATAATAAAAATATTAAAGAATATATAGTTTTGTTAATATTTTAATTCCATAAAATTTAATTTTTGAGATGAAGCTCTTATTCTTTCCGTACCTGCTTGATAATTTGAAAATTATTGGTTTTTCATTGAGGAAAAATTATTGGTTCTTCATTGAGGAAAAATTTTATCTCTAAATTGGTCAATATATATTTGTTCAGTTACAGCTTTGTATATCATATCTATCTATCTATCCATCTCTCTCTTGCTATTCTCACACACGCACACGCAGATATACTTTGGCATTATTACGCAGTATCGGTTGGCTGCACGTCTCGCGAATCACGCGAGGAAATCGTATGGATGTGCCACCCTATATATATATATATATATATATATATATATAGAAGTACGATTGTGTGATATGTATATTATGTATATACATATTACACATATGCACAATTCCTATATACAGAGTGTTTCCAGATTAAATAACCAAATTTAAAATACGAATTTAGGACCTCAAAACAAACAAATATTTTATCTGGAAGTTTGCTCGCAAATACTTCCTTGAATAGATATTGACTTTTGAAATTTTGAACTATAGGATAATGAATAATGTCGAAATGTTCCCATTAGATTTTTTGTACCCTGTATATACATGCACACACACATTCGCCTATCACGTGCGCGCGTGTGCACTCACGTATACATTTCCAGATACGACATATATATATATATATATATATATATATATATATATATATCTCGTATCGTCATCATCACAGAAGTGGAGTGAGGTAGAGGCCACCCACTCTTTCCCACAGCAGGTTTTTCCCACGCCCCCCAGGGTAACCCCAACATCCTTTTGCGGCAGCAATTCCACGGCCCATGGGGACGCCATCGGGGAGGGGGAATGACAACCGCAGGAACGGGGAGGGTGGGGGCGGAGAAGGGGGAGCGCGAGCGGCACACATCATCAGGAAGGGAGGCAAGAAACTGGAGGCGCTCGGGTCGACCGGGCCATTGTACAACAGTAAAACAATAGAATCTGCAACACCAGTGACGTATCCGCGTGCGCAAGCGCCGTGTCATCGCGAAAAGTCGCAAATTTAATAACAAAAAATAAATGTCATTGCAAATAAAGAGAGAGTGCTTGATTTACTTCTCTCTAATGAACAATAAATAGTTCTAAAAGTGCACTCGATAGACTCCACTTGCTCGTTCATTGATTCGCGTTTGATGTGATGTGTGTGTGCGATTATATAAATAAATTATTTTTCTTTTATTTTTCCATCGCGCAAAGAACGGACTATAATCTCGAAAAAGTGCCATAATCAGGATTAATATCAATATATTGTAAAAAAAATTACCAAATCTCTCTTGTGCATTTTCGAGTGTGTCTAATAAATGGCACTTTGTATAAAGGTCAAGAGAGAATATTAACTTTTATAATATATATTCGAAGCAATAATTTAAAAAAGATTATATTCATCACAAATAAACTATCTACGACGTTGGTGTGGACGAGGTTGACAAAATTTCATCGAACCAGTGTTCAAATATCACTGACGTTTCGCGCGCAATTTTCATACATTGACGTGAAGTTTGACGCATATCGAGGACACGGCAGGGTCTCACCCTATTGAGAGAAAGAGAGAGAGCGTACACTTAAATGAGAGCTGAGAGCTCACGTGCGAGACTCCCCACTCTACTTTTGCCACGTTTATGATGCACTTTACTTGTGCGCGATATGGCAGCAATAACTCTGTATACGTTGTTGCTGCAAACTTAGTCATTCTTCGGTCGTTGGCCGTGTGGGTAGGCCCTTATACCGCCGACTCTGCCAGCATATCCAATCAGGAAGAGGGATTTGTCTGTTAGACACTTGCTTTAACACCTCATGTGCAAGATTGTCAACGATTCGGCTAGCTTTACTTGAAGGATATTTTATTTATTTATTTTTTTTTATTTAAGTCAAGCTTACATTCCATATTAAACTACAATCATTCGTTGTCGTCCTCAAACAACTGCAAACGTGTCTGAATGTGTTTTTGCGCAAACCTATTTGAAGCCTATTTTTGAGATCAATTCAAGGTCTTTAGCATTTAACAACAACTACTTCTGACTGGCAAATGTAGACCTTCAATGATTAGCAAAAGCTATTAAACTATAAAAGAAGATTAAGCTACAATCGTCCTCGAACAGGTGTCTGGACGTGTTTTTACACAAAAACCTACTTGAAGTCTATTTTTGAGATCAGTTCAAGGTCTTTAATACCTGACAACAAGTACTTCTGGCCGATAAAGGCTATATTAAACCATAGAAGAAGAAGATTAAGCTACAATTGTCCTCGAACAGATGTCTGGACGTGTTTTTGCGCAAAAACCTTCTATTTGAAACCTATTTTTGAGATCAGTTCAAGGTCTTTAATATCTAACAACAAGTACTTCTGGCCGGCAAATATAGACCTTTAAAGGTTATTAAACCTTTAAAGGTTATTAAACCTTAGAAGATTAAGTTACAATCGAACCCCGAGTAGCAAACTGACGATTAAACAAAATAATATCGTTCGCTACCTGAGTCTATAAAGAAATTTCCAAAGCGTGGGATTCGAAATCGCGAAGTTCTCTGGCACGTATATGGAAATTTGAATTTTCGCGCGCGATCGTCGTTTGTCGGAGGGTTGGCAGGACTGTTCGGAAAATTCAGAAGTGAACAGGTGTTTTTTGAACCGGATTAGGGAGAGTATAGGCGACCGAGGGAGAGAGAGGACGCGATGCTTCGCGGATGGTGAACGATTGCCGGCCGTTCCGGATGATCGATCGCCCCCGAGGATGATGCACCAGGGTACGCGGTCGCTCTTGGAATCCAGACGAAAATGAGGAGGTGAGTCTGACGTTTGTTTTTCTCTTTTTTTCATCCGCCGGGATAAATGCGTGTGCCGCTGGTAACCTCTCCCCTGCGTCGAAAACGTAAATAAACAAATGAGCGGAAATGCGACTCGATTGTTTCTTTGCTGGATGCACTTTCCCTTTTTTTTTTTTTTTTTTTTTTGCGATCAAAGTTTTTCACCTCTTCCCTTATCGGAATCTGATGTTTACAAAAAAGGAACTTTTTTGTAGTTTTTATTTTCGCTTCTGTAATTCGAGCTTTTTCTACGCGAATTTGTATGGAATTTATATGAAATTGATTTGAACTCAATCTTTAAAAATTTATAGAAGAATAAATAAGTTTTTAGGATGACAGATCGAATATTCTTGCATTGAGTCATATATGTTACACAAAATGGATTATTAAATTAATATATTATTATTTTATTAATATATTAATTTATTGTCATTTATTATTTACATACTTTTGCAAAACTTATATATGTATATATTTGATAAATAAAGAAAAATTCGAATTACAAGGCCAGAATGTACATTACTGCATGTTTTATATTCTACTACTCATTGCATCGTTACATCACACACAGGCTATCCGATTTTTGCTTGTTATTTGAAAGTTAAACTTCATGTTTGATGCTAGGCTCTACGCTGGATTCAAACATCCGACTAATAACAAGAATTAGGAAATATATGTATCATCGTGTTGCCAGAGATTGTATTAACACTTATTTCTGCATTAATTATCATTGCTACTACTACTAATAATAATAAATTTACATTTCTTCTTATTCCTGGTGGATATTTAATCACATATTCAATCATGTTTTAGATAAGCAAACAGCGAATGATAGTTTAAGATTGCACCGATTAATCTGAGCATGTGACGTATGAGCACGACAATTACTTCTCTCTTTCTCTCCTGCACCTCCTGAAATTGTTGCTCTTAATAATTTTGTTATAATATTAGTTAACTAATTTGTGTTTTTTTATCTAGTTATTGCGCAATTGCTAAAGATAGTTTAAAAAAGACCAAAAATGTGATTAAAAATCTAGTTTCAAAAAAAATTGACTGCATCTTGTTTTTTTACTGCACTTGACTCTTGCTAGTTTATTTTTTACCAGTTTTTATAATTTGTGTTGTTACATTACTTTTTCATGTAGTTTGATATAATATTATGTTTAAATAAAATCAGAATTATATTATAACATTATGGAATACAGTAATAAGCAAATTATGAAATTGAAGAAACTCTATGTACATAACGCATCACTTGATATATTTGATAAATAAAATTTAAAATTATTGAATTTGATTCCCACAAAGAAAAATAATTGATTTATATTTAATTTATATTTATAAAGAAAATACTCTTTTACTACTGTCAAAATAAAATACTCGTTAAATTAAGTGCTAAGTAAGATTTAATTTTTTATACGAACGAAAGTATATAAAGAAAAACAGAATAAAGTTAAAATTATAAATATATAAATTTAAAGACTTAAAAATTATAAAATTTTCTTACACAAATGTGTATATGCTTAATTTATAGTTAATTTTGTATAAATGATGTAACATTCATTTATTATGCTAAATGTTATATTTAATACTACTGTTAATTTATATATATATATACATTTTTATTATATATATACATTTTTATTATATATAAATATTTTTTTATTATATATAATATAAAATCTACCTGTGTAATGGACAAGAGCGCTTTAATTCATGCAAGAAAAATGAGTCCAGCTTGGTTCTCACGGTATCCGCATATGTATATGTACATGTACATATTGTTTCCTCTTTCCTGTACCAAGACTAGCAATTCTTAGTGGTTTATTCGAAGAAAGATATCTCGAGTTAATTATACTTCCCCTTCCTTCATCCCATCCCTTCTTCTCTATAAAAAGCAAAAATTTTTCTCACGCTGAAGTTTTAAATGAGCGGACATTTGTATGCAGTTTGGTACGCTTAATCGCGTTAATAGTGACGTTATATTGCATATTATGCGAATACATTATCGCACGCGGAATAAAGTTGCGATACACATTCACTATATATTGTACAATTATTTTATAATTATACATTATATTACGCACGGATTATCTACTCAATGTATGTACATAGATATAAGTATAACATTGCTAGACATTTATTAAGAGAAACAAAGTATCATTAAAAACCACGTGCTGTTTATTTGTTTAACTGCGTTTTTATAACTGTTATATATAATTATAAAATATATATATATATATATTTTTTTTTGCGCTTTATTAATATTGCAATTAGTGTTTTGCAATAATTGTATTAAGATAATTCTGCAAAACCTACATCTTTTGCTAAAATAGAATTTTGTAATTATGTTGCATGTTTCATGCATTTTATCTAAAATTTTTTTGTAAAATTTTAGATTTAAGATTGTTTGATTTTAATAATTACATATATATAACTTTATACTATAATAGTTTTCATAATAATTGCAAAATTAATTTCTAAAATGTATTCGGCAATAATTGTGTTAAAATGATTCTCACTAATGCTACAGTTATGTTAACATTTATTTTAGACGTCAATTTTACAAAGATTGCTAATTTTATAAAGATTCGATATTACAATAATTAAATTTAGAATTAATAAATTCAAAATTTAAATTTAAAATAGTAATACAATATATTAAATGTTACATTTTACTACTTCTCGTCGCGCCCATGTCAGATTGTGACGTCAGAGGACTGCACATGCGTAAAGATCAGATGGACTGGGTCTCATATTACATCATTTTACAGCTGTTTATTGATTATAAAGAGAAAAATATAGTTTTCGAGATAATTTAAAGCTATCTAGAATGTTGTTTTATCGAAATATCTTTATTTTTCCCGATTCAGCCGACTTTTTCGGACCGATATATTTTTCTCGTCTATATTAATTTTAGGAAATTTTGGGAGGTTTGTTAGGAAGGAAGAGGAACTTATAAATCTCGATTTGAGATAGTTCCTCATCTTGGAAAATTTGCTAAGCATTATATATTGGCTCTCACAGCAATAGATTCTCTATCTTTGTGATCTTTATTTTTATTTTAAAATTTTATTTAAGAATTGTTAGCGTGTTTTCTTGCCTTTGACGTCACAATTCCAACATGGTCAATAAGGAGCCAGCAGTCTTAAAATTAAAATAATACTTAAATTTTTTCGCATGCTTTACTATTTGAATTTGTTATGATTTTAGTTAATAACTATTTTCATGGTGTATGTGTCTAATTTCTCTTCAACTCTTGATCTGGTTGTACATACAATGTCATTCCCTATTGCACTGTTCCCACGAGATAGTGGTAATTATACAATTATTTAATAATTATTTATCGATAAAATTACATAATACTTGAATTTTGTTCAATCATTAAACTTATATTTGAATTTATATAGGTAAAAAAATCGGAAAGCTATTCTTGAAGAAGATGAAGATATAACAGTGCCAACTTCGGCGGCAGCTTCATTATCATCTCCCTGTTCGCGCACCGAGGCCTGAAGTTTTAAATATGCCACATCAGTTTGGACTGCCAACAATGGCGCACAGTATGCAATCCCCGCCCTCACCGACCTCAGTCATGTCCGTCTATCCTCGATTCGGCACCGGCATCTACAGACCCGATCAGCAGGACCAGCGATTGACTCGCGAGGCGATGGAACGCTACCTGCGCGACCGTAGCGACATGATGATCGTGATCCTACACGCCAAGGTCGCGCAAAAGTCGTACGGCAACGAAAAGCGATTCTTCTGCCCGCCGCCGTGCATCTACCTCTTCGGCGACGGCTGGAGAATGCGGCAGGAGCAGATGGTGCGCGAGGGTGAGAGCGACCAGAACGTCCAGTTGTGCGCCTTCATCGGGATCGGGAATTCGGAACAAGACATGCAGCAGCTGGACCTGAACAACGGCAAGCAGTACTGTGCGGCGAAGACCCTCTACATCTCGGACTCGGACAAGCGCAAGCACTTTATGCTCTCCGTCAAGATGTTTTACGGCAGCGGTCACGACATTGGTGTGTTCCTGAGCAAGCGCATCAAGGTGATCTCGAAGCCATCCAAGAAGAAACAGTCCTTGAAGAACGCGGACCTGTGCATCGCCAGCGGCACGAAGGTGGCGCTCTTCAATCGCCTGCGCTCGCAGACGGTCAGCACGCGTTACCTTCACGTGGAGAACGGCAACTTCCACGCGAGCTCGACGCAATGGGGCGCGTTCACGATTCACCTCCTGGACGACAACGAGAGCGAGTCGGAGGAATTTCAAGTGCGGGACGGTTACGTCCACTACGGTAGCACCGTGAAGCTAGTGTGCTCGGTTACGGGAATGGCGCTGCCTAGACTGGTGATTCGCAAGGTGGACAAGCAGATGGCGAGCTTGGAAGCCGACGATCCCGTCTCGCAACTGCACAAATGTGCTTTCTACATGAAGGACACGGATCACATGTACCTCTGCCTGTCCCAGGATCGTATAATACAATTCCAGGCTACGCCCTGCCCGAAGGAGGCGAATAAAGAGATGATTAACGACGGCGCCTGCTGGACGATCATTAGCACGGACAAGGCCGAGTATCAATTCTTCGAAGGCATGGGTCCGGTAAGGTCGCCAGTGACGCCGGTACCCCTGGTCCACAGTCTCCACCTGAACGGCGGGGGCGACGTGGCGATGCTCGAGCTTACGGGCGACAATTTCACCCCAAATCTGCAGGTTTGGTTCGGCGACGTCGAGGCCGAGACCATGTACAGATGTCAGGAGAGCATGCTCTGCGTGGTGCCTGACATCTCGCTGTTTCGTGGCGAATGGCTTTGGGTGCGCCAGCCGACCCAGGTCCCCGTGTCCCTCGTGCGCAACGATGGCATCATCTACGCCACCGGTTTGACCTTCACGTACACTCCCGAACCCGGACCGCGTCCGCATTGTCCACCCGCCGATGAGATCATGCGAGCGCCACGTACCATGCACAATCAGGCTAGTATACCAACCGCCGCGATGTCCGTGGCCGATGTACCTTGGAACACCCATCCTGGACAACCCCCGCAGTCAGGTCTCTGATACCTTCTCGATACTCGTCAGAACGCGAACCAAAATTTATTGCGATGCGGCGGTGATCTGGGCGCCGCGACACCACGCGTGGTGCCACCTCCCGATGACGACAATGAGGATGACGATGATGATGAGATGATGATGATGATGATGATGATGATGATGATGATGATGACGATGACGATGACGATGACGGGAATCGGAGTGACGGTGACGAGTGCTCGTATCTGGCGAAGGATTTGTTACTCGAGATGGATAACAGTGTGGCGAACCTGGACAATATGAAGACGTAGCGTTTTGCTCATCCGATTTCGCGTCCTAAGATTTGTCCCTTAGGCTTAAACTCGTAATTTGTTAATAAAGATTTACAGAGATAATAATTTATATAGCGATTTTTTGATTTAACAGTTTACGCGAGTGTGTCTAGACCCGAATATCGGACGAGAATAATTTTCAAGAATGAAGTGAATCGGACTATATAAGATTCCTGATTCGACGCTGGTGAAATCAGTTTTTGTCGACGCATTCGGAACACTTCCCTTGGAACTTTATTGTTGACGTCTCGTCTAGTATTTTATAAAGAAAAAAAAGAAACTATCAAAGGAGCATAGTCAGTAACGAATGTAATACAATCTTAGGCTATATATTTACATATTGGTCACCGAACGGTTGTGCTTTTAACACTATATCTGTTACGAGAGGAGCTATCACGCTCGGAGATCGGTATAGCAAGTCTCATAATTATAAAAGCTATTTTGCGCTCTCTTTATAATATGTATACAGGGTGTCCCACAACGTGATATTCATACTGAAACTGTGTATTAAGTACAAGAAAAGTACCTTTAAGATTTACCTTACCACAATTTATAAAGTATAGTTAATTATTATTTAATATTATCAATAAATAATACTGTTTTTATTTTATGCATTTTTTTGCTATAACTAAAACAATCGACCTTAGGGCATATGTGTATTAAGACTTTTCGACTTAGAATGGCACCAAGAATACACAGTTTCAGTATGGACATTACGTTACGGGACATCCTGTATATATACAGGGTGCTCCAAAATTAGATTGACAAAATTCAAGTTAAATAATATCAAAATAAATCAGTTTTGCCAATAAATCCATGTAAATAAACTGTTTCGGCACTAGAGAATCAGAATGGGTTTATTGACAAAATTGGCTTGTTTTGATGTCCTTTATAACCATCTGAAGTTTCTCGGTCTAATTTTAGGACACTCTATTATATGTCATCACTAGATCGTAAAACAAATTCTAATTTATTGGGATCGCCAGTATTGGCGATTTGTTATTCCACCAGGTGGAAGTGATTTAAAGAAGCAAAATGTACGGGGGAAAAAAAATAAATCGAGAAAAACTATATGGAAATCTGTGCGTTGCTTTGCATGAATGGTCTATCATGTACAAAGTAGTATAGAGGATGGGGTGTATTTTTGAACCCGCGCTCCCGATTGTGTACTCGGATTGTGACATTTGGTATATTTGTAAATTCGTGCACACACACACAGCGGCAATAGACTTCTTCATTATTTATTTAAAAAAATGCACCTATTCTTTTTAGCGAGCGAATGTATGGTATCACGCGACTTGGTGCTGATTGTAAAAACAGCTAGAGATTGATTAATCGAGTTAAGTAGAAGATTCGTATGCATTTTTTTCTTCTTTTATATCTGGGAGAAATAATTGTGTCCAGTTTTTAAGGCTCCTGATTCCCATGTTGGCATTATGACGTCAGAGGAGCCTTAAATCACACATTTTCTTCTGATATAACGCGCGTATATGTTACTTTGTGTATATATAGTATTTTAAACGTATACGTACAGCACTTATTGAGTGATTATCGTGGATCCCGGTGTATAATTAATAATTACGTTAAATATATACCTTTTCGAGATATTCCCGCGTGAGATTAATTTTTGATTAATTATTCTCTTGTAATCTTCGTAAAATATAAAAATTTATTATATTATGTTTTTATTATATTTTTTATTTTTATTAAAGAAAAAGATGAGAGAAGAGATATATGGACAACACTATGCCGCGAACGAGCAGAGAGCTACTTTTAACTTTTAAATTATATTATACACTTAGGAGGATTTATGTGCTATGACACTTAAGTTTTTTTTCAAATGAAGGATTTTCTGTATTATAATATTCTGTGTAGAGCGTTTTTCTCTGAGTATTTCTTCGATTAAAGAAATTCATTGAAAATTATATATTTATATATATGCTTTATTGTAATTATACTAATAAGTATAATGAAGACACATATAAATATGAATTTTTATCTTCTATATAATTTAGAATAAAACGAAAGTTTGTACTACACAATTTTTATTCGATGTTTAATAATCGATATTAGTCCCTGATTGATTCCCGATCCCAGATCTGAAACGTGAAAAATCTATAATATATAAAATAAAAATCAATAAACTTGTAAATCATAGATTATTCGATGAATAATTAGGAATTAATTTTAGCAAAAGTTTATAGCGAGTAAGAATCGAGTCAAAATATCTATATTTTTTATTTTGATAATATCGTATTGTTAAACAATTCTTTAGCAAATAAATATACACATATAATAAATAAGTAATGTGTTGAAAAAGAATTGACGATTTCTTTTAAGCGAATAATTTACGATTTCTTTGATGCGATGCTTTCAATCATTAACGCTCGCATCCTTTTCTTTTTTTTTCTTTTTTTTTTTTTACAAGAGATAATCAAAACATCGTCATCTCCAAGAGGAAATAGATAGCATCGCTTGGGAATCTGTTCGCAAAGAGATCCGTGTTGGAAAGGGGGAACAGTGGTATACATTCCATGGGAATTTACCCACGATTAACGTTTGCACTTTGCGTGCAGAGAACATAGTCGTTTTTTATTCGCAATTATAAAAGCGAATTAATTACATTCTTATATGAGGCTTCTTTGTTTCGAAAAAAAATACTCCGTATATAGACAAAGCGATATATTTGAGATATTTATTATATTATAAACCGCATCAGTTTGTTATATTTATATATTCTCTATAAATTTGTGAATTTCTGAAAATTTGATCCACGTTATTTACGAATTCGTATATATTCGGACAGTTTTCCAATATTTCCAGATTTCCAGTATATATTCTGATTATTTTCATTATCCTATATAGATGCGCACAGTTATTACAAATTTTTTTTATTGCATTATTCTTAAATAAAAATCATATACTTATAACCGCTATTTATGCCCGTATTATATTAAGATTCTTGGTTATTCACCGATCATATTGGAATTGTGACGTCAGAAGCGAGAAAACGCACGCTAAAAATTCTCAGATTATCAAGGGAAAAGAATAGTTTTCGATGTATTTTAAAAGTGTGCTAAAATCATCTGAAATATTTTTTCATTTAAAAATGGCATCAAGAATTTTCAGCGTGTGCTTTTTCATCTCTGACGTCACGATTCAACGTGGCCGTGACGAAGATCCAGGAACCTTAACGCGCACGAAAGTGCTTTAAAATAATATGAGTTTGAACACAAGGTTCACTAATAATAATTAAAATATATATAGAAATATAATATTTTATACAAAAACTATTATGTTTTTAACTGTAAGTAAATCATGTACAAATTGTTCGACTAACACAACTTGTGTACATACATAGTTTGTATATTTCTTTTATTACAAATTATATAATATTTAAATTTTCTTTCGTGAAATTGACAGGTAAATATAATCATGATTTCTATATATTTTATATAAATTATATAGCATAATATATAAATGATACTTGCATAAAGAATGTTTACGTTGTATATATGATAATGTAACATGAACAATAACGAATATCTTATAAATACGTGAAAGAGATAAATTTAAATAATTTCTCGTGTTTAATCAGATGGAAGTAAAATTGATGAGACAATATTGGATAGTTCTGTGTGTGTTAATTGATGATAAAATATGCTTGTAAAAAAAATAAATCTAAAAATGATCGAGGAACGCAAAATATTACCGAAATTACTTTCATATTTATTTGATTCGTATCGTGCGTTGCTTGTTCATGTTCGTGAGCATTAGCGAAATGTAGGAAGTCAAAAGATCGTCCATTTTATAACCCAGCGAGGTTTCGCATAAGAGTTTCGAACCTCGCACGAGGTTTCCTATCGTCATGTGGAAGTAGGTGTTCCCGGACGACCAATTGGAGATTCTCGTAAAGGGATGTGTAATCAATATGTCCTAGAAATATTATGATAATAGAATTATCTCTATAGTCAAATTGCTACAAAATAAAAATAGATCCTCAAGTAACAAACTGACATCATAAACGTCAATAACATCATTTTGACATTTAATGACGTCGTTCGACTTTAAAATGACGCTATTTTGACATTTAATGACATATTGTTCAACGTCAAAATAGTGTCATTTTGACATTTAATGAAAAAGAAGGAAAAAGGGGAGAGAAAGAGAGAGAACGGGGAAGAAGTTATTTTTATTACCTTTGATTGAGGATGTATTAGACTAACACCGTGTTTGTTGATGGCGATTAATAGTAATTCAGGATAGTTTGGTTCCGTGCTTTGTTTCACTTCGAAAAACGCAGAACCGAACGTTGGCCATCGATAAACGATTTTTAAGAATGTGATTTTTGCATCCTCCGGACTCATGCCTATATAATAAAGAAAAGTCTTAAATCTAGTCCTTTTTACATTGTTTAGCAGAGCCTCTATCCTTAAGTTATCCTTGAACTTTTTACTTACCAGCATCTTGATTATAAGCAGCGATTATCGATCTCTTCCAATCGTTAAAACTCTGTATCTTGATCAAATCACCTGGTACGAGTTCTCTTAACATTTGCCTGAAATTAAAATAGTCGATATTTTTCTTTTATGTTTTTTTTCAGAAATTTTAGATCTATTTTCATCTAAACTTACTGCACTGATTCAGAGTTTATATCTTTTTTATTCCACATTGGAAGGAAAGAAATAAACTCATTTGAACTAGTACAGCCAGTTCAGCTTAAAAGAACAGACCCTATGCAATAATTTAACATCGAAAAATACTTACGGGATTGCTTGTAATTCTTGTTTACTTTCGCCGAATCGTACTCTGTACACCAAAGCTGCTAATCTCGAGGCTTCTTCCTTCATACATTTATGATAGCCTATAACATTTAGCAACAAAAATGCGAAATATAATTTATAATTTTATAATAACGCGCGTTGCGATGTACAATTGAATATCAGATTATTTTGCTTTACCTCTTAGCAACTTGGGAAGTTCTTGATGGAAGTGGAAAATTAAATCGGCATTTCTATCTTTACCGGGAACTGTATTTGTCCAAAGCTTCTTCATAAAGAAGACTTGATATGTGAATTGTGGCATAACTCCTTTGGATAGTCAATTAATTAATATAAAAAAATATACAACATACATGCAAAAAAAGATATGTATATACGTATATAAAAATATTAACAATTTGTATTAAAAGTTATAAAGATGCATACCATCTCGCGATGGTCTGGCTTTTCTGATCCAGTCAGTCAAATGTCGTACAAAGTCAAAGAAGAAATCTCCTTCTGGGACAGAAATGACTTTGTCGGCAATCTTAACAAACAAGCTAAAACCTTCCGCTGATCGCAGGTTGAGTCTCTGCGCGATGTTTTGGCAAAAGTCTTTCGCTCTAGTAGACGAGTCAACCTCGAACGCCTATAAATAAAAGTATAATGTCAAAAAATTGTGTTAAGGCGATGCTAAAGCATTGTTTTATCGAAACGCGAAGTCGGTTTTGACCATGAATCTTTTTATTGGCTATACAGATTGAAAAATCCTTTTCATTCACCTGTTTGTTAATATTAATACTTTGATTGTAGAAAAGGATTTTTCAATCTGTATAGGCAATAAACAGATTGATAATTGAATCCAACTTCGCGTATCTATAGATAAAACATGCTTTAGAGTCTTAAGATTACTTACATTTTTCAAGTTTAGATAAGATCAAATAATAAGATAATACGTGCCTCATCCGTATCGTCTGGAAAGTAGACCTTGTGAAATATTTGCGTGGTTTTGTGCTGAATAGCTTCCACTTCCACTTGATGCGGCGGATATTTCCGTTGACCATTGCGCAAAGTTTTCTGCAGTCTTTGTAAAGAGTCTTGAGATATAGGATGGCGTCTTGTACGTAGAAACAAAGTTAATTCCTGAAATAGAAATAAGAATATTATTGAATTTTCATCAAACAGGTTATTGACGACTCTCTATGGAGAAATTTAAGCGATATAGCTGCATATGTATTGTACCTTCATAAGGCTTTGACTGCAAATAAACAGTCCAGTGGCGAGCCACATTAATTCCCACCCTCGCTCTTCGCTCAATCTGTTGCGATTATCGGTGAGCTGCTTCATGATCTGGCAGTAAATTTCATCTCGTAAAATCTCATTCTTCAACGGTCCATCGAAGATCAGATCTGTGTATTCGTTGCCAATACGTGGCCGTTTTGTCGGCAGATCCCCCATATATTTCAAAATGGCATTGAAAGCAAAGCATGCCTCTTCAGTCAGTTCTTCCTTGGAGACGAGTTTCTTCAGAAGCGGTTGCTTCAACGGTTCTCTGGAGTGATGCCATAACTCGTCCGTGTGACCACGTCGCGCGGATGTCAAAGTCAGCGTCTTGGACATCGTTCTCTTTGGTGGTGTTCTAAGTTAAAAACAATTAAAAATCTATTATTAGGTCTTATTCGAGAATACAAGATGCGTAATAGTGTTTTGTAATATTTTCATTTACCGGAAATGATCAATTGCGTATTCTAGAAGAGTGTGAGGCTTGTCGCGCGAATCCACGCCGTTTATCTGCTGCGGATAGAGTCTGCGGGTATTTTCCGTGCCTTCAATGCTGAATAAAGCCTGCAAATTATGAAATCAAATTAGAAGCGAAGAATTTTGCAGCAGAAGAAAATTAGAGATAGAAAGAATAAAAGTATATAAAATATTACAGGGTATAACACTATAAACAAAGGTATACGACGGCCACCATCTGGTGCAAGACGACAAACTAAATCGAAAAGTCCTGATCCATTTTTTAATCTGAGCTTTATTTTTGACGCTATAAATTGTTAAAGTTTGCCAATTAGCGCGTGGCTACAACGGAAAACTTAGGCCTTAGTACGCCTACTATTAAAAATCAATTTTTATGTATAATACAAATTATCCATACGTCAACTTACCAATATATCATTGGGTGGTTTTGTTAAGGAAGGTAACACGTAGACCGTTTCAGCTGGAAAGTCACCCTTTTCACCGGTCCTCTCACAGGCCCCGATACACCAGCCTGAATTGAGTACCGTCTCGCCGGTGCTCTCATCTTCAAGAACGATGAGGTCGCCTTTTTGAAAGTTCAGGAACGACGAGGCCTCACTCGGCGGTTTGTAATCCTGCAGAGCTATGACGAACTTGCTGCGCTTCTTCAGTCCTTCCAGGAAATACACCACTAAATCGCGAATGTCTTCCGCGTTTGGACTTTGAAATGTGAACTCTTCTCCTCGTACCGTTGACAAACTGAATGTTTGTGTAAACATCTTGTTTGTTCTGCGAAAATATCAATCAAGTTTAGAGTGTGTTTTATGATTCAATTCAATTTTTAGCCGTATTACGCGATTATATACTTTTGACTAGATACGGTGGTAATTTCAGGGAAAGATAACTCCAGGAGCACCTGCTCCTGATCATCGACGACATATACTCCGGTCCAGTTGACGGCTATGATAACGTCGTTCTTCGGTAGATTCGGTCCAGAGTTTCTATAAGCTTCGTAAAAACGAGAAAACAACAAAGGCCACTTGAACTTCGCGTAGCTGACTATGTCCTCTTTAACGCGTAACGTTGGTACTTTCTCCTTCAAATAATAACTCTGAAATGTCAAAAATATCGACAGATTAATGGGTATGACATGTCTATCCATTATTAGTATTTGAAAATTTAAGACCTTACCTTCTTGTACGCCTGCAAGACGAGGTGCCCCCATCGATCGATCGCTTTGTCAATTCCCGTTAGACAGTAGTCCGGTATGTAATTGGGCAGAAGGGTGTACAATCGGTCGACGTTCATATCGGTGTGATACTCTATGTAATATTGCTGCGCCGCGATCATTGCCAAATCCTCCTCTTTGTCGCAGCGATATTCGCCGAACTTGACGCCGCGCACCACTTGCTGATAAATCAGATTCGTGGCCACTTGATCCTCGGTCGGCTCGTGCCAAGGCGCGAAAATTTCCTTCCTGAAGAACAATCTCCAGGGAGCGTTTCGTTCCTGAGCACCCTGCTCTTTCGCGTACTGCTCACACTGAGAAATCGCGTCCATCACGTGATCGCCGCCGCTGCCCAAGGACGACACCTTGTCGAACAGGGCGATGTACAGGGAAAAGCCGAACTGATCCCTTAACGAGATCTTATCGGAGAGTTGGTTGCACAATTCCCTGGCAGTGGTGGCCGAATCGGCCAGCAGCGTCTTTGTGTTACCATCCATGAAAGTGATGGGCAACATGATAGGTTTCTTCGACTTTGTAGCTTGAAGTTCCAGCCAGCTCGGTGGCTGATTGCGCGTACCGTTGTTAAAGGTTCTCTTCAATCTATCCTCGCAGTAGGGCGCGTAACCGGGCGGTCCCTCTCTGATAAAAGCTCGCAAGTAATTGACAAATTTCTCCGAAGGCGCGAAACAACCAACGCAGAGGGACAGCAAAATCCAGCCTCGTGCGTGTGACGATTTGGAGGGATTGTTGGTCAGTTGTTTGCAGATCTGGCAATATATTTCGTCCCGCAATTCGGCACGCAATATACCATGACCGATGATGAAGTGCAGCTTTTCGAGGTTCGACGTAGGTCTGGCTTCTAACCAGGATTGATAGCTGTCGGCGGTATATTCATCCTCTTGCAATCTTCTTCGCACATCCTCACCCAACTTGTTCTTTCGCTTCAATGTTAGCGATACAAGTTTGTGCCTGATGGAGCGCGGTTTTTGTTTGAGGAACGTTTCCTGTGAAAGATGTAGAGATAATTATAAGTATAGGGATTTTCAATATAGTCTTAATGTAAACCTAATATTGATTATTAAAGGAAGAGACTTTCACGTATACGTACAGGGTCCATACCCATCATCTGAGCCTCCTGAAACTCTTTGCTCCTTATAAAATTCCGTCCGAGCGTTGCCGTCACCTTCGACATTACTGAGGTTGTATCTCTGTCCATAGTGTGAAATCGCGGCTCGGGTAAATCGCCCGTAAATCGAAGTATAGTTATCCACAGAGCCTGAGCGGCCAATTGGTCACCTTGCGTGTGTAACGGTAATAACGGATGTTTAAGCGGCTTTCTCGAGTACTGGTGCGTGATATTGCCCTGAAAATATGTGGCCGCGAATTTTTGGAACTTAAATTCAGATAGATCCTCCTCGTCCTCCGAGGTCATCTGAATCGGGCTGATTATCTCCTGCTGATCTGCTTTCGGTGCAGGAAGATCCTATAACAAAGTAATTCCTTGTAGTAAATTTTGATTATTGGATCAAACTTTGGATATGAGATAGATCAAACCGATTATTTTTTATTTACTCTATTTCCAATCCTTATCAATTATTACCTGTAATCAATTTATAAACTTATAAAAACATTACAACTTACGTTAAATACAGACGTTTCTCTCGCGGGAGTCGGAGCCTCGCTGCTGGAGTCTGGCAAGAAGTCAAACATGGCCTCGACTAGTTTACTATCATCAACCGGTTCGTCTTGTTTCTTGGCTGCGTCGTTGATCAAATTTTTCTTAATCTCCATTCGTCGTCTGTCTTCGAGCTCCATTTCAATCTCTTTCCGCTCTAGCTCTTGCATGCGTTCCTGAAAATTTGTACGTGCAAAGTTAGAAAATTCATAATGATTACGTGAATTGTGATCGTGACTCGTTAAAAAAACTTAAGTGGTCAAAGTCTCAACATAATTAATGTTTTCGTAAATACTAGATCTTTTGCTAGTTTTTACGCTATCTTTTTGTATAGGTATCCACATATACATATAATACGAGAATAAATTGATCTTGAACTCGTGCTGTAACAATAAACAGCAAAGCAAAGATTGATCATTTTTTTACTATCTTAAGATTTAATATATCAGAGAAAGCCTTTTTTAACTTTCTACGGCTAAAGGAAGCAGAAAATTCAATTTCTTCCCATAACTGTAGGATGATGCGTTTATTTTACCCTGTAATTTTGTTCCGCGATCTCCTTGGCTCGCTTGTTACCCTGATCCTTCAATTCGCGTTCCTCCTTCTTTCGCAATCGCAGCGCCTCCACGTGTAATCTATACTCGTATTTGATCTTCTTGTACCGTCTCTGCGCGATTAGTCTTCTCACGTGCGCCTGTATCTTCACTATAGCCCACAACTTCTTCTGATACATCCTCCGCACTAGGTGGCCCCGGGCTCGCGCTTGAAGCGCGACGATGTGTCCCCTCAAGTGCCTGAATCTGTGCGACAGCACGCGCGACCTGATGAGCGCCTGCAGCCGCATGTAACCGATTCGCATGCGTTTGTATCGTTGACGTTGAGCGTAGCCGCGCCAATACTTTTGCACGATCATCGCCGCCGTCCTCATTTTCAGGAACCGTCTTCTGTAGACCCAGCCGCGAATGTTACGCTGCAGTATCAGGATCTTCCGCGTCAACACGCGATCGCGCTCCTGCTCGAGGAACAGGTCATGAGCATCCTTGAGGAAGACCTTGGTGTGCCCAAGCTGATAATCCGATCGACCCAACACTGCATGGCAGATTTTTGAAGTCGCCGCCCGACAATCCACCTAAAGTTGACAATTTTTTTTTATGTAAGAAATTTAAAAAAAGAATGATTAAGGGTATTTTGATCTGCTGATTTTATTATATATTTATAAAAAATAAAAAAATTTTTATTAAAAATTTAATTTTTAAAAAGTAAATTAATGTTAAATAATTTTTAGATAAGTTGTTTACCTTGTGTGCGGGTGGAATACCCGAGATAAGAAATCGATATCTTTCCACGAACTCGTGAAAAGAATGGCGAATAGGGTAACCGGCTCGACGTATCCTGATGGTCTCCATCATGCCGGAGTATCTTAATTGTCGACAGCAAAGACCTCGATCGAACATCTGAGATCAAATCATAGGTTCGTCATGACACAATTATGATATAACGAATTAAGTAGAAAAAAAATATTGCGCAAGAATTTACCATCGGTTTTTTGTATTCGTTCGGCTTAATGCACCTTATGAAGAAAGGCTGGCAGCTGCATAGGGTCTTCATAAGAGAATCCAGTGATTTTTTGAATTGCGTCGATAATGTAGGCGCTCTCTTCCTAGTTTCCGATCCCATCCCGATGTCTTCGATGAAGCAAGCTTGAAGAAACTTATTCGACGATATGTGAATAAGTTGCAACAAGTCCGCGCTGAATGTATCCCTATTTTTCTCTAGGAAGCTCCTCGTGTCGTAAAACACGACTCCCGCAAAATGATTCAGGCCGAAAGACGTGTTGATGTCAGATTTAGGTTTCAAATAATTTCTATGACTGCCGTGAGTTTTGTGGATTTTCGCCAACATGGTCTGATCTGTGCCCTGAAAAAAAAAAGATAAATATTTTAAAATCATGAATAATAAATAATTATATTGTCAGCCTTTAATGATTTATTTTCAATTATTAAGAGAGCTTAATCTTTTTTAATTATTTTCAACTATATTAATTTATCTGAGGTTTATATAATTCGTACTTTCGGAAATTTCGATTCTTCATCAATAAGCGCCATAATATTAAGTTGCTTGATGGCTATTAAATCCAAAGCGTCCTGGTTGTCGACGAATTCAATATGCTGCCAATTTATCCCTTCATGATTGTACTCCTCCTGTTCCAGTTTGAATATATGTTGAACGAAGAACTGTTGCAGGTTCTCGTTGGCATAGTTGATGCAAAACTGCTCGAAGCTATTGTGATTGAAATTCTCGAAGCCGAAGATATCCAATACGCCTATAGCGCTACGGGAGTTGTTCTTCGGCCTGTATATGGCCTCGTTAATTTTCTTTACAATATGTATAAATAATCGGCCGTATATACCTTTCACAAACGCATCTCTAATATCCACCGATTGATCTCTCGACAACGTGGAAACCTGCAATAGCAGTTTTGAGTAAAAGAAGACTTCTAAATGTTTACTCATAAGCTTCCCAGACAGCACCATGTCCAAAATTGGTGTATAAGACATCTTTAAGATGTTTTTAAGATGTCTTTGGGGTATCACATCATGAGATTTCTTAAAGATTTCTTTATGATGTCTTGTGCACTAATTTTGGACTTGGTACTATCTGGGTTATATGAAAAAAATACTTACTACTGTCTCACCGTGTGCAAATATAGTTCTACGAGTGAGTGCGTCTATCAGAGACTGTCCAGGCACTCCCAATAGATATGCCACCCTATGTACATTCGTTTGTTCCGTTATTTCCGTAGCGTCCAAGTTATCTGGAAGTTGTGAGGAGAATTAAACCTCTGTCTTGGTTTTAATGACATTTATTTTAATAATTATATATAATTATATATAATAGTTCCATACCTACGACGGTAGCTCTGTACTTTATATTGCCCATGTGTAACAAAGCTGCAAGCAATTTGAGTACTTCCCATATTTCTGTATCGGAGAATAGTAGAACCTTCATAGCTGATCTGATATCAGCGAATTCGGCCGCGTCGTCACGTCCTTCGCAAGTAATGCCACCACCCTGACAACAGAAATAACAATTTTATACAAAGTTAAAAAATTGTAGTGGTAGGAGCGGAAAGTTTTAGGAAAATTAATAAAGCCCGTCCGAGCTGCTTACAATTATTTTGTTATTAATTTTACTTACCCCTATAAGATATTTGTACGTAGATGCATCCTCCAGTTCGAGCTTTTGCCTCTCTTCCCTCGAAAGACCGGCTAACATACAATAGAATATGTGATAATTTCTTTCGTCTGAACTTTGGGATACGATTCGTGACTTTTCCAGAAGGTATTGCTCTATCTTGGCTCCTTCTATTACACCTTGCTCGTTGAAGTGAATATCGATGTACTTGCCAAAACGAGAAGAATTGTCGTTTCTCACGGTTTTTGCATTGCCAAAGGCTGCAACAACAAAATGTCGTACGATCATTCATTAATTAATTCTCGGTCTACAATTCAAAAGACGCAAGAGTTTATTCTAGCATCGCAATTTCACCTTCGAGTATCGGATTAGCTTCCAAGATTTGCTGTTCGATCCATGAATGTTTTCCACTGATCGCTGCTAAATACTGCAGAATTAATTTTGTGCTCTCGGTTTTTCCGGCTCCACTTTCGCCACTAAAGTAAAATTTTTCTTTATTAATAATACAAAAAAATTTGTATGTGAATTAGGTAAATAATAGAGATAAATAATATAGAATAGGACATCGAGGTCAAATCGTCTTGACCTTAATACCATATATCAAGGTCACCACCCTGAGTAAGTAAGCACTAAAAAATTTTAGCCATCGCTCGTTGTTTATTAAAAAATTATAAATAAAAAATGTTTCATAAATTATATGTAATTTTTTTAACATTTTTTGTTTATTTATTTACATGCAAAAATATGCTAAAAGAACTATTATTAAATGTATACAGTGTTAAAAAATTCGTGAAACATTTTTTATTTATAATTTTACGTAAAATTTTTGATTTTATTGTTAATTATATTAGATCTAATTTAGATTAAATTTGTGTCACTGATTCCGAATATTAGTTTTCTTAGATTGGCTCTAATTTTTTAAATAATGAGTGTATTTCCAGCCTATTCCCAAATAATATAAAAACTATCTCAAATTATAAAAAAGTATATACAGGGAGGAGCCAAAGTTCCGGAACGGCAAAATATCTCAGAAAATATTGATTTCAAAAAAATGTTTCAAACAAAAGGAGTAGAGCTTTAAAAAAATTATTAGATGATAATATCTATTTGACTTTGGGATGACCTTGAAAAGCACGGTCAACATAAAAATCTTAAATAAGAACCTCTATTTTTTATTACATATTCTTGTAGTTGAAGTAGAGACGTTTCCAAAACACTATAATAAAATATTTTTCTATTAAGCTCTTTTCGAGTTAGTATAAGACTTGAAAGTTATAGAGCCAATTCTAAAGTCGCTCAAACATCTTTGCCAACTGAACAAAAGTTTTGTTTTGTTAACCAATGTATTATGTTTGAAATATTACCCAGACAATATACCATGTCCAAAATTGGTGCATAAGACACCTTTAAGATGTTTTTAAGATGTCTTGGGATATCATATCATAAGATTTGGTCGACCTTTAATTTATCTATTTTATAATTTATCATAAGATTTCTTATGATGTTTTATGGACCAATTTTGGACATGGTGCTGTCTAGATATCGATCTTCTTCGCACATGCACACAGACTTCGTTCATTTAAAAAAATGCCATTCAAACATGATTGATCATCGAGCAGTCATTTTAAAGTATCATAAATGACTGATGACTTGACTTCCGCTTAAGAAGTATCGCGCGTACATAAACCTGGACTCTCGTACCTAATTACTATGCACTGATCCTGGCCATATCGATTCATGTGCGCGTAACTATTATCGCCGATGGCGAATATATGAGGCGGCAGCTCCCCAATTTTACGATCCTTGTAGAGTTTGATTTGCTCCGCGGTATAAATAGGCAGTATCTGATATGGATTGACAGCGACCAGGATGGAACCTGTGTACGTCTGCAAAATTATTATGTTACATTGTGTTTGCGCGTGAGTTGCCGCTCGATCGGTCGTTCTTGATTGTCCTCGTGGTATTACAATAAGAGGCACTTACGTAAATGAGATTCTCGTTATAGCGTATTAATAAATTTCGCAGAATGCCCGCTTCATGGAGGTCTCCTAAACTGATCATATCTTCTACACCTTGTACCGAGGTGGCGTGCATCGCCTTTATCCGTCTCTCTGGTGTTAACCATTGTTCCTGCGGAGTTATTTTCTCGTCAGTGAATTAAAATAGAACAATTGAGAGCACTCTTCATCGGGTTAAAATAGAACAATTACGCATCTAAGGAAAAATGTGAGACATTCTTTACATTTTTCCGGATTTTATTTTATTGCAACAAGTCTTCTGTCGACGAATTCAGTAGAACCCAAATAAATATGTATAGTATCCGCTCAGGTAGCAAGCGTCATTTTGAGGTTCAATGACGTCAGTGTACTACTTGGGCGATTAATTAAAAATATCAATAATAATGTCTCAAATTTGAATTTTTTTTGTAAAATACAATTCCAATTAATTAAAAAACTCTTAATATTGAAAGACTATTGCTTCGTTTGTAAAAGATATTTTTATAACCGCTTGTATTATGTATGTAACCTTCAGCTTTATGAAATGCTATTTTAGAAATTTTTCTGCGAAACTTATTAACGATAAGATAAAATATCTCGGAATTTCTTCCAAAGTAAATAACACGACAATAATTTTTTATAACAAAATATATATTTTATAATACCTTATTATCGTCGTCCTTTACTTGGATACGTCTACCCTCTGCTGAAATAACTCGCGCTCCGATCGCGACGTCAAATTCTCTTCCGGAAATTGGTTCTATCCATATATAATCTCCCTGAAAAGATTTCAATATATTTATGCACCTTTCTCTTCTTCGCCAGGATTTTACGCGACGTTGTACGATTCGATGGAAATTTTGTGACTTTCGAAAAAATACATTTCTCTTCCGACCAAGAAAACTTCCAATGTACAAATTGCATTTGTACATTTAAAAGCGTATAATCTCTAGTGTGAAGTAATTATATATTGTATGATAATTAACTGATTAAATATCATTATACATTATCACACCTAGAATGATCATGATAATGCAATACGATAATACATGAGTTTCTCTTCATTCACAATTGTCATTTGCAAGTTTTCATTTTCTTCTGATCGTAAAAAGGTATGCCCATTTTATTAAAAAACGTCTATCTCTAATGTAGAGCAATGCGATTGTGTGATAATAAACGGATTAAAGTATTTCACAATGTCATCACACATTATGACGATCATGATAATTCAATGTGATAATACATGAGTCCGTATTTCTTTATTTCTTCAATTGTCATTTGGAAGTTTTTAGTTCTCTATAATTTACCAAAGTATAATTTATAATTATTACATTATGAATGAGTAATTACATAAAAAAAAGCTTATGTTTTATTATATTTCTTATTGTTAGTAAGTATCCATAAAATGATAATTTAATGTGGTAATACATGCATTTCTTCGCTTCTTCAATTGTCATTTAGAAGTTTCCAATTCTTCTCTATATATAATTTACCAAAGTAATTTCTAATTATTATATTATAATTGACTAATATTATATTAAAAAATATGCTTCTGTTTTTATTTATTTAAAAAAATGCTTTTGTTTTTATTATTTATAAAACAATATGCTTCTGTTTATATTATTTTTCTCATTGATAGATAAATCAATAAAACAATTTCCACGTATGCCTACGCTACTGTTAGATACGTACGACATACGTACATACATGTAACCTAAATAATTGTCGAAAGTAGTAAACGTGGCGTTAGCGTTATACTTGCGGATGCGATATTAAAGACTGTCTTAATGAACGTTAACTCGCGTTAAGTATTTTAAGTAATTCGCATAATTGAATAATAATTTACAAGTTGGCTAGTACGGATTTTTTTTATGAAAAAGAAAAAAATTCTCGTTTGCGCGAATATATAAAAATAAAAAAAATAAAATAAAATCGATCATCAACGCGAGGTATGGAATTCGCATTAACGCAAGGAGTATCAAGTCTAAATTGAGTTATGATGTACCGTTGTAATAACTGTATGTATTTACCATTCGGCGCGATGCGCAGCGTGAACGTAGTAAAAAGTGTTATTTTATAATTATTATTTGCACAATGTGCTTTTTCTTATTGTATTGTATACCGAATATTCGCTTCCGATCTTATTAAACTCCATCGTTAGATTGATTCGCTTTTCCTTTATACTACTTATTGGTATTTATAATTAAATTAGAGGAGAATTACATCGCGCTCAAATTTCATATGTAATGCATAATTTATTAATGGAAGGCATTTATTTAAATAAGGTTTTTAAACTTGCGTTTAAAAATCATGAATTGATGAACGATGGTTTCTCATTATTCTATTTACGATGGTTTAAATTAATTTTTAGACAAGTACAAAAATCGTAGGAAAATTTAAAAAATAACGTGAAATGTAGTTTATGAAACTTTAATAGAATTTGTCGAAAGAAATTTTTTTATCATGCAGTGTCAAAAATACGTAATTTTAAGGAACAAAATATGTTCTTTTTTAAAGTACACAATGGAAAGCAAAAAAAAATGTTTAAAAACCATCAATTCTGCATTAAAGTTCAAACTTCAAGCTTTAAAATGCTTTTTCAATTTCGAACATAATTTTCGATCTTATTTAAAAATTGTTAAACAATGTCAAACAATGTCACACAATTTCTTAGATCGTTATTGTTAATTAAATAAATGTTCTACTGGTTTTACACGTATTAAACAATATTTAATCTCTGATTCTCTGATGGCAAAATTGCTCATTTGCATGGGTTTATTGAGAAAAATTCGTTTATTTTTGTCCTTTATAATAGTTTAAAATTTCTCTAATTTTAGAATATTCTGTATAATATTTATATACAGAGTACAAAAAAGATTGACAAGTAAGAAAAATAGAGAAATTATATGTAATAATAAAAATCGAAATTTAATTCCTATATATATATATATATATATATATATATAATAATATTATATAATATATATATAATATATATATATATATATATATATATATATATATATAATATATAAAATATATTAATAATAAATCTCGAATTTCATATGAAGTTAAATATATATATATATATATATATATATATATATATACATATATATATATATATATATTCAATTATTTTGTTATTTATTTAATTACCTTGAATCATATAAGATATAACTTGATATAACATGTTATGTTACATGTTATACTTATGTATGTGGAAAATTATAAAACTGACGTGCATGTTGCATATAATATGCTTATTATATTACGTGTTACATTCCGTTATATTACGATGTAATACTTATGTATTTGTGTTTCCTGGAATACATTATATATATATACTAGATACTGAAGATATTTTAAAAATATACTTATTATATGTTAAATAATATCTCTCGGTATATACGGAAAAGCAGAAAAGTCGGACATTTAGGGACATTTAGAAAATGCCAGAATAGTTTTGGGGAAATGTATGTACATATTTTTTAAAAATAGTCAAAATAAGTTATAGTATACATATACGAGGGTCACTATTTATATTTCGGGAATTGGCAACACTGATGTCATGTGAGTTCATCTGACGGTTCCATCGTAAAGTTTGACATTTTTGACGATATACGTACTCAGAACATTTTGTCATACGGACGCTATTTGTTTATTTTATATTTAGTTGAAAGTTTCGTCTCGGCAAAAAATGGAACTGAATCGTGAACATTTTCGTGCGATGATTTTTTACGACTTTCGACGTGGATTATCACAACAAGAGTGCGTCAATCAACTTAATTTGACTTTTGGCGATGAAGCTCCATCAAAAACCACTGTGTATCGCTGGTATAGTGAATTCAATCGTGGTCGTAGTTCGCTGTCCGACGAGTTTCGTGAAGGTCGTCCAAAATCGACTGTAGTGCCAGAAAACATCGATGCTGTGCACGAAATGATTAAGTAAGATCGTCATGTAACCTATTGTGAGATTGAGGCATCCCTAAGCATTAGTTCCACCAGCATATATGCGATTTTACATGAACACTTAGCTGTGCAAAAGTTATGTTCGCGTTGGATCCCACATAATTTGACAATCGCTCAAAAAAAGGCTCGTGTCGATTGGTGCAAAGAAATGCTTAAGAAATACAATCGCGGTGCTTCAAAAGACGTTTATAAAATCGTGACAGGTGACGAATCATGGATATATTCGTATGGGCCCGAAAGTAAGCAGCAGTCGACTTGTATGGGTGTTCCAAGATGAACCAAATCCAACACAAGTTGTTCGCGCACGAAGCACTTCAAAGAAAATGGTGACTTGTTTCTTCGGAAAAACTGGTCATATTGCAACAGTGCCTCTAGAGGATCGTAGAACAGTAAATTCTGAGTGGTACACAACCATCTGTTTGCCAGAAATCTTCGGTGAAATAAGGAAAACAAACAAGAGACGTCGGATTGTTCTTTATCATGACAATGCGAGCTCTCACACATCAGCTCAAACAAGAGACTATTTGAGCACTCAAAACATCGAATTGATGGGTCATCCGCCGTACAGCCCTGATTTGGCACCTAATGATTTCTTTTTGTTCCCATCCGTGAAGAATAAACTGCGTGGTCAACGATTTTCATCGCCCGAAGAAGCTATTGAAGCGTTCAAAAATCATGTTTTGGAGATACCTCATTCGGAATGGAATAAATGCTTTGAAAATTGGTTTAAGCGCATGCAAAAGTGTATCGATCATCGTGGCGAGTACTTTGAAAAACAATAAAAATATATTCGCAGCTTAACTATTTGTTTTTGTTTCTATTCCCGAAATATAAATAGTGACCCTCGTATCATTGCTCTATGTATATCATTGTTCTATATAATGAGATCAAATTTCAAAATCCGAGAAGTCTTATTTTGACTAACATTCAATATTTAATTCTTTTCAGAATTACTGCTGAAACCTATCAGTATCAGTAACCTGTAATTATAGAACTAGTAGAATAACTATAGAATATCATGATTTAAATATTTTTCAGAAAGTGAGATATCACGGGAAATTAGCAATTCATTGCAATCTATCAGGAACTATAAAACTAATGTGGATGCAAATAGAACCATTAATAATACTATCGATTTTTGAAAGTGGGTTGCCAACTTCACTGCAGTGACTAAGTTCAGAGAGTATACTTTCACATTTTCAAATATTCTCAAAATCTACTTGGAAATTCACTGTAAAAGCCACACCAAAAGTGAATCCTTCAATACTTAAAAATGTATAACGCATTTAAATAAACAAGTCAAATGTGATAAATCTTGATAATCTGATTCATCTATGTCTACGTTAGCGATATGTGAAAAAAATTTAAATAAGAATTATTTAAGAAGGTATCACGATTTTTTCAATGTATTTTATTCAACTTTGTGATATTAAATGAATAATTAAATTTAATTCTTTTCTGCAATAAAATGAGAGATAGCGATATGATATATAATTCCCCTATGGAAGTTTATCACTAATGATTAATTATTTATTTCGATTATTTAAATTACTGATATATTCAATATGGCGGATGTCAAAATTTAAAAAATATTTTTTATTAATTCGCCCATATTGAGTTCATTATTTTGAATGTAACAATGTTGGAATTGGATTCGTATTCAATAACCTAAAAAATCCTTAAGTTTAAATATTATTCTATACTTTCTTTAATATTGTATATTTAAGCTTTTTCGATGCGATCAAAAATCGAACACTCATATACAGGGTGTCCCATTTTAATGTCCCACTCCAAATAACTTTATTTTTGATTGTAGAAAAAAATGTTTCAGACAAAAGTTGCATGGTTTCGAGGGAAACATAAAGTATATGATTACCGAAAATTGAATATTTTACAAGATATTTTACATTTTGTCAAAAAATTGTTAACTTCGAATCTTTATAACTCAAAAATAAAATACTTTATTATAGAATTTTGGAAAACTCTTGAGATAAGCTACAAGAATATGCAATGAAAAATAGGTGGTTTAGTGGTTTCATTTAAGAAATTAAAGGTGACCTTTACGTGACCTTCAAGCAATTATTCAAGGTCAAACTAATGGCATCATCTTATGTCCCCCCCCGAAATCATACAACTTTTGTTTAAAACATTTTCTTCTACAATTAAAAATAAAAAAGTTATTTGAGATGGAACATTAAAATGGAACACCCTGTATATTTTGGAGAATTTTTATATCTTTAAGCATGAAATCTGATAATTTCGAAAAGTGTTCATTTTTTTCGTGTATAATGTCGCGGATGTAAGAATAATTTGAGAGAATAAGAATAAGTTGTATTCGTACAAAGGATAAAACACAGCGTTCATATTCGCTGCGCTGTCCGTCGAAACTGACTACGTGAGCATTATTTAGCGGTACGCTACATCATTATTTACAACGAGAGAACACGATGACTCCCGTTCGATTATTTTCACTCGTCACAGATTCCTACTGACCGTGTTTGAGAACGACAAGGAAAGCGGTAAATGGATAAAACTGCGCGAGATTGCAGCTTTATTCGATTTTTCCTTAGCTTCGCTTAGATTCGATTGATCGACGCATTTACACGCGAATTTCTAGCGCTTTTTACTTGCGAGAAATTGTTCGCAATATTCTTGCCGTTACGATCAACAAAGTATAGATTACGGAACGTAAATTATATAGATATTCCGAGAAAATATACTGTTATAATATGTTATCAAAAATTATTAAGTAAGAATTTGTTTTAGATAAAAATGCTCATTTATTTACTTATCGTAATAATATGTATATAATAGGAATAATATTAATAATTATAGATCAATTATCAATTATGGAAAAAAAATAAAATTTTAGATGTCCCTAAATTACATCTGAAATTTAATTATCATTTCAATTTCATCTTAAAAACTTTAAAATCTTACTGTTTAAATTTTAACTATACTCATATTTTTTAACTATAATTTGGACTATAATTTTAACTATAAAAGGAATTTGTTTTGTCAAATTATAGCTTAAAATATTAATTACCATAACTAAAATGTTATTAGGATACCTAAAATTTATTTATGGTATAGCTAAATAATACAATTTTTTATCCCTCAAGAAAGGTTTGTACAAAAACCTACCCGTGTGACGATGACCATCTCTTAAGTCGTGGATGTCGACACTCCGCCTGGAACAAAAAAACATAATAAAATAACTAAATACATCATATTAAATCATATGAATAAGATGCAATTTTATAATTTTGGCTAATAAGAAATCAAAATGTATGTAATTTGCAACTAGCAGCTACATACTTTTTCTTACAAACAACTATGTGTTTTCGTTATACCGATTGATTTCTTTCATTTTTTTATGCATAAAAGTATTGAAATAAGATGGTAAAAAAATTAATATTTTACATTTTACAAGATATTTTATATTTTATGTCAAAAAACTGTTAACTTCAAACCTTTATAACTCGAAAAATACTCAATGAAAAAATATTTTATTATAGTGTTTAGAAAAACTCTCGAGATAAGCTACAAGAATATGTAATAAAAAGTATGAGGTTTCGTTTAAAAAATTAAGTTGAAATGACATCTAAATTTGACCCCTAGGTCAAAGTCGAGCTCTCCATCAAATTCCTTATTTTGAGCCCTACAACTTTCATTGAAAATATTTTTTTCTAAAATGGTTAGTTTTCGAAATATTCAGGGTTTCTGGGACTTTTTATGCACCCTGTATATAAAGTTTCGAAAGAAACGTGACGAGGAGATTGGTAAGTTTGTAAGAATTCGTCGAAACTATTAGAGGAAATTAGAAGCACCTGGGGGTCGATTGTGTAATTTTTTCTAAAGTAAAAATGTGAAAAGTGAAAAATTTCTTCCAATCACACATCGATTTTATTTTAAAATCAATGCGTGATTGGTGGAAATTTTTCACTTTTCACGTTTTCACTTTAGAAAAAGTTACACAATCGACCCCCTGAACTCGCATAATTCCAAGATTTGACGGTACTACGTGCGTGTCGCTTGCATCTATTTCGAGAAAAAACATCCCTATACAGACATATCGGTGACGTCTGGCGAATCACCGTTACTGTGATAGCAGCGCAAACCTGTTCGTAAAAGTAGGTTAGGTAGTTTACACGATGCCGAACCACACGGCTTCGATCCGAGATCCGAGAATCTTCTCGGGGGATCAATCTCTCACCCGTCCCTCAACCGTTTAACATTGTGTTCGAATGCACGATCGTCGAACCATGACATATTCGTAATCAGGAGGAGAAAAAACGTTTTATGGTGTAGCGATCATAATTTTAATGAAAGTTTCTTAAGCCCAAAAAAACTAAGATATTAGATGTTATTTTTTCATTAAGAAATATTCAAAATTAATAATAAATCAGATTAGAAGTATAATTCTTGTTCTCTTACCACTTTTATTATTAAAATAATTATAATAATAATTGTGTAATAATGTCGAAATAGTTTGTTGTTTTATTTTTGTTGACTTAATCATATTTTTTTAATACAAGTAACTATAATATATATTAGCGTCTGTGAAATTGACACGACAAATTTCAAAAAAATACTATAAGAGTTCTAGTAGCACTTTTCATAGTTCTACAGTTCCTGATAAAAATTCTATTTTACACGAACTGATTTTTCTCATTATTTTACATAAAAGTATTGAAGTAAAAGCACCAGAAAATAAATATGTGTTACGAGATATTTTATAGTTTATGTAAAATTATATCAAACTAAACTATAACATATCTCAACCCTATTCATTTTTTGGTCATCCTATCTTTATAACTTTTTATGCAAAAATATTATAAGGAATCAATTTATATATAAAAAATTATAGGTTCTATTCAAAAAATTAAGATCTTGAAATGACCCCTTTTAATTCTATAGTCAAGATCAAAGCCATCAAATGTCCCCATCTAAATCCCACAACTTTTGTAAACAACATTTTTTGCTAAACATGGCGGAACTAAAATCGCACAAAATGCCATTTTAAATTTTGAAAATCTGAATTTGGATTTGATATATATTAGTGACTAAAAATCCTTTAAATTATATTGCAATTTATACGTGTAAAGTTCCAAATTCTTCGTTCTTTCTCTTAATAGGGTTAAAGTACACATCTGATATATCGAGATAAAATAAGATAAATTTTTAAACCATAAAAGATAACATTCCGTAACAATGTTTTAGTGTAGGAATGTTAAGGATAAGATTTAGCTGTTAAAAATAAAAAAGATTCATCTTTTTGCAATAAAGGTGGCTTACTTGACATGGAATGCTCCATATATGTATATATGTATATTTTATTGAACATTCCTGAATTATAACATCGATTTATCTTTATGTTGAAAAACATAATATTCGATAATATTGAGAAAAATATTTTTATATTGCATGTGACATTTTATGATAATTTGAACAACTTGTTACACATTTTATTTTAACATTTTATATTTATTTTATACACATTTTATATTTATGTTAACATTGTATTTTTATATAATTATTATTATATGCATATGTAATATATTAATTATTTGTACTTAAATATGACTCGTATCATTTCAATATTGTGCGCGTAATTATTTCAATAATAAACGATAAAAAACATTTTCTTCTTCGGATTTAAGTTCTTATTTGAATTTAGAAATATGTTATTAAAATTACATCGCGAATTGTGGAACACTCTATGTATGTATACAAGGTGTCCCAAAAATGTAGGATATTTTTTTAATAATACATACAAATATTTAATAAAAATATTTTTAATAATACATTAAGAAATTGAATCACAGAAAATGTATGAATTTTTCAGAATAATCCTTTATCATCGTATCGTGTTCTTCAGAATGTTTCCGATCAAAAGATATATCTATATAACGTTTTAGATGTGTGTTTTGATTACAAAGGATTAAGAAGGTTAATGCGCAATGCGTAAATAATATTACATTATTTTTATCAAGTTCATATAAATCAAAAATTAATTTTTATCTAGCAATATACACATATAAATCGTAAGTTTAAAAAAATGTTTCTTATATATTTTAATTAAAATAAAAATTTATGCTTTTATATATGAATTATATAATAATTTAAGCTTCTTTTTACGACAAATACATACATACATATATATATATATATATATATATATATATAATTACACATTACTCTCTCACACAAACAAACGCATGCCCGTGGGCTGTAACAATTATAATATTTATGTGGCTCGTATTCATAATCCATTCTTATACAGAGTGTTCTAGATCTATCATAAAATCTATTAATGACAGATTCCTGGAATGATATGAAGACAATTTTTTCTCAGCGAACAGAGACCATCTTTTTTTGCATGTTTCTAATTTTTGCCATTATGTATCTTTGTAACTAAATCTTAAATTAAAATTCTATTGGTAAACACTACCTGAAATTAAGTGAAGAATTTGATTTTGTTAATATTTTATTATCACAAGGCTTAATTTGCAAAAATCCTTTTTCAATTGCTTGTTGAAAATTATTAGTGCCTTGACATTTTCATTGAGGAAAAATTGTTTCTAAATGATCTCAGGAATCTGTCATTAACAGGTTTTACGGTAGGTCTGGGACACCATGTATATATAAGATAGGATATTAATCCATTCTTTGATATTTGAACAGATTCTATAGAATTTAATTCCACTCTTTCTCTCTAGACATCGAAATATATTGTTTGCATTTAATGCCATAACAAAAGTTAGAACAATGAACGAAAAGATAAAAAATAACTATAGATGTATTATACTCGTAGATCGAAGCGAATATGTGCATTGTATGTTATTTGGATAGTTTCAACATCAACAGTTTGCTTTTAGCGGAAAAATTGAATGTATTAGACTTGACATAAAAGAATTTATATGATATAATAGATCTGCTAATAAATTTAAATTTAAAAATTCTTAAAAACATGAAAATCGTTTAAGATCTATCGAAGTAAAATTAGAGATATTAAACGCAACTGTCTATTTAATTAATCTATTTAATTTTCATATAAGTTTGAAATAATTTAATGTAATAAAAATATCGAATTATTAATTATTTGAATTATTGAATTATTAATTAAATGTATATAGTCAAAAAGATTTTTTTATTTGAATAACATAATTTCATTATGCGATCGAATATTCTATATATCATTTGAAATTAAATAAAATTGCATTTTGATTTTATTCCTCCCTGGTATTTTGTTGAGTTTGTTAACATACAACAAGAAAGCCTTAGAAAAACTTCTATAGACATGTATTTCTTGTATTTATTAATTAAAAAATTTCGGATATAAAATTATTGACGTGTTAATTCGAGAACAACAATTGAGTTGTAAAGATGTTATATGGAGTCACTCTCTGAATTAAAAATCCGTACTTTTATTTTACATAAACAGGTGCGTAGCTATTCGTATCTCATCGCCATGAGAATTTGAGGCACAGACAGGCGTGAGCAGTCGCAGTCATTGACTTTGAAAATATCCGCAGAGAGCGGTCAGTGGCGTAGCGCCATGCGCGCGAGCAGGAGACTTTAATGGGTGATCGAACGAGGCGTGCGTTTAGCACCGAGAAAGCCTACAACTTATGTGTGCTTCTAATTCTTATTCATCCCCTACAAGGAAACTCACACATACGCATGACATACAATGTTCGCCAGAAGCCGTATTTCCAAAATTACTATCAATAATATTATACGGAGCACACCATCAAATTCTCTGGCCAATTTGGAGACGATTTTTCCTCAGCGAAAATGTCGAGACACTATTTTTCAAATTATCAATGATTGAAAAGAAAGGGTTTTTTACCAACTATAAACTCTGCAGAGGTAAAATAACAAAACTACATTCTTCAGTTGATTTTAGATTTTAGGAGTTTACTTTAATAGAATTTTAATTAAAGGTTTAGTTACAAAGGTACAAGATGGCAAAAATCGAGAACATGCAAAAAATTATGATATATATACAGAGTGTAATTAAACAAACATTCGGAGCACACCATCAAATTTTCTGGTCAATTTGGGGACGATTTTTCCTCAGTGAAAATATCGACGCACCCATAACTTTCAAGTTATCAATGATTGAGAAGAAAGAATTTCTCACAAACTAAACTTTGTAGGGGTAAAATATTAACAATATACTACATTCTTTAGTTGAATCAGATAGCGTTTGCTTTAATAGAATTTTAATTAAAGGTTTAGTTACCAAAAGTACAAGATGACAAAAACTGCGAACATCCAAAAAAAAGATAACCTTCTCTTTTTTCAACTATGTGTAAAACTGATGTTTTTCAAAACTCGTAATTTATCAATAACTTTATCTCCATAATTGTACATTTATCTCTTACTATTATCACAACTCCTACCGCACAAATTCGCGCGTATCTTAATCTAACAATAAGTGATTCGTTATTCTTTCGTTTTATAGCGAAATCTGATTCTAAATAGATCTATTCAATTCGCGGACAATAGCAATGGAAAGTATATTTTTATCGTTTGTTACTAATTCTCTTTTATTTCGTTTCCCCCAATCTCTGTTTTCCAATCGTAATCTTCGTATTAAAACTGACGACTGAGAATCTCGATTATCTATATCGATAATTGCGATGTTAGATAAGAATGTGTTTCAAGTCTTTTTCAAGAGTAAATTCTATTGAGAGATCGAAAGATAGTTAAAAAAAACATTTAAATTCAAGAGTCTTCCGAAACAATCCCAAAAGCCCATCCGGTCTTTTTTCCTCGAAGCCTGATGACCGGCAAAGTAAAAAAGGAATCGAACTTTCCACTTATCGCGCGTACTGTAACGCTTTGTTCATCTATGGAATACGTGTTTTCGACCTGTTTGACCCTGATGGTTTCCCGGGAATATAATAATCTGATCGGTCCTCCAACTCACAATCGGAAAACCGAAACAGCGGAAAGAGGGCTGGGTTGGGTAGAGAAGAGGGGACGATTTGTGAAACGGAACTCTTCTTTTTCAACAACGTACCTGTTGCGAGTAACGAGAAACACGACGAGAGCGGCTTATATGTCGGCGGCACGCTCCATTAAAAAGCACTATACACTGGAACACCACACTTCCGACGCGGTATGGCGGGCAACTCACTTCTCATGTCCGGTCCCTATCGGCTCCACGATGACGACGACGACGATGATGATGATGATGATGATGATGATGATGATGATGATGATGATGATGATGATGATGATGATGATGATGATGATGATGATGATGATGATGATGATGACGATAATAATGAACGAAAGGAATAACAAGCGAATGCAAGATGATGGGACCGAAATCCAAGTGAATATAGGAATATAAGTATAGAAATAGGGAGAGCTAAGGCACAAGATGAGGCACGAAATGGGATTCACTAAAGTGGTGAAGATATGCGGAATCCCGTATCAACCAAGTGCGATCGTCATCGTCGTTCTTCCGGAGGATAGATAGACGGTGAACCAGCACATTAATACGCCCGCTCGGTGAGCTTCGGCTCGGATCGGGTGTGCCAAGAGAGACTAGCCAGGCGGAGGTAGCGGTAAGAGTCTCGAACCGCTTCGGGCTTCCCCACCGAATGTGGTGCGTGTATATACTTTATACTTCTTGTCCGGCGACGGTAAAGAGATATATACCACTGGACAACAATACCAGAACCAACTGTGATTGATCGAGCAACTACTACCACAGTTGCTTCCTGCCGCCTGCCAGGTCACTCCGCTAGATAACGAGCTACTTATGTGCGCTTATTGCTTATGCCACTACGCCACCGTTGTTCACCTGGCAGCACACCTGTGTGTGACCTGTTGCAATCGGATCGGCGCGCATTATCGGCCGCGATCTGCCTTATTGACGGCCTAAGAATATTTAACTACACAACACATATACAGGGTGTCCCATTTTAATATCCCACCCAGTGCCAAATAAATTTTATTTTTTATTGTAGAAGAAAACATAAGGTATGATTTTCGAAAACTGAATATTTTACAAGATAGTTTACATTTTATCAAAAAATTATTGACTTTGAACCTTTATAACTCAAAATGTACTTAATGAAAAAATACTTTATTATAGGGTTTTTTTGGAAAGCTCTTGAGATAAGCTACAAGAATATGCAATGAAAGATAGGTAGTTTTATTTAAGAAATTGAAGGTGACCTTTACGTGGCCTTCAAGCAACTATTCAGGGTCAAACTAATGGTACCATCTTATCTGTCCCTCAAAACCATACAACTTTTGTCTGAAACGTTTTTTCTACAATAAAAAAAAATATTATTTGGAATGGAACATTAAAATGGGACATAAAGATGGTGCCATTAGTTTGACCTTGAATAGTTGCTTGAAGGTCACCTTCAATTTTTTAAATAGAACCACCTATTTTTCATTGCATATTCTTGTAACTTATCTCGAGAGCTTTCCGAAACCCTATAATAAAATATTTTTTTATCAAGTCATAATCATACCTTTATGTTCCTTTCGAAACCATACAGGTATAGTTTTTGTCTGACCGATTTCTTTCTACAATCAAAAATAAAAAAGTTATTTGGGGGCATTAAAATGAGACACTTTGTATATATTTCACACAACTGGGCGAAGATGCAAATAAACAGGAAAACAGGAAATATAAACAAATGTCATTAGACAAAACTCATTGGACATTATACAAGGTATCCCATTTTAATCTATCACTCCTTATAATTTTGCAAGGAGCGATTGTAGAGAAAAATGTTTAAAACAAAAGTTGTAGGATTTCGAGGGGGACATTTGATGGTGATCTTAACTTTGACCTTGAGGTCAAATTTAAAGGTCAACTTTATATTTTTAAATAAAACCCACTATTTCTTATTACATATTTTTATAGCTCATCTCGAGAGCTTTCTAAAACTATATAATAAAGTTCATTTTCATTAAGTACTTTGCGAGTTATGAGACTCGAAAATTAGCGCATTATAGCATTGGGATCTTAAATTTATTAACATATATAAGTTCTCCTTGTCTCTTACGTTGAGGTACTTTATTAATATAAGTTTCCCTTGCCTCTTACGTCGAGGTGCTTTACTAATGTGAGTCTCCTTTGCCTATTACGTCGGGGTGCTTTATTAATGTGAGTTTTCCTTGCCTCTCACGGGTGCTTTATTAACCATACTGCATGAATGTATATACATAAAAGTCCCGATGTGAGAGACAAGAGGAACTCACATTAATAAAGCACCCCAACGTGAGAGGCAAGAGGAACTTACGTTAATAAGTTTAAGGCCCCAATGCTAATGCTAACTTTCGAGTCTTATAACTCGGAAAGTATATACTTAATAAAAATGAACTTCATTATAGTGTTTTGGAAAGCTCTCGAGATGAGCTACAAAAATATGAATAATAAGAATTAAATAGGGGGTTCCATTTAAAAAATAAAGTTGACCTTCAAATTTGATCTATCAAAATCAAGATCACCATCAGATGTCCCCCTCGAAATCTTACAACTTTTGTTTAAAACATTTTTCTCTACGATCGCTCCTTATAAAGTTATAAAGGGTGATAGATTAAAATGGGACACCCCCCATATGTATATACATTATCCTATATTATTTGTATTTTATATATGAATGTATAATCATACTTTTTTTTAAAAAGAATCCCATACTTTGAGTGCACTATATAGTCGATGTAATTTTCATAAAAAAACTATTGAAACATTGAGCTTCAAAATTGTTAACTTAAAAATTATATACACTATTTAACAAAATATGAAATATTTTTTATATCATAAAAATTAGGTTATTTTCAAATCACTGAAACTCGACGAAAAATTATATTGTCATGTCACTAAAAATTGAGTTTTTTTAAACTTTAAGTTGAAACTTAAAGTTTCAACACTGTTGATACTCGGCGAAAAATTATCGTAGATAAAAGAATTATAAAGTTTTTTGAAACTTAAAGTTTAAAAACTATTTTTAACGGACTTATACGAATTTAAAAGTAAACCTGTATATTTATTTTTAATTTAATAGTAGATAATTTAATAATTTTAAATTATCTACGATAATTTTTCGCCAAGTATCAACAGTGTATCCAAAAAATACAGGTTTACTTTCAAAAGTAAAATTGTATAAGTCAGTCAAAAAAATCATTAGAAAATTAAAAAAAACATTTGTAAACAAAATATTATAGTTTTTAAACTTTAAGTTTTTTCAAAAAACTTTATAATTCTTTTATCTACGATAATTTTTCGCCGAGTATCAACAGTGTATTTAAAAAATACAGGTTTTACTTTCAAAATTGTATAAGTCAGTCAAAAAAATCATAGAAAAATTAAAAAAAAATTTGTAAACAAAATGTTATAGTTTATGGAACTTAAACATAATTTTTCGAGAAATTTTTTATCAAGTTGTAAAGTATCAAAAATATCTAATTTTAAGAAACAAACAATGCGTTTATTTTTAGAGATGGAAAGATAAAAGAATTTTTAAAATCACCAATTTTTTGTATTAAAATTGAAATGATTATTTCAGAATTTTTGATAATAGGAATATTCTTGAATATATAAAATGAAATTTCTTGAAAAAAATATGAAGAAAATAGTTATAAATTTAAAGGAATAGTAATAAATTTATTTAGAAAATCTTGCAAAATCTTTAAAGAAATTAAAGATGTTAAAAAAGAATAAAGCCAGAAAACACAGAAATAAGATATATATTTTTGTAATAATATTAGTAAGTAGTAAACTTGTTTTTATTAATAATCACAGATAATCGTGAATAATTTTCGTTAATTATATAATTATGGATTGATATTCTTATTATATTAATTTTTTCTCGTCAAATGGAAGAAATCGATAAAATTGTTATGTAAGTACTTTACATTGAAAATATATTTTTATTTTGTATATCAATTCGACGTGTGGATAGGATACATACATATAGCTTTTAGTTATTTCTTTTTTTCTTTACATTCTTCTGCAAATTACATACACATACATACTGTATTTCATAGCGAGAGTGACAATAATATGTTGCATAATTTAACATTCGTTCATTTTTTTCCTTTTTACAATTATAAACGTCGAATAATAATCGTCATCTGATGATGTACATACATGTTTGGTCGTGTAATGGTGTAAAGTTTATTTTATTTAGAATAAGAAGCATTATACACATAGTATACGTATGTGTTTAAATATATATTATACATGTATACTTATATACCTTTTTTTTAGCAAAACATACAAAAATGCGACAGTATTTGTTGTAGTGTTTTCTATAATCGAGCTTATAAACATACAATACATATATATATATATATATATATATATATATATATATATATATTTATTTAATGGATATAGTTTATTCGGACCGTGCAAATTGCATTTGCGCGTTTATTTACTCAAAATGCGAGATTTATTCTGCGAATAAATCTAAATGCACTTTGATAACAAGGGTGATCTCTTCCATAATCTCAGTGATTGGTATGAAATAATTATATATATAATATGTACAGGTACAAGATATGCATTTTATGTACATTGGGCGAGGAGATAAAGAAACTGATCAAACCAACCGCATGATATTTATATGAGATAGTCTTTTAGTACAATTTATTCGTCTACGAATATATTTTAAATTTTATGGAAGCTTATTATCACTATATGTTATCAAAGTTTTTATTTTAAAGTCGTTGAAGTACTTTTATTCAACCAATAAAATCTCTAATAGAGAAAATCTATAATAAAAATGTTTTTGTTTTTTTTATTTGATGAAATATATTATTTAATTCTATGATAAAAAATACGATAAATCATTATCTTTAAATGAATTAATTTTGCATAACTTGTACCTATATTTATTGTATTCGAGAAGAGAGACTTTAATAATCAAAAAAGTATATGATAAAGGTGGTCGATATTTTTTTCTCTAGTTTGTTCTCATATAAAAGATGATATAATAATATTTATATGTATAATAAATAGGACTAGGATTTAATACAAGATATATCACTACTTATTTGAGTTCATATTAAAAATAGTATAATTCAAGATTTATGTACTAAATTATTAAATTAGTTTAGTAGTAGGAAGTAATGTAGAAACACGCGAACGAATCCGAAAATCTTAACACATATTTGTTTATCTCTATTCCTATATTACATAAATCATATTAAAATAATCAACTTATGTTCATTAGTCAATTGCTGACTATCAACTGTTTTTTAGTCAAAACTATGTTTAAACATGGATAACAACATGGTTTAAAGATTTTAATAACAAAATATACAAAACAGACAATTTTATTGCATATAAATATAATTAAATGTTAAGGTTTGCAAATGTGTAAATCTGTCAATTTATCATCAATGTAAATGTGATTTTTTGTAGAGGTTTTTGCGTTAACTTCAGTTCAAATTCATTAAAAAATCATTAAATATTCAATTTTAGTTTTAAAAGATATTACGTGTTTTTTATCTGTGTTGTATCATAACTGCATGCACATTGTACATAACATGTTTCAAACTAGGGACTTCTTGAACTTTGCACTTACATTCAGAGATTATTTATGTGTAACCAAGTACGATTACATAAACTTCTCTGAGAAATAGTAGAAGGGGAGATAATTCCATCGATACAATATTTTTAAAGATAATTCCATTGAATTAACATGCTTAGCTCTTTGAATTGTTCTGATATTTAAATGCTAAAAATATATATATATGCGAATAAGCATGTGCTCTAGCATTATTATTCATAACTAATTGTTTGCTATCTTGATGTTATACCAGAACGATTCTTAATAGACCACCAGTTATGTATCCGATGTACAATCAGACATAATAACATAATCACAAAAATAGGTTCTGGGATATTCTCTCTCTTCTTCTAGAATATTCCAGAGTATGATGATACCTAGGTAATTTGATTTCAACCTCGACATTATCCATATAACATTTATTGAAAGAGTGCTGTTATATCCCAAATCTTGATAACACGATCCTGCCCTATAGTCAACAATCTTCTCTTGGGAGCATCCAAATCCATTCCAATGACATTGTGTTTGGCATCGTGAAAAGATGCTAGAGACGATTGGCTGTATAAAAGCAAGTGAATAATTTATTAAATTTATCTTATGTCTCAGTAAATATTCCTAATAAGAGCACACTAGACTTGGTTAATAACTGTTAACTTAGCTGAGTTAATTTAAAATGAATTAATTTTTAACTTAAACTAGTTATTTTCAACCTATTAACTTTTTTCTTAAGTTAAAAAATTTTGTATTTCTCAATGCCTTTTTTTTTTTTTTTTTTTTTTTTTAATAAAATCTTAAATATTGGACGAGTAAAATTTTAATAAGAGTCATTCTCTCTATGATATATGTCATTCTCCAAGTATTATGAAATAAATAAAAGTTTCATATAGTATTAGTTTTGATTTTTTCATAATTTGTAATTACAAAGAAAAAAATACATTCCTACATAAAAAAAGCAAAATTTTTATTTTAATTAAATTTAAAAAAATTAACAAATAAAATATTAAATTTTAAATTTAAAGTGTAAGACAGGCAATAAGAGCCAAATCGCAGATGACAGTGCGTTATCCCAACGAAACTAAATTTTTTTGTTAGAATTAAATACCTGTGCACAAGGCACCAAATTTTACTTGGTCACGGCCAAGATTTAAAATTGGAATAATCTCTACAAGAGATTTAATTCCATACATCTCCTGTTTCCCCCTAAGGAAATAAATGCGAGAGAAAAATATAGATCCGAAAGTCGCTGAATCGGGAATCGAGCCCGAGACCTTTCGCTTGCCGGGTGACTGCTCTTCCAACTGAGCTATTCAAATGTATTGGGAATGTATGGAATTAAATCTCTTGTAGAGATTATTCCAATTTTAAATCTTGACCGTGACCAAGTAAAATTTGGTGCCTTGTGCACAGGTATTTAATTCTAACGAAAAAATTTATTTCGTTGGGATAACGCACTGTCATCCGCGATTTAGCTCTTATTGCCTGTCTTACACTTTAAATTTATATTTATATTACAGAGCCTTGTTAAACTCTTAATTAAATTTCAAAATTTTGAAGTTATTACATTTTATATACAACTAGTGATAAATAAAAAGGCCAACTTATCGAGCAATTCTTAGAGTTGTTCTGTCAAATAAAATTTATTCCATGTATATACTAAACATAAAACATTATGTGAAAGCTACAAACATTCTATACTAAAACTTAAGCAAAAATTACAATTATTATAAAATAAACGTTTCAATCGCACGCGGTCTTCCTCAGTATTTTTTATATTACAGTAATTATTAAAAAAACACAAATTCATACAAAAATTCGAGAGTTTAAAATGAGGTGTCTTTTTATATTGTTGGTCTTGTCTTGTGTCATCTTCAATAACTTTTTCAAAAAAACGTGGGTAAAAATTGTCAAGAAGGACGATGTCAACGCCTACGGAACGTATTAATTTCTCGCATATAAACGATGAAACTTTACGAGATTTGATTAAAATCACAGATCATATCGAGGCGAACATTTGTTGGATATGACAGATTGAAACACGCTTTAATTGCTTATAAATTGTCGACTATTATTAAAGAACTAACATTAATTTTCGATATTATGTGGAATTTTTGTATGAATTTGTTTTTTTAATAATTACTGTAATATAAATACTGAGGAAGACCGCGTGCGGTTGAAACGTTTATTTTATAATGATGTAATTTTCGCTTAAGTTTTAGTATAGAATGTTTGTAGCTTTCACATAATGTTTTATGTTTAGTATATACATGGAATAAGTTTTATTTGACAGAACAACTCTAAGAATTGCTCGATAAGTTGGCCTTTTTATTTATCACTAGTTGTATATACAATATACGAACGAAGTTTTGTATTAATTGATTTTTTATTACATTTTAATTTAATATAAATATTTAAAAAAATTTTTTAAATTAACTTTTGATTTAACTTAATTTAATCTTAACTTTAACTAAGTTACTTTTTGTTCATGCAACTTTTAACGTAACTAAATTAATTTTACAAGCCATCAACTTTAACTTAACTTAGTTTTAAAAAAGAATTAACTAACCCAACCCTGATTAGAAGTATAACTAACAAAGGAAGTTAGACAACCCAAAAATTCAAAACTTTCTGTACAAGTAGAGCAGTTCGTCCATAACACAAAATTATCTTTTGTTCGTATTGAATTACGGTCTAAGGAGATGAAATCACCTTCATAAGTAGAATAGATTTTTGCTTTTGCGAAAATTATTCAAGATGTCAAAAAATATTTTAAACAAAAGTTTTACAGTAAAAACACCTCTATATACATGTATCTTTTTTGGCATTCATTTTTTATAGATCTGAAAGCTTGGTTAATTGTTGCGCAATGAATTGTTATACTGTTATAGGAATGTATGTTAATCAATTTTACAAACGGAACAATTTGTACAAAAAATGTAATATGCCTGTATCAGCATCTTCTAAAGACCAGTGTGCTCTCGTAAACGGGACGTGGACTTACTTCTCAGACTTTAGCTGTATATGACACTGGTCGCAGACTCTCACTTCGAACTCGAAGCCCATCGCTGGTATCGGTATCCGTTGTGACGTGCAACGGGCGCACAAGGCGCGGCCGCAATAGCGGCAATGGTGCTGCCTCAATCCTAATTGCCGTTGATCCATCATCGCTTTTATATTCCAGAAGAAGGGTCTCCCGCAGGCCTAAATTCATTCAACCTTTAATATCATGAATTAAGTGGCGTAAAATTTGAAATTTTAAATATATACCTGACAGATGTCAGATTCGACCCAGGCTGCGGTTTCTTTCCTATTCGATGCCATATTCCAACAGACGATTACCCCATCCTCGCCTCCGGATAAGAGCAAACGTTCGGCACTCGCGTAACATAATGCCGTAACTTTGTTGCTGGAAGAAAATTGGAGCATTTTTAAAAATAATTAGAATTGAATATTAATAAAATAAAATTATAAATATAAAATTAAATATATAATAAATTATAATAAAAATAAAAATAAAATTATAAATATAAAATTAAAAAATTAAATTAAAATTAAATATTTCTCATACAAAGAACAAAATTAAAAAGACTCAATCTAATACACTCACTGATGCCCTTGTAATTCGTAAGCAGTGCCTTGGCGACCTCCAATATCCCAGACGATAATGCTTTGGTCAAAACTTCCAGAAACAACAACTGTTTTTCAAAATCCCATGCTAATGTGTGGATACTCCCCGTGTGTGCCTTTAATGTAGTAATGAAAGTTACACCATTATTATCCAGCTTCAACATCGCTATCTGACCAGAATAATCTCCTACAAAAGCGTGTTTGGATTGGGAGTCATATCTGTACGTACATGCGAGTTAAGTTTCTCATACATATATTATGATTATATAATTGATAAATTATATTTCATTTCTATGTTATTGTAAAAAAACTTATTTTTGCAAATTATATGACTTTGTAAAAGGATACTGTAGAGCGGTATACCATGCATCAGTTTGGTACGATCCTAATTTCTGCCCTGTCTCAGAACTGTGCAGTTGAAATAATTTATCGCGACCTATACTTAAAACCCATTCGGATTCTGGCGCAAAAATAATTCCTGTGACTCTCGCTTGATGCGCCAGATAATCACGCATAGCTGTCATTCGATTGTAATCTTGCTCCAAGATAAATTCCTGTAATTTTAAAGTCAAATATACAAATAACAAGTTATATTTTTAAGGAGTAAAGAAAAACAAAAATAATAATTTAACATACATTTATACTCCCATTATCCAAGCCAACAAACAATTGTCTCGTTTCTATGCAATAATACATGGAAGTAGCGCCCGCTGGCATATATTGACAAATACTTGGCCAATAATGACCAGAATCACGTTTCAGCCATACTCTGACTGTCCTATTAAAAAAAGAAAAAACAGATGATAAGAAAATAACATTAAAATTAATATGGAGAAAAATAGGCGAGAAAAATATAGGTCCGAAAAGTCGCTGAAGCGGGAACCTATATTTCGGACCTATATTTTTCTCGCCTATTTTTCTTCATATATAAGTTCGAGATTAATTTATATATGGAACTTAGTAATCTCAAACCAAGAGATACAGTTCCGAAGAATTAATTTTTCGCGCTTGGGCTCTATTGGCCGATTTAAAATTCATGTATTATTATTATTAATAATATTGAGAGCCGACATATATTTCTTATTTAAAATTAATATATAGAAAATTTTTTAATATTTTAAAATAGTATAACAATATTTCTTAGTCAGTACTTTCTTTGCTAATATATATCAATGATTTGTATCACTTGGCAATATTAAAGTCTCTTTAAAGAATTTATATAGTGTGACAAAAAATTAAAGATACAGTTTTATTTTATGTCACATGTTTCAAAGTATAATTTCATACATATTTTGATTCTCAATGTACTTTACACATTCAAATGCAAATATTTTATATATAATTGTTTTAAATAATAAATCAATTAATTTTAACACAATTATAATTTCGATATAATAAATAATGATACAAGCTATATATCATAATAAATTTTATATATATATATATATATATATATATATATATATATATATATATATATCAAAGAAAAAGAAGTAGATAATGTTCAAGGTGTGTCTATATATAATCCAATAATAAAAAATTACGCGCAATTCTAATCTTAGAATAAAAAAAAACGAATTCTGTAAATCGAGATATAATCAATATTGCAAAGGCGATCTGAGAGAAAGAGGACAAAGGAAAAAGGACGAAATATTGACGTGCATAGAAAACGTCAAAAATTATTCCAAAAAAATATAGCACATGCTCTCGCATGACGATCAGTACCTGTCATCGCAAATACTGATTACACCTTCCTCCTGCGGAATGATAACAGCGGCGTTAACGTCATCGCCGCAGCCCTCCAATTTCGACAAGAGCACCGGTTTGCGATTGCTGCTGAACTTATCGTGATTTACTCCCGGGGCGGGTTTTATCTCCGCTGCCATTCTCAATTGTTCTCGGCCACGCGCGAACGTAATTCCTTAATACTATTGTCATTTGACAGTTATCAGTCTTCGAGATGCTTAGCCACGGTTTATGCGTTCTACGAAGACGCGCCCTCCTTTTCCTATCTTATCTTACGCCGCTAAATGTGTAAGTATACACAGTAATGACACTCGATTGTCCTCTCGAAAGGTCAAGTTTGTATTGCGCATGCGCAGGGTATCGATTCTGTAACTTTTTCTAGGTTGCGTTCCAAAACGTCCTCTTCGAGGAAAATTTAATTGATAATCTATGATATACGTAACGTGTACTATAGTTTTTTAAGTAAAATTTTCCTCAACGAAGACATTTTGGAACGCACCCCTAAAGTGAAAATGTGAAAAATGAAAAATTTCCGCCAATCACGCATCGATTTTAAAATGAAATCGATGTGTGATTAACGGAAATTTTTCACTTTTTACGTTTTTACTTTAGAAAAAGTTACAGAATCGATACCCTGGTTCAGAAAATAGTGCACCTATTGTCAATTTGACATTGACATCATTAAACGTCAGTGACATCATAATGTCAGTGACATCATTAAACGTCAATGACATCATAAAGCGGGAGCACATACTCTTGCATAAGGGCATAAATATATGTATAAGAAATTTGATTGGTTGAATTTCTTATGCCTACGTTTGTAGACCAATCAAGATTCTTATGCTTACGCTTACGCGCCTATGCAAAAGTATGTGCTCCGCCCCACTTTAACGTCAAAATATCATTAAACGTCAATGACGTCACTTTGACGTCTTATATCAATTTGACGTTTGACATCATTAAGGGTCGGCAGGAGGCTCGGCCAGACTCCGAATTGATGTTGGAGGCCTCACGCGGTGACAACGCGAAACTCCGGTTTCAGTGTTGCCAACGCTGAGAAACCAATTCTCGGCTTTTATGTAGTGGTGTATGTCTGTACACGTACATACACCATTGCGTTGTTCACGCGGACGCACCATAAGAGAGACAAGGATCGATAATCACGTGTTATTCTTGTCCCTCTATTGTGCCGATATTCGCGAAATACGGCCTGAAAATGCTTTCTGGCCTTCCGCATCGACATATAGAATGGACTGAGCATCGCGATGGGTAAGCGCGCGCCTGCTTTAGAGTGAGAAGTACTACATCTGAGGCCTATGTTTGTCTCTCTTTTTGCAGGGCCGTCTAAAAAAATTGCGGACCATGTGCATTTTTCTATGAAATGTGTAGTCAATAGATTTTTTAGAATTTATTTTAAAATTTGTTTTAATATATTTAATATATTTATAAATAAACAATAAATTTGCTTTAATTTATATTATATTTATATTAATATTTTATTAAAGATAAACGTTTCACGTTATTCCAAAGCGAGTAGGCGAAGGTGAGGTGTCAAAAATTTAATGCTATGTTACTGCTAGAATTCTGGAGGGGGACGAAATAACAAATCAGAAGCTTGCAAGAGAGACAAACATAGGCCTCAGATGTAGTACCTCTCACTCTAAAGCAGGCGCGCGTTTACATATCGCAATGCTCAGTCCATTCTATATGTCGATGGCCTTCCGTAGCAGAAGACAGTAATGTAGCAAGGCTAATAAGCACCCACTTTTGTAAATTTTGTATATGCTTATGCACATGTGTGTATATATATATAAATAATATCAAAAATTACATAATGTTTCCAAATTGTACAGTGATACTTAATAATAATAAAATAATAATTCGAAGAGTAAACTAATGTACAGAATGTAAGACACGGGCGCTTATTAGGCTTGGCAATTGATTGCTTTTTTATTTTGTATTTTTTCATCTACTTTACATATCGTCAGCGCGATAGAGAGACAAAGAGAACAATTAACTATTAATTCTAGTCTGTTGTAGAACATGTCGTAAATTTATATACTAATAATAAATATATGTATTCTTAATTATTTTTCAACTACATTCTGCTATATAAATAAGTATAAAAGAAAAATATACATAATGGCAGAATGCAAAGGTGTTTAGTCTGTCATCGTGAAAACTCGGGTTCAAATTTATCGGTATCAACATTTTTTTTCTTTTTAATAATATATTGGAATATATAAAAATGATTAAAGATATATTTTTTGTAAAAATAATTAACTGAAGAATTCTCAAAATATAAAACATACTATTTATTTACGGAATTACGGATTAATTTATTTACGGAATTATTTTGCATTTGCAATGTGTGTGTAGTTGTAAAATTATTTTCAATATTAAAAAATTCTTAAGACTCACTTTTAAAAAAATATATTTTTTAAAAATAATTTTTATATATTTCAATATATATTATAAAAAAATTATACCAGATAGATTTAAACTCGAATTTTCTGATGCAAGAGAGACAAAGAATAATACTCTCCTTGTCAAGCTGTCAGTATGTTACCACGGAAATTTCCCCGCGAGTTACTCTTTATATAGATCTAGTGAGATTCGTTCATCCCAGATTTTACATAAAAAAAAGTTACAGAGCTTCGTGAAATATTTTTTAATATATTCTTTATATAATAAAGCAAGGCGGCTAAGAGTCGGATTTTGCATTATTGCTTTTAAAAATTTATAATAAATTAAATACAATCTCGTGATTAACCCAACCCGCTGCTAGCTGCACATCCCCCCAAGTTATATTATGAATTTTATTTTCATCTTTTTTTCAAAAAATCAATTTTTGCCGCCTTGCGGACAATCCTACTGATTAAGAATATCGTAAATTTAATAAGATTCATGAAGTATTTTAGCTAATATCTGAGATAAACGAATTCGTAATTCCCGGCCGACCGATAGACGTCTCCACCGGGCCTCCTGCCGACCCTTAAACGTCAATGAAATCACTTTGACGTCACATGATATTAGATATCGATAACATTATTAAACGTCAAATGACATTATTTTGATGTCAAATGACATTACTGTGACGTTTAATGACGTCACTTTGACGTCAATGACATCATTAAACGTCAAATGACGTCTAATAATATTAATTTGATGTCTATGACCTCACTTGAAATCTAATGACGTCACTTTACGTTACGCGGACGACGCTACTTGGGGCGTTATCCAATCAAATTTCAGCGTATATAATTGTTGGCTTCGCATTAAGGGTCGACAGGCGACATGGTGGAGACGCCTATCGGCCGGCCGGGAATTACGGATTCTTATTTTCCAGATATTAGCGAAAATATTGAATGAATCTTATTAAATTTAGGATATTCTTAATCAGTAAGCTCATTTGTAGTCCTCTAAAGAGCTATTTTATGAAAAAAAGATAAAAATAAAAATTTTTAATAAACTTGGGGGAATGCACAGCTAGGAACGGGTAAGGTTGGGTTAGCCGCGAGTCCGTATTTTATTTATTATAAATTTTTAAGAGCGAAAATGTAAAATCCGGCCTTTTAGAGGACTGCTTTATTATATAAAGAATATATTAAAAAAAAATTCACGAAGTTATGTCACTTATTTTATGAAATATCTGGACGATAAGATTCTCACTAGATTCATAAGGAGCAGGGGAAATTTCTGTGGTAACATGCTGACTGCTTGACAAGGAGAGAGCATCATTCCATCTTTGTCTCTCTTACATCGCATATGTAGTAGCGTCCATGTAGGTACAAAAACTAATACGTGAGCACACGGATGCAAATATTGAGAGATAATGTCAGCAAAAAGGCTATCATATTATTTTTATTTTTTTGTATATGTATGCATATGTAAATAAAGAACAAAAATAAAAACTATTTTAAATAATAAGAATCTATTTGTGTGTGTGTGTGTGTAATTAAAAATTAATAAAAAAATCAATTTATATACCATATATTTTTTTTATATCATATAAAAAAATCTTAGAAATGTACTTAAATTTTTCGTAGATCCTCGATTTTTTTCATTGCTTCTAAACATTCAGCTAAAAGAGCAGTTGAGACTATTCGAATAAAAAATATTTCATCTTATTTTTTGCAAATAATATAATATATTTTTTATTTAGGAGTCCAAAAATATATGTTACGCATAAGTTATTTATAATTTTCGTTCAAATTAAGAGAATATTGTATTGAATATATTGTAATGCATATACACATTAATTTTCATTAATTTACTTGTTTAACAAAAACATGGTTTTTTGATAATAATTTAAAATTATTTCTGCTCAGTGATTTTTAAATAGCCGCAGTATATTGACGGTGCAAAGGTAGCATAATCAATTGTTTTTTAAATGAAAACTGGAATGAAGGAATTGATTAAAGCTGTTTTAATTTGTAGATTTAAAATTTAAATTTTAAGTTAAAATTCTTAAAAGAAATTATGGGACGAGAAGACCCTATTAAATTAATATAATTTTTTTATTTAAGGAAATAAATTTTATTTTAATGATTATATTTTATTGGGAGGATAATTAAATAAAATGAACTTTAATTTAAAGATAATTTTAACATTAATTAATGAAATTTTTATAAAGGATTGATTATTAAATTAAGAAAATTTTTTTTTTATAATAATTATAAAAATTAATTACCTTAGGGATAATAGCGTAATATTTTTAGAAAGATCATATTAATAAAAATGATTGCGACCTCGATGTTGAATTAAAATAAAAATTAAATAAAGAAGTTTAATATTTTAGTCTGTTCGACTAATAAAATTTTACATGATTTGAGTTCAGATCGGTGTAAGCCAGATCGGTTTCTATCTATAATAAAATTAAGAAAATTTTGTACAAAAGGACTTTTTTTTAAATTATATTTTTTTTAATGAATAAATTTAATTGATCAAATATATGTAAATAAATAAAATTACTTTGGCAAAATTTAAGTGTATTAAATTTAGAATTTTAATGATGTATAATAGAAAAAAGTTATACAAGTAATAATTTGTCAAAATTTAAGATTATATTTTTATAGTGCGTTAAATATATTAAGATTGTTAATTTTGTTATTAATTATATTAGTTGGGGTAGCTTTTTTAACTTTATTGGAACGAAAAATTTTAAGATATGTACAAATTCGTAAAGAACCTAATAAGGTGGGATTTATAGGATTATTTCAATCTTTTAGTGATGCTATTAAATTACTTAATAAAGAATTATTTTATGTATATAAATCTAATTATAATTTTTTTTATTTATGTCCTATAATTAGATTTGTTTTAATAATAATATGATTAGTATTTCCTTACATTACTAATATTTATTTTTTAAATTATTCTATTTTATTAATAATTGTTTTTATAACTATTAGAGGGTATGTTATAATTTTTATGGGATGATCAGCTAATTCGATTTATTCAATAATAGGAGCAATACGATCAGTTTCACAAATATTATCATATGAAGTAAGATTTATTTTAATTATTTTAGTTATTATATTAATAAGAGAGAGATATTCTTTTTTTGATTTTATTAATTATCAATTTTATTTATGATATATAGTAGTTTTATATCCTTTGTTTATTATAGTGTTTATTAGGATTTTAGCTGAATTAAATCGAAGTCCTATAGATTTTATCGAAAGTGAGTCAGATGATTTAATATTGAATATTTTAGGGGTGGGTTTACATTAATTTTTTTATCTGAATATGGAATAATTATTTTTTTAGATTAATTAGAATTTATATATTTAGGAATTTATTAAAATATTCAATAATTTTAACTTTTATTTTAATTAATATTTTATGTAGAATAGTAATTTTTATACATGGAATACTTCCTCGAATACAATATGATAAATTAATATATTTATGTTGGAAAATTATTTTACCAATAATTTTGGTTTATATTTTATTAATTTTTGGATTTAAATTTATATTATTAATAATAATTTAGTAAAAAAAATTAAATGTTTAAAAGTTAATAGAAAATTAAAATTTCTTTAATATGTTTTCAAAACATAAACTTAAATTCAAGATTATTAACTTAATTTAATAGTAATTTATAAAAAATTTAAATATTAAATATAATTATTTTTAATATTTTAAATTTATTTATAATAATAAATTTTAAAATATTTATTTAAAAATAATTAAATCTCAAATTTTTATTAGGAAAGGTAATAAGATAAAATAAAGAAAGTAACATAATGATAAAATTTGTCTAATAATGATAAAAGGTTGAGCTCCTGCTCATGTTAATAGAATAAAAATATTAATGAAAATTCAAAATAAATATTGATTTAAAGGATAAAATGATAATGAATTAAATTTTATAGAAATTAGAGGTAAAAAATATAAGATAATAATTGATGATAATAATGCAATTACACCTCCTAATTTGTTAGGGATAGATCGGAGGATAGCATAAACATATAGAAAATATCATTCAGGTTGAATATGAATTAAAAATGTATTTTATAAATAAATGAAATATTATATATATATAATATATATATATAAGTGTATATATATATATATATATATATATATATATATACAGATATGAAAGAACTTACGAGTAACGTATGATGGCTCAATGCAAGAATATTTAATCACGTAAAAAACTTGAGTTCAAATATATCAATATCAATTTTTTTATAATATATTAGAATATAGAAAATCATAGAAATATATTTTTTATATAGGCGATAAACTTAAAAATTTGATATTGAAAATATTTTAATCATTTTACAACTACACACACTATAAATATATAAATGCAAAATACTTCCGTAAATAAATTTCAATAAATCAATTGCACACATGCACACAGCTGGTATGTAGATTTTTATTAAATTTATTTTCTGAATTATTTTACACTTATATATATGTAGTAAAAATATTTTCAATATATTAAAAAATTTTTAAATCGCCGAAATATATTTTATCATTTTTCTATATTCAATATATATATATATATATATATATATATATATGTATTTATATAAAAAATTGATATTGATATATTTGAACTCTAATTTACTGGATGATATACTGAACATCCTTGCATTGATTATATATTACTCAACGGTACGTTCTTTCACGTTATAAGTTATTGGAGCAAATTATACAATAGCATCAATAATCAAAAAGAAATCAAGAATAATCAACATATCCCTATATATATATATATATATATATATATATATATACGCACATATGTGCATAAGGATATATAAAATTTATAAAAAGTAGGTACTTATTAGCCTTGCTACGCTACTGCCTTCTGCTACGGAAGGCCAGAAAGCATTTTCAGGCGGCATCTCGCGTATACCGGCACGGTAGAGGAACAAGGAGAACACGTGATTATCGGTCCTTGTCTCTCTACGGTGCGTCCGCGTGAGCAATGCAATGGTGTATGTACGTGTACAGACATGCACCACTACATAAAACCCGAGAATTGGTTTCTCGGCGTTGGCAACATTGAAATCGGAGTTTCGCGTTGTCACCGCGCGAGGTCTCCAACATCAATTCGGAGTTTGGCCGACCGACCTGTCGACCCTTAAGCAGTGTTGTTAGACGGGCTAGGTTTTTTCGCGCATGCGCGTATTACCGTGACGTAACCATGACGACTACAGTAACGTATGATGTTTGCGCGCGCAACTACGGACCAAGACCCTGGACCACGGAGTTTTGGCGGAATCGCAGGAAACAGATAAATTGAACGTACGTAAAAATAAATAAATTATTACAATATATGTAATATAAAAGTGTATTATTATAATTTATGTATATTAAAATTAATCAATAATTCAAATTATAAATTGTATAAATAAAAACTAAACTCGTAATTTACGTATGTTATAACATAGGTACACGTATATGTATATATTTTATAATTTCATTATTTGTTTATTGTATGTTTATATTTAACATTTTTAATTAAATTTATTATATTTATAATAAAAATTATACGATTCATTAATTATTTTAAAAAATTTTCAATAATTTAAGAAAAATTAAACAGAGGGGGAAATCAGGACCCCATTTCATGCGAGTGACTACTTCATTAATACTACATTCAATGCGCATGCGCGAAAAAACCTAGCCCGTCTAACAACACTGCCCTTAAGTTGATCTTGATCCAATTTTTTGTTGGCTATCGCGTCACTTTTTTGTCAATAACTTTGTTAATAACTTCTTTTACTAATAACTTTTTAATAAACGAGCGACGGATAAAACTTTTTAGAGTTACTTTTCAGGATGACCTTAACAACACATGTCAAGACGATTCGAGCGATCTATTTAAATATTTAGAAAATAATTAAAGTTAGCAGGAAATTAAAGTCTCATACCACATTTTTTTGTCTTTATCATCTTGTTTCAACCTGTGGTCAATTTTTTTTTTATTATTTTATCATTAATTTGAATTTTAAAATTTAAATGATTTTAACTTTTGATAGAAGCATTTGTCAAAGAAATATTCAAATAAAACTTACTTGTTTTTTTTCATTAGAATTCAATTGTAATAATTTAGAAGGGGTTTTAAAATTCTAAAATTACCTCTCGCTCTCTTTGCAGAGATATTTTATATGTTAATATAATTCAAGAGATTTTTTGAGAATACATGAGACTTTTTTATGAACTTTTTGATTTGACAAATATTTTTAGAATAACCGGCTTGCAACATTTTACATAGACTACTCTGTATATAATTATAAAATCAATATCAATAATAATATACAATAATAATATACAATAATATGATTATATATATAATTATACATTATATTTGTATTATTTATATATAATTATTATATTATATAAATTATCTGAATACTATATTACACTAATATACAATTATACAAATATAATTGTTTATTAATGTCATATTATTTGTATGTTACGCATTTCTATGAAAATAGTATAATTGAATATATATAAATATGTATATTTAAAAACACAAATTCATACAATTAAATATTCAATTAAATTATTTTCCTAACGTCATTTTCTTTTTCTAAGGAATAACATTATTGCGAATCGTTGATGTACATCATGAATATATATTTGAAAATCTAGAGACAAGTGAGAAAGTTGTAAAGAGATTACCCTGAATTTTGACAATGAAGTAAAAAAGCTAAGTAACATTTTAGTTAAAAATCGACACTATAACACTAGGTCACGTCATGTATCTGTGTTCCATTGCTGAAAAGCACTCATCGCAGTAATAGCAATACACATTGTGTGCTATTCTTGGACATTGTTGAAAGTCAGAATTCAATTACTTGATTTTTAATGAGCAATATTCTATTTTTTTCGAATATGATTTTTATTGTAATCAATGCTGTGATTATCAGTTTTAGTATCATGCAATATGATACGTCATTGCATATTTGTATTGTAAAATTTGATATCCAATTACTCTCTCTTAAGCATAATGCGATGGTGGCACCGTTAAATCTTGTAAGACAACCAATTGTTCTTCCGTAAAGTGTTGCGCATGACCAGCCCAGCCATCATAATGTGTTCGTTTGAAATCACTCAGAGTCTTTCTTATTGTCATCTGTAATTCAAGTATTTATCACAAAAAAAAATTAATCGCAATTCATTATAATTATATAATCTATTTAAACAATTGCAAACAGTATATGTGTATTAAGTAATAGTTAAACAATATAATCCAGAATTAGGTCTACCCAAATCTTGTAAAATAATAAAATTTTTTTTGTAAACAAGATGTAATTTGCAACATGTTTTTTTAAAAGCATTTAATGTCAAAAAATTGTTAACTTCAAACTTTTATAATTCAAAAAGTACTTAATGAAAAAATGTTTTATTGTAGTGTTTTGGAAAGCTCTTGAGATGAGTTACAAGAATATGCAATAAAAAATGGAGAATTCTATTTTAAAAAATTAAGTTAACCTTGAAATGACCTTTAAATTTGACCCTTAGGTCAAAGTCAAGGTCACCATTATTAAGTGCTTTATTTTGAGCCCTACAACTTTTGTATTTAACATTTTTTAATAAGACCACTATTTTCAGAGATAATTAGCTGTTGCCAAACTTTTTTGAACCACCTTGTATAAAACAAATTGAGACATTTAAAAAATTACCGGTATGGGCTGCGGATCGTTCATATGAAAGCCGAGATGCTCGAAGACTGAAGGCACGTATTTTGGCACATCGTATGGATGGGCTCGAATGAAAGCGCACAGTCCGAGTACACCCGCATGACGAATACGTATAGCGTCGATTTTTTCGGAATTTAGCGATGCATCATCAACAGAACCGACTTTTTTCTTATGCAATCGTGTTCTCGCCTTTCTCTTGAATTCCTCCTAAAAAAATCATAAGCGATATTTTGAATTTTAAATCTTTTCAGGATCTTTTTTAAGGCTCTTGACTTCTCGCCGACTATGTTAGATTGTAACGTCAGAGGCGAGAAAATACAAGCTAAAAATTCTTAAATGCTATTTCGAAGTAAAAAGATATTTCGGTGAAACAACATTCTAGATAGCTTTAAAATACTTCTAAAACTCATTTAATCAACTATTATAAAATTACTGTAATATAAGGCCCAAATAGCCACAGTAATTGACATAATTTTGACGTCAAAATAACGTAATTTTGACGACAAAATAATGTATTTTAACGTTAAAATGAGGTCAAAATAATTGCTGTGGCTATTTGGGCTTTAAATAATGTCAATTTACGTCATCTTGACCAAATTTGAACTCCAAATTTGATCAATGACGTCAAAATGATATTATTTTGATTTTCTGTTCTACTTGGGTTGTACATTACATTAATATGGTTTAATTATGTCATTTTGACGGAAAAATAATGTGTTCTGACGTCAAAATGACGTAATTTGACGTCAAAATGGTGTCACAATAATTACTATAACTATCTGGACCTCATATTGCATCAATATGGTCAAATTAGGTCATTTTGACGTCATGACGTAATTGATATCAAAATGATGTAATTTGATGTCAAAATGCCTACTTTTGTTATCTGTAGGCTGTCAATTGACTGTCAAAGGAAAAGAATAATTTTCAAGGTATTTAAAAGTGTGCTAAAGCCATCTGAAACAGTATTTCATCTTAATATCCTTTCATTTAAACATGGCATCTAAGAATGTTCGGCGTGACGTCACAATCTAACTTGGCGCGGCGAGCATCCAGAAGCCTGAAATAATATTTCAGCAACCTACCAGAAACTTCTCTCCGTCCTCGATGAACGTGCAATGCAACAAACCGCCGAGCACTAGGCTGGCCTTCTCCCTGACCTCTAAACGCTCATCCTCTAACAAGCGCAGAACGATATTCTTAACGCAATCGATCCACGTTATGTTACTAAGAATTATACCCATGTTATGAAAGGCCAATACTTGAAGAAACTCCAAGCTGATGAATCTGGCGGACCACGACGAATGCTCGGACATCGTCTTCACCGCGGTCAAGGCCACCGGCATCACTTCCGGCAATGTGAACGCCTGCGCGAGGGTCGCCAAAGTGTATAAGCACAGCTTGTTGAGCTCCTCGTCCGCCTCCGAGTTCTCTAATTGACATACGATCGGAAATACCTCGTAGAATCCTGGTGTAGCAGCGTACAGCGAACGCGACAGACTACCTATAATCCATTTACAGACAGTCTTCAACAATCTCTTAGGGACTTCTTCCTCCTCCGCCTTGGACACTATCTTCAGTTCGTCGAACGAGACATCGGTAACCTTTTCCAACAGATTCTCTTCATCGAGATCGTTCAATTTAGTCACGTCGTCGACTTTTCCCAACAGATTCCCTTCCTCTAGACCATTCAACTTGGTTGCGTCATCCTCAACAAGTAGCTTCAATCTTGGGACCACCTTATCGATCAGAGTCTGCAATCGCGGGATTGCTGTATCAGATGAGCAATGCGAAAACTTGAGATCGGCGTCGAATACGGTGACCAGCATCGAGCCCAGGCGTTCCCGGACGTTTTGAAAGGGATTATTCAACAAACGTGTCTCCAGACGGGTCAGCAGACGTTGCAGTAATTCCGTGACCCGCCAGGTCTGTTGATTCAGAGCGCCTTGCAGTATGTAAAGACGGCCGCACTCCACGAAGGAGGATTCCGAGTCCTTGAGCGGCGGCTCCTCCATCAGGCACTCGAGTAGCCAGTGATGCCTGTTCGGGTCTCTGCGTTGTTGGATAGTCGCGAAGCATATACCCCAGTCCATGACGGTCTCCTCGGTTAAATTCGCGATCGCGGTTCTTACGACGGGCAGCATGACTTGCCACATCTCGCGGACCATCTCGAAGGGCCAGTGCTTGGAGCCCCGGATTATCCCGGCAGTGATCTCCGCGGCGCATCGTTGGCTGCTCTCGTGCTTATCCGTCACAAGTCGCTGCAGATGCGGCAGAAAGTGCTTTAGATGGACGATTCCGTGGTTGCGGAACAGACCCTTGAAGAGCAAGCACCGACACCCGTTGAATTTGTCCTTGCCCTTCTTCTCCTCCAAGCTGAGATAGCTTATCAGCTTGTCGATGTGTTGCGGATCGTCGAAAAAGGCGCGAACTTCCAGCTCCTGATCCGTCATCAGTTCGCACGCTTCCGCGTCGAGGCGGGGTTGCTGAGACGAGGGTGCATACACCTCCAGTGTCTTCGGCCAGACGTAATAGCCCACGTACGGTTGGTGAACGTATCTGGATTCGTCCCACTGCTCGGCGGTCTGCGGACGAGTCTCGTAATTGTACTGAAGCCAAGTATTGTCGTCCCTTATTCCGGGCATGACACTTCGATCTTGTTCCTTTTCATTTAACGCGCTCTTCTTGGACAGATCCCGTATATCAACTGTCACCTTGAAGTATACACACAGGTTTATAACCACAATTTTATATATACATATTATATGGGATGGACAAAATAAAACGTTACGAATTTTTTCCTAAAGGACGATTTGCAAAGTTATTTAAAGATTATTTATTTTTTAAAATGGTACCACTATATTTTTTACATAAATCGATTCCTTGTTATATTCTGCATAAAAAGTGATAGGAGTAGAATGGTCAAAAAATGAATAGTTTACGAGACATTTCATAGTTTATGTAAGATTATGTCAAACTTAAGTATGAAATATCTCGCAAATTATTCACTTTTCGATCAGTCTACTCTTATAACTTTTATGCAGAATATTTCGAGGAATCGATTTACTTAAAAAAATATGGTGATTTCATTAAAAAACAAATGACTTCAAAATCGCTCTTTAGGGAAGTCAGTAGTGTCAACTATTTATTTTTATTTGAAACATTTTTCTTTAAAAACTATCTTTAGAGATAAAAATTCGTAACGCTTTATATTTTGTCTACCCTGTATAAATAATCTGTTTATTTTAATCAAATAAAAATCGGGCGTACTTTTGGATGTTTTCGCTTTTGCTGCTTCAACATAAATACCACTGTTTTAATAGCGATTTTTCTCTCTTTCAAGGAATCGTGTATAAGCGCCTGTAAGAAGTAGCGCACTATTCTCGCGGAATAGATGTGATTCGGATGAAACAGATCCCGCATAAAGCTCATCGCCATTAATCGATGCCGCCAGTGCAGAGATTCTTCGTGTACACAACGTAGCAGCTCGTCGAGTAAATCCATATACGTCGTCAGATTGAACTCGTTGAGTTGCTTCAGGTTTTCCGCGGCCCTTTCCACTTCAAGGTCATCAGGCTGCGGTGGTGTTGCTCGCGGAGTGCTTTCCCACAAGCCGCGCGCGGTCGTCAGACACCTGTCGGGTATCTCCAGCTTGATCGTATTCATATAAAAGTATTTGCTTATAATGTCTACGACGTTCTCCTTCAATCGGATCACAGAAAGCTTCTCGGACGGTTTGGAAAGGACAACGGCCGGCCATAACGATCTCAACATGCTGCAGTCCTCACCCGTGATCAGGGGAGCGTGTCGCGGTCCAAGCAGCATATACAGAACACCCTGCGTTTACAAATAGTTTAACAACTTGACCTTCAAATGAGCTTGAAAATTGGCCTTTAGGAAAATGGGTCACAAAGAGATAAGGTAATAGGACTATCCTATTATTTACCTTGTAAGCGTCGTGATGCTCTTCGGTGTCTTTCGCCAGGATATCGATGAGACGAGGAACTATTAATTTAGAAGAATAAGGGAAATTTTTGAACGCGGAGAAGAGGCCGTCCTGAGCCTTCGAACGCACATCCCCGTATCTGCTTATCGCTAAGGTGAATAATTCGAACATGATTTGTTTATGAGTCTCGGTTAGCATGACCAATTGTGTAAGTTGTCGGTACTCGTGCTGGATGTCACAACGTTCCAGGATCAATGGACCCATCCGATTCTTGTTCCCCATCAATTTGTCCTCGAATATTCTCTTGGCGACTTGAAAAGTCCTGCGTCGTTCATCGTGCAATTCGCGCAGCCGTATTTTTCCCAGTAACAAACTAGTCCAAATCTGTAATTTAAATGCAATTTTTTTAGTAAATATTTTTAAAACGAATAAGTAGCAAACTGACATCAAACGTCAAAATGATATCATTTTGATATGTAATAACGTCATCAACGTCAAAGTGTCATTTTGATATCTAATGACGTCGTACAACGTCAAAATGATGTCACTTTGGGTGCGTTCCGTTATGCACTGCAAGTACTGGCAGTACTACCAATAGCGTTCCGATATAGATAGCAGTGCACTGCGAAAGTACTATCATGAGTATATGACGTCATTAATTTTGACGTTATTTCCTGTTGCGATTACTGCAACCGGCGAGGTAAAGCACTCGCAGTAATCAAGATGGCTACCTCCATGTGTACGATGGAACTAACTTTTAAATTCCATATCTGAATATAATGATACAATATTTTTAACGTAATTTTTACATTTTATTCTAGGTATTTTAATTTGTCGTCTCATTTCATTTATTAATTCCATTTCCAAATCGCTTTCACTTGATGACTCACTCGAATCATATATATTCTCGATTAAATTATATGTAATTAATGCAATAATGGTATTATCCATTTCACCAATTTTTCACTCGATGATTATTAGCGAAAAAGGTTAGTTAAAAGTCTGCTGAAAGCGTACTGTAGTGCGTTCCGTTTTACTATTTTGCAGTAGCTTCAAAGTGCACAAAATTAAAAAGGAACGCTGTCAACAGTACACTTGCATGACGTCATAGTGCCAGTACTTGCAGTGCATAACGGGACGCACCCTTTGATATCTAATGACATCGTTGACGTCATCAGATATCTAATGACGTCGTCAACGTCAAAATGACATCATTTTGATGTTTAATGACGTCATTTTGTAGGGTATCCAGTAAAATTTGAAAATGAAATTTAAACACATTTCAATAACATTTTAAGATTTTACAATTTTCCAGTAATATAATCAATATGTACAAAGAATAAAGTATTTTATTTTTTTAACCAAGTCGATATAAATTGCACGTTAATAAAATAAAACATACCCATTATAATATTCGATAAAATATTCTCTTATATTTGAATATTTAAAATCTAGAAATAACTTATTTGTAACACATTTTTGGATTCTGTAAATAAATAGCACATTGTATTATTTACGAAGTAAGATAACTGAAATATTTTTTACTCGAATAATCTCAGCTGATTCTTTTAGCTAAATATTTTTAGATAGATACAGCCTTATGAAATCTATATATTTATAATAATAAAACTTGGCTCGATTTATAAACTTTAGCGAAAAAATTTTGTTTCACTGATGAAATGACTCGATTTACAGTATTTCCGTAAGTAAAACGACTAATTTCACCAGTAAAATTTTTTTATTATTAAGACAATCCGAAGAAACTGAATGTTCACAAGTAAAAAAATCAAGGATTTACGAAAAATTTAAGCACATTACCAGGATTTTTAAAGGACAAACAAAATTCCATAACATTTCAAGGATTTCAAGGACGCCTGGACACCCTGTTTTAGTATTTATGACCTCCAACATCAAAATGATGTCACTTGATATCTAATGACGTCATCAACGTCAAAATGATGTCACTTTGATATCTAATGATGTCATTTCGACATCAAATAATGTCATTTTGATATCTAATGACGTCATTGACGTCAAAATGATATCACTTAATATCTGATGACATCATTCGACATCAAATGACGTATGCTTGCTCCCTTGATTGTTTGACTAGCTGTAACTCAATAACCTTAATTATTTAGCTTTTGAAGCTGTTACATTCTTTGTTCAGCAGATCAAAAGCTACAATATATGAAAAAATCAGTCAATCCCATCAAAATTCAATTTTGATAAGGATAGTGCAGAATCCTTTCTAATATTTAAAATAATATTTTTGAGGAAAAGTAATAAAGAGAAAAAGCTTAATTTAGAAAATCTATGGTATAAGCATTTTGAAAAAAATTATATATACTCGTATGTATACGTATATGAAATGTACACACCCGTATTAACACATAGAAACTCTTGGTATTGTCCTCTGAATTTTCAAGCATCGTTTTTTGGACTTGACTCATAATCCCAGTGAGATATTGCCTAACATTACTACCATCAGGCATTGTAACGTCTCCACTTATTCTATACTTAGGCACTTTAGGTACATTCAAGTCTAAGGAAGATTTAACTACTTCAAGTGGCGTTTCCGTCCAAACTGGTAGGACAGATTCGGCACCTCTAATGATGCAGCATACGATATTTAAGCTGACCAACAATTCTTCCCTACAATTATTCATATATGTTAATCATTTATCTATGTGTTATATCATAACATAATTTTACATAAAAAGAATCGATATACATTTTATATGAACTGACCTACTTAATGATTTAGCATCTTGGCAGTATCCCTTGAGCTTATCAATTTGCATTGATAAATATCTGAAGAATATTCGTTGTACAGTCGCGATCTCTTCTTCGCCAGGAATATACCATTTGATACAGAAGTCATCGAGGTTCACGCTCTGACCCCAATCCCTGATGTAAGGATAATCGGGATCATTGTAGTCTCTCTTACCGGCTCTGTACTCGCAGGGAGCAATGGTCGACAGCGACCAGAGGACGCACTTGAGCAGATGACAGGCCAATTTATTCCCATCCATCGACCTTAGAAGCAGAACGCGATCAAGAACGTTGATCAGAGTGTCCATGTGCGGTATCAGATTGCTGCCCGGAGTGTTGACGATCGCGGACAATATGAGTAGAGCGTGTAGGAGGCGATGGTCCAGGTTCTCCTCCTTCAGCATGTCCTCCTCCTCGCTAACGAGCGGCAGGATCGTCTGCGCGAGCACCGGGACTAGGGCGTGCAGGGTGTCACGTCCGTTAAAGCGGGAGAAGCTCTTGCAGACAACGGCGGCGAGTTGCCCGGCGACTTTCGTCTCGAGGATTCGTTCTGTCATGAACGCGCGCAGCTTGTGCAGGGCGCTTCGAAAGATCGCATCGCTGGTCTTCATCAACAGGGTCGAGCAGACGCCAGAAAGCGCGGTCTCCGCGATCGATTCGAGCTTGCTTTTCAGATTACCGCCGCGGTTCTCCAACCGCACGTTCTCCAACGAGCTGGAGTCGATGAACAGAAACACCCGGTCCAGAAATTGCAGCACGAAGTCCTCGAAACGCGAAGTCGCCTCGCAGATCATCCTCTCATCCTCCGTCATCATCGCAGTGGATCTAGAGGAGTCCACTATGGGGATCAGTGTGGCGTAAACGGAAATGAAGCGGAAGGTGGCGAGGCATTTGGTAATGTCGTTCGGATCGATCCCTGGTAAAGATGAAAACAACAGTGGCAATACGTGCATTGGCCCTTCGGAGAATGCGTAGTCTGCAAAAAGCAAAAATTTAATTAAATGCGTATGAGAAAAATATACAGGATGTGATTTTCATCGACCACCTTTACAAACTTTTTTATTTTTGATTGTACAAGTTGCTTCAAACCAAAATTATTTGATTTAAAGGGGGACAGAATAGCGTTATTGACTCAAGGTTATTTAAAGGTCATTTACGTTTTTTTTAATGGAACCATACTTTTATAAAATAAACTGATTCCTTGTAATTTTCGGCATAAAAAAAGTTATAAGAGTAAGACAGCCAAAAATGAATAGTTTAGAAAATATTTCATACTTAAATTTGACATATAATAATTTTACAAAAATTATAAAATATCTCGTAAAATATTAATTTTTTTATCATCTTACTCCTATAACTCTTTATGAAAATTGCGAGGAATTGATTTATATAAAAAAATATAGTGATTCAATAAAAAACATAAATGACCTTGAAAAGCGCCCCTTTAAAAAAAAAGTCAGCAGCGCCATCTTCCCCCTTCAAATCAAACAACTTTTGTTTGAGACATTTTATTGTACAATCAAAAGTGAAAAATTTTTGAGGAACACTCTGTATATAAAATAAAATTAAAAAGAAAAAACCTATACCTGTGTTTATATTTCTAGGACCTTGCACCATCGGTCTGGCAACAGCTACCATACAGATCATTGAAGCTGTAAGTTTATGAGGTTCAGTCAAAGAATCAAACGTAGAATACATTCTGTCCAACATATCTGGTATCACTAAATTCGGTCTCATGGTAGCAAGGTACTGCAAAGCGTGGCAAGCGTCGTTCACACCGAGTTTACTGAACATAGCTGTCATAGCTACGGGCAACATACTCTTGACGAAGGCATCCACATCGCTATCAGTTAATTTATAATTGTTAGGAATTGGAGTCTCCCATGTTCGTTTAGCGTATCTTTCTCTGAAATCGTGAAATCAAGGTTTAATTAGATATTCCTTGAGATAATCTTGATAATAAATAATTCAAATTAATTAATTAATTTAATAAAATGTGCTATACTTGTTGGATTCTAACTGATATGTAATTAGAATAAAAATATAGAATATAATATAAATATTTTACATTCAAAATACAAATATTAAATACCTACATACTTGTGTAAGCGTGAGATAAAATGATATGGAAGTTTGATAAGAAGTTCCCTTAACTTTCCCATCCACCGTCCAAAATTGGCAGGATGAAAATAGGTTTCTATTGTTTTTAAAAACTTTTCTAAGTACATCTGTGCGCTTGAACCATTTCCCTGTACGAAATATATGTATGTGTATATACAGGATGTCATCATTTTAACTTACACAACAAAATACCTCTTGAAAAAATGCAAAAAAATGTTTCAGACAAAAATTATAGGATTTTGAGGGGAAAAGAAGTTGGGGCTATTGACTTTTCCCCCCCAAGACAATTTTCAAAATCATGTAAAGGTCATTTGTTTTTTTTAAATGGAACTACCATAATTTTTATATACCTAAATCATTATAAAAAGTTATAAGATAAGCAAAAAATGAATGGTTTAAGAGATATTTTATACTTTAGTTTAATATAGTGGTTTCATTAAAAAAATTCAAGATAATCTTGCCCTGACCTTAACAACGCCATCAAAGATAAAAGTAATTAAATCTGTAAATAGATATTTTTAAACTCTACAATTTTTATCTTAAACCTTTTTTCTAAAATGCATTTTTTAGAAGATATTTCAAATAAAAAATATTATTTAAACAATATAAGTCCTATTCTCAAAATATTTATATAATTATAGGAACACACACTGACAATTCTTAGGTATTTCAAGAGTGTGCTAAACCCATTTAAAATAGTATTTTATCGAAGTATCCTTTCATTTAAATAATGGTATCTATAAGAATTTTCAGCGTGTATTCTTCTCGCCTCTGATGTCACAATCTAACATAGTCATGATGAGAATCTAGAAGCCTTTTCTGTATACATACAAACTTGAAAAGAATATACAGGGTGTCCCATAGGAAATTGCTGAAACTAATCAATTTTCATTTTTTAATGCATGCAATTATTGAGAAAACAATTATGTTGAAAAGAGGAAAGTCTACCGTTTTTAATGGATATAAATAAAATGTTTGTATATCAGTTTATTTTATTAATAAAAAGTAATGAAAAAAGTGCTACTAATCACATAAACTATAATGATAAGTATTTTCAACAGTGTCAGATTTAATAGCAGCTATTAAAAGGATCGTCAACAATATTAAAAATGACATATTAAAAAAAGTTTTTACGAGTTTTCGTAAAGAAACAGAATTTTGTACAAATTCAAATAATGTGCACTTCGAAAATATTTATCATTAGTTTACATACGTAATTACTAGCACTTTTTTCATAACTTTTTTTCAATAAACTATTATCAATAAACTATTGAATAAACATTTTATTTATATCCATTAAAAACTGTAAACTTTCCTCTTTTCAACACAATTTTTCTCAATTAAAAAATGACAGCTGAGATTAGTTTCAGCAATTTCCTATGTGACACCCTGTATCTTACTGTTTACATATTAATTGCACAATAAATTCTTACCAAAACTGCTACTATCCACAGAGCTATATATTCCATTTCTAGTTTATGACTCTTGCTGTGTTGCGTTTGCTTATATACCACTGGCAAGTTTAAGCAGCGTATAAATCTGGTAAACATCAAGGGAAAATGCGGCTCCCAGTCGATGTATCCAATATTGTTAGCTGCCAATCTTGTCATTAAGCACAACATTTGGTTCTCCCATAGCGGCGCATTGTGGCATACCTTCCAGAAGGTCATAAATTCATCAAACCATAACTGGTGTCCGATGACATGATGTTCAGGTGGCAGTTGCAATGGTAAAATGCATTCCAGAGTCTGAAGACTTGTACGCATTGTCATATTGTCAAAAGGACAAAATGTTGGTCTTAACTCGTCTAATATTTCTTGCGTGGCACTTAACTGTTGCAACAATATTGTTAAATATGAAATTAGTTATGCACTGTATTTAAAAAAAAGCCTCTTTTAGAAAAAAGAATTATTCTTACAGGGAAATAAATCTTTAGGGCGCGAATCACGCAAAATAAGATATTTCTCAACAATGCAGGCTGACGATATAGTCCTGCAAATTTATCTTTTAAAAGAAGTAATATTTCATATAAAGGTCTCCATGGAAGTTCTAGTTCACCAGGTCTAATTAATTCTTTTTTCCTGGAAAAAAAAAAAGAGAATTGGTTATCAAATATGTTCTATTCTATAAAAAATAATTTGCAACAACAAAAAATCTTTATGTTTCAATTCATCAGATCTTAACAATAAATTTATACATAAAGTTTACTTAAAATATAATATATATAAATTCATAACACATGTGCCCCAACCAAGTTAAAAAAAATCATATTTAAAAAAAATTTTATTCTTTTGCCCAAATAAAATTTATTTTCTCATAAAAAAAGGAATGTAATGTTAAATTTGTTTATATACAATATATACAAAGTTATAAAGATTTAATTAAACCATACATATTTTGTACAAAAGACTATATACAATAGCTTTTAAAAATAATCTTAAACATACTCAAACAATGCAGAAATGTCGCAAATTTAATTTACAAATGTTCCTCAATTTCTATTCCACTTACTTCAGTAGTAAAATTAAGGTGCTACAAAATTTAGTGATTAAATTTGGATCCAAATTTGGTATGGTGACAAGTTCGTACATCAATTTTACGAACGTTATATGATCCTCCTTACTGAATTTCATTCCATATACTTTCATATATCTGGAAGATAATTCAAAATATCAAATGTATTATGTTATAATAAATCAAGCATATATGTAATATAAAAAAATAGTATAGAAATATAGTGTAATAAAAGAACCCTACATAACTGTTATAAAAATGAGGATTTTGGTTAAATCAGCTGGTTTTTTCTTACATTGTAGCTTATGACTCAGTGAACAAAAATATAATAAATTCAAAGCTAAATAATAGATAGCTACTGATTTACAGCTAGTTAATTAAACATTAAAATTTTGGGCTCTGCGAGATGTTTAATTAGTTGTAACTCATTGTCAGTAACTGTCTATTATTTAGCTTTGAAGCTATCTTTTGTTCAGCAGATCATAAGCTACAATATATGAGAAACCAGCTGATTTTATCGAGATTCAATTCATGTAGAATTTCATATAAGTTCAAAAACCCAGCACTAATCCTCTATAAAATGAATCTTATCACATAGACTCTTTGTTTGATTCCAACATTTCCTAAACATTTCAACTGATTTCATCAGGGAGGAACAACCTGATACAGGGTGTCCCATAGGAAGCTAATCAGCTGTCATTTTTTAATGCACACAGTTATTGAGAAAACAAAAATTGTGTTGAAAAGAGAAAAGTTTACAATTTTAATGGATATAAATCAAATATTTATGTACCAGTTTATTTTATTGAAAAAAATAATGAAAAAAGTGCTAATAAACACATATAGAAACTAATGATAAATGTCATTTTTAATGTTACTCACGATCCTTTTAATAGCTACTATTAAATCTAGCACTGTTGAAAATACTTATCATTAGTTTATGTGATTATTAGTACTTTTTTCATTACTTTTTATCAATAGAATAAACTAGTATACAAACATTTTATTTATATTCATTAAAAACGGTAGACTTTCCTCTTCCCAACACAATTTTTGTTTTCTTAATAATCAAATGAATTTAAAAAATGATAGCTGATTAGTTTCTGCAATTTCTTATGGGACATCCTGTACATTCTTTTAAAGTTTGTATGTATACAGAAGTGATTTTTAAGGCTTCTAAATCCTCGTCACGACTGCGACTGTTAAATTGTGACGTCAGAGGCGAGAAAGCACACGCTGAAAATTCTTAGATACAATTTTTTAAATGAAAAGATATTAACACACCTTTAAAATACTTAAGAAATTTCAGTGTGTGTTTTCTCGCTTCTGACATCACAATTCTATGCTAACATAATCGGTGAAGAGCCAAGAGCTTTAAAATGAGTGTAAAAAAAACTTTGACAGATTATTTGAAGTAAATAATGCCATATATAAATAAGTCCTCTTTATTCATATTATAGGAATTTAAAAATTTGCTCGAGAATTTATTATAAAACAACTATATAAATAAATAATTAAATTTAATATAATATAATGATAACTTCTGATTAGTTTCTGGATACATTAACTATTTTTCATCACCCTTACAACGGCTCTGTGAAGTTGGCACGGCTTTTTTCGATTTTCAAAAAAAACATATGAGTTCTAGTAGCACTTTTAAAAGTTCTAGAGTTCCTGATAGGTTTCGCAAATAGTTCTGTCAATTTGAGGTCAAAAAACGAATTTTTTAAAAATATGCTAACTTCCCGTAGCACGACACTTACGCAAAAAAAATTTTTATTTGTGTATATCGATAGATTTCGACGAGATCTAGAGTTCCTGATAGATTTTAACAATAGTTCCGGCGAACTATACATTCTACGAGTTAAAAAAAAATTTAAACGATATTTGTAAAAATTTTATCTTGTTGTGCTAATAGAAATATTCATTTCTCACGGCGCAATTTGCGAGTTCTAGGATAGTTCTGACCTCCAAAATAATTTTCGACAATAGTTCTGTCGATTAACCATAATTAACTTAAATAATTAATAAAATAATTATAGCACGACACTCGAGCAAAGGGTGTCGTGTTAAGTATATATCGCAGTTCTAGGGGGAGTTTTGGCCAGTTCTCGTAGAGTTCTATGTTCTGCAATTATTTTCAAAAATAGTTCCGGCATAGAACTCTACGAGAACTGGCCAAAACTCCCCCTAGAACTTGCGATATATACTCAGCACGACACCCTTTGCTCGAGTGTCGTGCTGAAATCGGACATTAAAAATTTTTTAAATTATTAAAAAATGTTTAATCGCCGGAACTATTTTTGAAAATAATTGCAGAGCATAGAACTCTACGAGAACTGGCCAAAACTCCCCCTAGAACTGCAATATATACTTAACACGACACCCTTTGCTCGAGTGTCGTGCTATAATTATTTTATTAATTATTTAAGTTAATTACTGGTAATCGATAGAACTATTGTCGAAAATTATTTTGGAGGTCAGAACTATCTTAGAACTCGTAAAATGCGCCCAGAGAAATAGATATTTCTACCAGCACGACACTCTTCCGCGATGTCGTGCTATAATAGTTAATTAATTAATTAAGTTAATTATGGTTAATCGACAGATTAACTATTGTCGAAAATTATTTTGGAGGTCAGAACTATCCTAGAACTCGCAAATTGCGCCGTGAGAAATGAATATTTCTATTAGCACAACAATATAAAATTTTTACAAATATCGTTTAAATTTTTTTTTAACTCGTAGAATGTATAGTTCGCCGGAACTATTGTTAAAATCTATCAGGAACTCTAGATCTCGTCGAAATCTATCGATATACACGAATAAAAATTTTTTTTGCGTAAGTGTCGTGCTACGGGAAGTTAGCATATTTTTAAAAAATTCGTTTTTTGACCTCAAATTGACAGAACTATTTGCGAAACCTATCAGGAACTCTAGAACTCTTAAAAGTGCTACTAGAACTCATATGTTTTTTTTGAAAATCGAAAAAAGCCGTGCCAACTTCACAGAGCCCCTTACAACTATAAAATCAGCACTGTTAATAACTTGATAGACCACGCTGTAATATTGTCTGATAAACGTTTTCATAAATCAAACTTAAAAATCGTGGAAAAAATTTTGTTAAAGAACTGATTAAACATCAAGTTAAGCAGTGATTAAAAACTATTTCACATAACAAAATTAATGATGATTCTAAGGTGGTACCCCATTTGAGAATGGACAGAGATTTCGTCATGATTCAGTTTTGTAAAAATGTAAACGATGACATCCGTCGGATTTTTAAAAAAATAAATCTTAAGATACTACATATAATACCTAAGAAATTAAGTTGTATTATTGAGATTGAAAAAGATAAATTGAACAATCGAAAACAGACTAAAGTAGTTTATCGCATCAACTGCAAGGACTGTGATGCTTCATACATAGGACAGACGAAAAGATATTTATTCACCAGAATTAAGGAATATACAATCGAAATATTAGGGGCGCGCCTAACAATTATTCTGTTGTGACTAACCATTGTCTTACATATAATCATGATTTTGATCGGGAGATGATCTGACGATATTACATAAAGAAGGTTGTTTACGTAAAAGAAAAATAGCCGAAATGTTCTTTATAAAAAAGACTGATGAAACCATCAATTTACAAAATGACACGGAAAATTTAAATAATATTTATGATAGCCTACTTGGGGTACAATTGTTATTTGTTTTTGGACTTTTTAACCATTGTTATTTGTATTTAATCTCAGTATGAATTTTGACACTTACAATTGTTCGTTTCGTCTGTCAAGTTAACCGACATGAAAAATTTATAATCTATGTTAAAGAAGGATGTTAAAAAAATGTCGATTTTCGCCCTCAAGTGCAAAGTGAATAGCCGTTGAAAAATCATTGTTTGGATCCTCAGGTAAGAGGAAATGACAATTATTTGTCCGAGGAACGGTGGGAACATTACTGGAATTGCTTAAGGGCTAGTTGTTCCAACTCTTGGTAAGTTTTACCTGATAAGTAGCATATTTATCTCCATTTTTAGAACTTATCTGAAAAGAGACGAAAATATGCTACCTATATACGTATGTCAGATAAAGATTACCGAGAAATTGAAAAAATCGACCCTAAATGTAGTAAAAAGTAATATCTACATATAAACGGTTGGAAAACCATTATTCTAGTCAGAATTGTGAGTACATTTTGCATGTAAAGATCACGGACTACTTTAGCATTATCCAGGATGCACCACGTAAAGGTATACGAGGTGTGTTCAAAAAGTATCGCGAATTTTGTGTTTTTTCAAAAATTATTTATTTATTCATGAATATCTATTTTGTCCCCTTCAAAGTAATCCCCACCAGATATTATACACTTGTGCCAACGTTTTTTCCAATCCTCGAAGCACTTCAAAAAATCATTTTTTGTGATCTTGTTCAGCTCCTCCTTCGATGCCGTCTTTATCTCCTCAATCGTAGCGTAGCGTCGTCCTTTCATGGGCCTCTTCAGTTTCGGGAACAAGAAAAAGTCACAGGGGGCCAGATCTGGGGAATACGGTGGCTGCGGCATTATTAGTGTGTTGTTAATGCGATGCTGTTTTTGGTCGAAATTGAGCAATTTTGGTACAAATTTCGCGGCGACCCGTGTCATGCCCAAATCATTGGTAAAAATCGAATGGCACGAGCCAATCGATATGTTTAGGTCCTCAGCAACTTCTCTAACGGTGATTCGACGATTGACCAATACTATTTTCTTCACTTCATCAATGTTTTCGTCTGTTGTTGACGTGCTCGGGCGTCCGGCACGCTCTTCGTCGTTCACATCTTCTCGGCCCTCGGAAAACATTTTGTACCACCGATAAACGTTGCTTCGGTCCAAGGTAGCTTCACCATATGCCACAGTCAACATTCGGAATGCGTCCGCGCACTTAATTTTGTTTTTCACACAAAATTTGATACAGATTCTTTGATCCATTTTTTGGAATAGGCAAAAATCGAAGACGAGCCAAAACACGTGCAAGCAAAGCAGCTGTCAAAAATTAACTGAACATTCAAAATGGCCGTACTTGTCGGCATAAATGAGAAACATGAGTACCAACATAACGCCACAAAAAAATCGAAAATCGAATATACGTAACCCGCG